CTGTTCAGCGCCGCTTCAGTCGCCACATGTTCTATTTATTTTGCTGACTTCCGTGGAACGACACCCTTAGTGAAAGCAAGAGTTGCCAGAGTTCTCTCGACGCTTAGATCGGGACATCGAACGGCCCGAACGGCCGGCTTTTGGAGATATTCGTATCGAACGGTGATTCTAGAGGAAATTTCGCTGACTGGGTGAAAAGTACAGGATGTCTTGCGCCAGACGGTTTCAAAACCCCCTTGTTTGAAGGTTGCTTTGTTGAACCACATGAACGCTTTGCTTGCTAGCTCGCTTCTGTTGAGCAGTGGAGCTGTCCATCTCTCGGAAGCCAGTGGGGTTTGTGAAAATTCTCCGCAGAAGTCTCAGAAGAGAGAGAAAGAGATTTTGTGAGCAGGTGTAAGGACAGGTGTCTGTTTTGCGGCTTTGTGTCTTGGTTGCTTCCAGCAATGTTTTAGGTCTTTATTGAATTGACACGAAGGAAGGAAACACGTGTGCATCAGCAAACGAGGAGCACGATAAGGTCCATAAAAGAAGACCACCCGGAAGGTATACGTGACGCTACCAGAAATGCAGACAGCGCATGCTAAAGGTGCCACCTGGGCAGGCGGCCTCAAGGGGTCCCACTTTGCCCTAAATGACAATGTGACATCCACTCTGCTCAGGGTTTGTCCACTCAGAAGTCCGTCCAGGAGACGTTATAAAACCCTAGCAGCACTCAAAGTGGATAATGCACAAAAGCCTCCCCAGCCGTCCACCGACCTGGCATTGGAGAGCCGGTCTTCGGCGGGAGGGTTGGACACGTTCAAGGATGCACTAGATGCTGCAAAGAGCGCGCCGGTGAAGAGTGCTGGGACAGCAGCGATGTTCAGCGGGGCTGCGGCCATGAGCGTGCTGATGTCAGGGGCTGTCCTGCACTCCATTGACGTGGTACCGCTTGTCCCGGCGGCCCTGCAATTGTTGGGGGTCTCGGCATCCAGTTGGTTTGCTCTGTAAGTCGTCCCATTTCGAGGATGTATTTGCAAGACTATGGTTTTACATTGGTCCTCATGACAGGACTTGCATAATTTTTAAACATATTGAAGCAAGCTTGAGAAACTTAAAACAGATCTTCCTCTTAACAGTTCCATTCCCTTTGCATTTTGCTTTATAGCTTCTCTGCACAAGCAGTTGTCAATTATACGAGAGTCTCCAGTTCGACAAACCTCAACGCATGATTGTCTGCAGACACAATGTCTCAGCATTTATCACGTATGAAGCTGCCAAGTGGCAACCTTGGAATTGTGCATTGCAATAATCACTGCTTCTGCTTTGAATCTCGCATGGTGACTCCTGTTGCATCAATCTGGTGAGACCCTGTGGATCCGGAGAGTGTATGCAAAGCCTTCTCTACATAGAATCAATCAGGGTTTCAGGGTTCCTGAATATACTTGACTGAGCCCTTTCTTGTTCTTGCATCGCCTACTGATTGCTTCCAAGCTGAGTGATGGGGTTTGACAATACGCAGGAGGGCTTATTCTGATATGATACGCAGGATGGCTTATTCTGATTTGTTGATCTGCCATTTCGTCAATGCAGACGATATGTGTCTACTAAGGCAGGGGCAAGGATACCACCATCTCCCATCCGAGCTCTGTCCCAACTGTTGGACCAAAGACCAGGGGGCTCCAATCTTGACCTAAGCGCCGTTCCGGTGAGGTTTTCATTAAGTGATTGTGACTTGACGAACTGTGTCCAAGCATTCGTGCAATCTGAAAAGTTCAAGGGATTGACAATCACTGTGCTGGGCCCGTTAGGACCTGAACCATGGGTCAGGACTGAACCCCCAAGAGAGGATGCTTGCGGCCTACTAGAGTGGTTGGTGATGGGGCCTGCATTTGCATGTGACTGGGCCGTAAGCGAAAGGCCCCATCCGAGGTGCCACTGCATGGACATATGCACAAAGATAGCTCCCAGCAAGTACCATGACAAGTTGGACCTGAGCGGGTAGCATTTGCTGTCATTGAAGGGAAGTCCACAGCAGCTCCTTTGTCAGGTTTGAATTGAGCGAGTGCAATTGTGGCACCTCAATGCTGTCCCCGCGAACGAGTCCCACAAGCCACACATCTGCAAGTTCTCGCATGCACAACATTTGCGTTAGAAATGAGGAGACATGGTCGGGTTGCACCTCATAAGTATCAGTTCCATGTTGTATGTCCAGAACTTGGATGAGGAGACGAAGAGAAAGCTGAAGGTGCTTGCTGAGGAGAGGGACGCTGCACTGGCCGAGGTACGTGCGAAAGCTCCTAGATCTATCTGGCAGCGTCTCGTCCTTGTCTGCTTGAGAAGCTGCAGGTTACTGCTCTTGTCAATGACACCTCCATCGGCACTTTCTTGCTTGTCTTACTGAATCATGTAAGATTCTTCCTGCAATCAGATCTGCAGGCGGCTGTAACGACAGCTGTAGTCAAGAGCATGTGCTTCTTTAGGTGACCCGGCATAGGCCATACCGTCTGCGAGGAGCATGTAATGGTGGCCCTACATTTCAGAATGAGCTCTCCATTGTTGCCCTCACAGATTCACTGCCCCTCGGTGTCTGAACCAATCTTTCATGATTCAACAAATTTGATAAGATGAACCTTAGGATTAGTAAGCGTCCAACCCAACACAGCGTGCCCCGCAGAATTGACCGCTTCACACACGTGCCCACCCTTTACCCCCCAAGTAATCCCACCCAGGGCTAGGCCGAATACGTAGAAATCCTTTATTGAAAACATATTCTTTCATCCTGTGCAGATGGAGAAGGTCAAGGCGTCGACCGGTAAGGTGGCGCGCCTAGTTGCTGAGAAGGAGGCGCTTGAGGCAGTGGCCATGCAGCTGGCCGAGGAGCGAGATGAGGCCATGGGAGAGGTAGGAGCAAGAATTGTTGATGCTTGCGACGCAAAACTCTCTTGCTGACAATGAAAGTTTTCTCCAGCTGACAACCAGAATCTTCTCCTACTGACAATGAGGATCTTCTCCTGCTGTTTTTTAAACGACCTGTATGCTTGGAAAGAGGCATCATAAAAGCCTGGCCCCGTCATACTGGGCACAATGGGGGCCTGAACAGGCTGTGTCCTTTGGCATTGTCTTTGCGGCTTGGACCACTTGGAATTTCGTGCAACTTGTTTGCGCTGGAGCGCTCAGAATCTGATGTGACTCACAACATTTAGAAAGTTTTGGTGCACGAAGGTGGTCGGTCAAAAAGGGGATGCTGGTATGGGGTTCATAAAACTGTAGCGCTAATTCGTGGGGTTCGACCCGGCCACGTTCGTGCATTTACATCGATTTGGAGTCACGTCACGCCCAACTTTTCCAGTGCTGCCCGAGGACCGATTTTGACGAATTTTCCTGTAAAATGTGAACTGCTACGGCTTTTGATTAGAAGTTGCAATCCTTCCATTCTCAGAGACAGGCTCTGTCTGGTTCGAATGTGGGGACCTTTGCACCATTCGTTGCCTGCCGGACCTAGCATGAGACATTTTCGTTGGATAATATTGTAATAACACTCTGAAAGTGGAACGAGACTGTAAGAGATTCCGTACAGATATAGGTAAGTCCTTACTTGTGCCGTTGTGCGCAAAGGGCGCGGTGGACGTAGCCCCTTCACGGAAGGGTGAAAAACTTCGTAGTCGCAGGTGCCTTTAGAATAGGAAGTAGCAGGCATTAGACTTAATAACGTAACGAATTAGAGCTGCGTGAATTGCTTAGTTGTTTTTGCTACAAGTGCCTCCGTTTTGAAGAACGCGCTGGACTGCGCCGTTCATGCAAGGTGCAAGAATGCACGTCCTCACATGAGATGCATCTCCTCGCATAAGTAGACGATGACTATAACAAGCAGCAGACACGATCAAAATTTGAACGTTTCCCGTCAAATATCCCTATTGTAGGTGCGTGCTCTGAAGGGCGCGGTGGACGCCATGACGGAGCGGATGCGTGCGATCGAGGCGATGCTGGCGCAGGAGGTCGGCGAGCTGCGGCAGCAGAACCAGGCGCTCGAGACGGTGGCCCTGCAGCTGGCGTCCGAACGCGACAGCGCGCTTGCCAAGGTGCGTCCGAAGATTGAAAAGGACAAATTTGTCCAACGTCCAAGCTGTTTAGAACAAAGCGCACTCGGTGTTCAACAATGATTGAGACGGTGGCCCTGCAGCTGGCGTCCGAACAGGACAGCGCGCTCGCCAAGGTGCGTCCGAAAGATGAAAACGACTTGATTGTCCAAGCGTCCAAGCGTCTGGATGAAAGAGCGCACTCGGTGTTCAAACATGATTGAGACGGTGGCTCTGGAGCTGGCGTCCGAACGCGAAAGCACGCTTGCCAAGGTGCGCGTCCGAAAAGGGTGAAAGGAGAGGAAGTCTTTCTGTCCGATCGTTAGAAAGACAAGGAACCTTCTTTCCAAGTTAGAAGTTGAAGACGATCAGCCGTTCTTCCGTCCAGAAACTGAGGAGGTCTTTCTGTCTGTTGGAGTTCAAGTCGGTTTAAATAACAGGCAGTTCAATAGTCCGTCCACTTCGTCGATACGTTGGAGTGAAACCGGGCCAAGCCGCGCGTCGGTCTGTAGTGTTTAGTTTAATGGATGTCGCACTCAGCGTCTAAAATGTTTGAAAAACACGAACCTCGTCCTGAGAAGACAGCGGCCTGAGCCTGGTCGATGCGTCAAATTTGGTTGAGAGGAAGGCGCCACTCTGTGAGCTAAGCGTTTACGAGGGGCAGTTCTTGATGCGAAATCAGTCGTTCAAGACTCCCACCAAAATTGAGGCGTTAATGGTAATCGAGCGAAGCATTGGTCTCATCCTTGTGTGCCCCAATCTTCGAAGTCCGGGTCTTCAAAACACGTCACTCCAGGCGTGTTTTGCAGCCCCGACATATCATGTAAGTTGTTTTGAAGCAGTTGGTCGACGAGACAAAGAAATGAGCAGACTACGTTCATGAGAGCTCACGCTGACGTGTCCAGGCTGATGTGTCCAAGCTTTTCCGTACATGTGGCCGAACTTCAAAACTTGGCTGACGAGACAGAGACAAGCAGACTGCTCGTACCAATCGCCAAGAGCCACACGAGAAGCTCAGAGAGTCATGAGCCACTCTCGGACGACCGAAACGAGCACCAGACTGGCTCTTGTCGTCCGTGAGTGTCCCATATGAGTAGCTGATTGCGTCACGCTGACGTGTCCAAGCTTTTCTGTACAGGTGGCCGAACTTCAAAAGTTGGCTGACGAGACAAACAGGGCGGCCGCAGAGCGGGATGCGGTGCAGCTGGTTGCGGCGCGCCTGGCGGACGAGCGCGACAGCGCACTTTCGGCGCTAAAGTCTCTGCGCAAGGTAGGGGGATTCTCATCCCATGCGTTCTTGGGAAGAAGGGGTGAAAGAAATCCGGAGAGCGACAGGTCTTGCTTCCGAGGGACCTGAAGGTCTCATTCTGCGGGATACTAGAATCTTGCTCTCTTCTTTCAAGAAGGGGGTCAAGATGTCAGGAACTTTAGTGGCAGGGGCACACGCAACTTCATTCGAATCGAGAGGCCTTGGCAAGCATCAAAAGTTGCGCCCCTCGGTTCTGCAAGCTTGCTTAAAGGGTGTACCCTTTAAGCAAGCAGGGTCATCACAGCGTCTTCTTCTCTCATGCACCTGTAGCAGCCTTGATTGGATCAGAAAAGCGGTATCGAACGGATTTGGGTGGAACTTAGGGATGCTTGTTCTTGTTTGCAAACAATCGTATTGAGACCTGGTTCCTGTCTCGTTGCAGGGTGTGCCTTCATCCGACAGAAAGGCTGCAAAGACCAAGTAGAAAGGCGGCAAGGCGCTCTACCCACATACTGTAAATCCACAAGTTCATTCACGTTGCAGTAATCTAGAAGCAGTGAATGGTCCACTGCAGCTGTAAGGGGTGATATTATATAGAAGAATGGCGCCATTGAGCGAATAAGAGTGAACGTTATTGATGTCAAGTCGTAAGGTATGCTAGCCTATTCGTAATGTCAGTAACCTTCCGCTATTTGTGAGGAGTCTATGGAGCACTGCCCCTAAAGTGAGTAACACGTAATGGCATGCAATCCAGAAACGCTGTCTTCAATCGAGTGTCTTTGATATTGTCTGCTATTCTCTCATACATTCTATGAGGTTCCTTGAGTTGCTGGGGTACGAGTCTTTGAGATTTACGTGCTTCTTAGCTCAAGTCCAGCTTGAAGGGGTCTACATCGTTCCCTGGGCAAAGTCAGTACGGCGTTCGTACATGTCGGCAATCTATTCAAGCCATGCCAGCGTCTGGGCTGCTTGCCCAGCAGGGCTGCTGCTAGTGCACAAGCCCTCCGACACATAAATTTAGGCAGCCTCGTTATGTCCGTTGCTCCGCAACATGTACTTAGTAGTGCACTGAAGCACACGGGGTCCAAATGATGCAATCTGTGTCACGGGTGTTGATGAGAAACAAAGGGAGAGCGGCACATCAATTACCGTGCTTGATTTCCAGCAGCCGCCGGCGCAACCGGCCAAGGCATACAGCTACCCGGCGTCGAAGCACTGCCAGTCATCAATGCATGCACCGTTCAACGCAAGTGCACGAATCTGCTGCATGGGGCTGGCGGCGTGAAAAAGGATTGCATCCGACACTAATTAAGGATAACGTTTGAGTCGGCGCCGATCATTGAGATCGTTTAGGCAGCCTGGGTATGAAGCATGATCGGACACATGGCATCAGTGCGGCAATTAGATTAGTCAATCGACATAACATGTGAGTACAACGTACCATCGTTACGGTACTGTGCAAAATCATTCAGCGCAAGCAGTCCAAACGTGACCGTCGGTTAAATCACGTGGCGCGGGTACAGCTTGCCGCCGGCCGACCACTTTCATATGCCTCATGATAAGGGACACGCATGATCCGCCACACGTGCACTGAGCAGGCCAACGTCGTCAAGGGATGCATCATGCTTGCGTCTATTTTGGAGATGTATATCGTTCCAAATGCCTTCAAGGCTTCCAGAGGCGGTGACCAGACCAGCGGCCACGCACGGCAGAACTTGGTGCTTCCATGAGTCGCGTATAAGCGTGGCACTATTAGGCGTTTGGGCAGCTCGAGTCGTGAGTCGAAGCATACAAGCCCGAGGACAGTTAAATAGCAAGTGATCGACCAATCAAAACCGTACCTCACGGATGGCTTTCGCGGCTTAAAAGCATCCAAGCATTCAAAGGCAGAATTCTCGGACGTCGGCCTATCACGTTGAAGGCCGAACCCGATGCACGAGAGGTGCAAGGTGCAGTGATAGTCCAACCACATTCAATGACCTCAAAACCAGCATCAAGATACATAACCGGCTATATATTCTTACAGCAGCTCGGTATCATCATTATACATTTCGTCCGTTTCTCTTGAACATCAGTTTACATTGAGTCGATGTTCAGTTTGTCTAGCATCACTTCCCAATCTTCCCCTCTCTGCTCAGGACCACTGGGGCCTTCTACGGCATCCTCGCCCTTCTGCTTCAAATCACTGAGGTCTTCCGAGGCGTCCTCGTCTTTCTGCTCGGGATTGCTCACGCTTTCCGATCGCGCGGTTTTAGAAAAGTACTCCCGCTCGCGCGCCCACCGCGCCAAGACATCTGACACCTTGTGCCCGGGGCGTCGCCGGCCCGGACACCCTTCGCACGTCCAGCTGTTGTTGTACCGACATTCGCGGCTGTCCGTCGCCGCTATTCCGTACAGATGGCCTTCTTGACAAAGGAAAAAATGCGGGTCCGTTCCAGAAGCAACCGACGGGTCGATAAGGTAAAAGTACTTGAATTCCCATCTGGCTACGCTTTTCAACGGAAGCTGCCACATCGAAGAAGGACAGAAGGGACAGACGAATTTGGTAACAGTAACCGTACCGTTGACCAGCTCGTCAGACATAGTTAGACCAACAACGAAGCCCCAGAAAATGGTGACGCAGTTGGGGGAATGCAGTCCCGTTTGCTCCATGAAATCATCATCGATACACGTGTCCTCTTGATGCAGAAACACCTGGGCTGCTCCAAAAGATCCCCCCCGGTCGATCCAAGGGCCAAGAATCCGAGATCCGTGAGCAAGCTTTCTCTCCCAATCGCTTGTGAGCTGAAATGGATAAATACTGAAAGGTTCCACAACCAGAGCTTTGGGGTTGCAACCTTCAAGAGTCATCACAGGCTGACCAATATTGACACCGTGCCCCGGGCACAAGCTCAGCAGCTTGGCCAGAGCTTCCCAGCTCCATTTGCGCCCGGTTGTGTTTCCGACCGCCGAATGGCTGCCAAGCGCCAGCTCAGGAAAGAGTTTGTTCACAGCAGGAAAGGCGGTCCTGCAAGCGCGCTCCCAGCCCCGCGCGCGCGCCCAGCCGTGAGACGCACGAGAAAGCTGCGAGGTCCGCGAAGTTGGCGTGCACTGGACGGAAGCTGGAACGATCAACAGAGATCTTGTCCAGGATGAGCACCAAAAGGTCGTCGCTGAGGGCGGAGAAGTCAGACGTTTCGCCGTTTGCCATTTCGACGTTCAAGAAGGAAGTTCTGGGATGATCAGTCGCGGAGGTGAGACCTGGCTTATAATTTCGATGCTGCTTGTCGACGAGTGTCGTCCAATCTGCAAAGCTCTTTGATGCCTTGCTTGAACGGTTCGCGGTGCTGATGCTAGGAGAATTGCAGAAGATGGTTCGCTTATACTACAGCAGTAGACTGTAGCAACATACTGTAGCAGCACAACAGCGCGTCAAACAGCCTGTCTCGCATACTTAATCGTGACGGCATCGTTCGCGAACCATGATAATGCTGAATCAGCTGCGTGCAGCCTGTGTGCCTGGGCCGTACGGACGACGCGGCTGCCTAGCAGGGTTTTCGGGCGCCGCGGCCGCCTCCTTGCTACCCGGGTTTAATCAAGACGTTATCGCCGACGCAACGAGATCAAGAAATCGTATGAGAAGATAATCGAGCGTGTCTGACTGGGCAGCGCAGCACTTGAGATTACTTTCATTGCAAAAACATCGCACCGCATCCCGATCTTCTCCTTGCTTTGAGGACCTTCTGTTGATGTCTTCCAAGGACTTCCCAAGCCACGATAGCCTGGCGTGACCAAGGCGCGTCCTGCCCCTCATGCTAGGCTCGCGACGTCCGTAATATAAAGGGCTGCGTTGGAAATGCTTGTGCGGTGATTGATATCAGCAACACGTCAAAAGGCTTGAATCTTCAAAGACTATGGCGATAGGGAGCGCGCGCCACTGAAAGCTTCAATTCAACTTACGCAGCCGCCTAATTTCAAAGAATGTAGAGCGACAAGGTGGCCCGCTCTCAAGTCGTAAAGTAAGGAAGTTGACGACAGGACAGGTGCATAGATGAAGCGATCACAACTAGCACTTATTCATTTGCATCGGCTACTACAATGATATTCGCGTTTTTTTACCACGGCTGTTGAAACCCAGGCAAGGCAGGTACAATCCAGATTGGCAACATAAGATCAGATCAGAGTTGAGCAAGGATGCATTCACTCATGTATAATTACTCTTGCATAAGCTGCCAGCGACCAATAGTCCCCTTGTTAGAGAAGTATCTTTCCGATACAAACCTCGTAAGCCAGCTGGCTCTTAGAAACCGTCGAATGATGTCATGTCAAGATTGGTTTTATTGTATGAACTATCTATGCGCCAGCGCCCCTAGACTGCCGATGGCATCCTGGGCATGAGTCAGCCGTGCGAGGGCGTCTTCGTTGTCGTAGTCGAGCGTCCGAAGGGCCGTCAGCTCGTCCTCCCACTTTTGCATCTGCTGCTGATGGAGCCTGGAACGGAGTCAAGCAGATTCCGCATGGTAGCAGTAGACACAATTTGCACAATCAGTTGAGCATCCTTACTGCAAGATTTTTACAGACCACGGGAAAGCAGGGCAACGTCACGGGAAAGAGGGTATGAATCATGGCACCTTTGACGGCACTGCTTGGATGAAGGCAAAAATAAAAGAAAGGCACAAGGCAACTTCAAGGTTTATGATCCAAGGATACTCAACAAGTCCATCTTCGAAGGACTGCAGGGTCTGAGAGAAGAACGTCTTTGCATTCTCGAGGAGCCTAGAAACCTGCACCCAGAAAACACTGCTCTTAGTAAGAGTGCTCTGGACAAGCACACAAGCATTTGGGACAGCGCGTGGCAGATGTGTCAATCCTGATTTACTGGTTTCTTATCTGACCTGTATTTTTCATTACGTTGAGTCTCACGATACCAAAGATGGAGTTCCACAACTTCGAGATTGATTCCCATCCTCCTAAACAGACACACACACCCCACCAACTTGAAGACCAATTCTGGATCCTTACCATGTCGGTAAATGTTTCCATCTTGATGCGGATCTCCTCCATGCTTTGCTCAACTGCATCTGAGCCCCTCCTGACTTCTTCCAATGAGACCTCTTGATTGTGCTCGATCGTCTCGTGCGCTTTGTTTGGCACCTCCGAGGTACCTTTCGTAGGATTGAACGCAAATTCATCCTCGCCGCCGTTGACTGCTATCTGCGTGGTCTGCTGGTCATGATCAAACCCGTGCTCCTTTGCCTGGAAAGCAATAATGTGCCGTTTCATTATCGCTATTGGTTATCCTCATTGAAGATGAGGCCTAGTAGTTGGCAATGTGCACCTTCTGCAACAGATTCTGGGCTAGTTCATCTTTGATTGGCAGCTGTTGAATCTCTGTTTGGCAGATTTTCTGCAAGCTGACCGCATATGCGGAATTCGTTCCATTCGAAGCTTACTTTGAGAAGGATGACCATCCTGACAACCTGCCTGTCACCAGTCGACACTCACCTGCATCTTCTGCCGCTTATGAGGCTGCATTATCTGCTTTTGCAGACCCTCTCACACCGCAGGATCACGACAAGAAAGAGAACCTGTTTGAGCTCTGTGTGCGCAAGAGATGAGCTCTCAATCCTCCCAGACAGCCCTGTCCATTCAGTAGCTCCTTTCGAAGCAAACTCTTCCAGATCGATAATCGAACTCTTTCAGTCAGATTCTAGAAGTATCCCTCTGTCAAGAGATTTCCTTTGGCCTTACTCCTTGTAACATGCCCTGCTCTTCTGCCACTCCCTTGTGGTTTCAGTAAGTCTGTTTGCGCGTGTCTTCGTGACGCTGTGAATGTTGCTGGCAGTGCGCAGCGCGCAGAGCACACGAGTCTCTGCTGAATATGGACTCTCCATTTACCTGCTGCAGCTCATGCACTGTCCTTGTGTCAACGTCTCGAACCAGCAAGCTGTCCAACAGTATTGACACACTCGCACTGGTCTTTTCTCGCGATCGTCGGCTTGAACGTCAATACTTGGCGGCAAAATCCACAAAGGTTTGATCCAGTCCTGCCGTATTGACGTCAACCCATCCTATCGTCTTTCTGCAGCTCATGCATCTTTGAAGAAGGATGGTGACGTCAGCAAGGGCCTCGTCTCTTTGGTGTGACGTCAAAACAGGTCGCTGTAGTTGAGTTCTTGTCCCGCGATGCAGATTACTTGAAATATCGCAAGTCTGCTGCGCGTTGGTCTACACCTAGCCTGGCATACCGAAAGGGAGGTCTGGCTCAATTCTAGCTCCTGCAACTGGTGATTCGGTGCCAGGACAGGGTTACGCTTTAGAAAGCGTCAAGGTGGGACAGATTTTGACTCCGAAAAATCATCCTGCTCATGCCAGTCGGAAGACACAAAGTTCGAAGCCACATGCAAATTGCTTGCAAGAAAATGCCTCCGTACTGTACGACCCGGCGTGGACATCAATGAGACGCGTGCGTATGCGTGCGTAGCACCACATGCTAGGGCCTGCAATACATCATGAATTGATTCCATGAGTTCTGTAACTTAAGATCAGGCGCTTCGACGCTCTATGCAGAAACAGGTGTTATCCATCCATCCCGGACTGGAAGTATAACTCGTGCAATCTAAGCTTGTGCGAGACTTGAAAGTGCCGCGCAACATTTTGGCGCTAGCTAGCTGACCGATTGCGAGCTCCGACTGCGCGCGCATGCAGCTTAAAAGAAAGAGAACCCCCTTTGCAGCTAGCTCAGGAGCTTGAAAGTTTTCAAGCATGATACGGCGCTCGATATCAGGCCTTTCGGAGAACTTGAAGGTGTCTTGGCATTCACTGCCTTCAAGGCCCACGAAATTGCATATCCGTAAGTCAATGGAGTGCCAGGCTTAGTGCGCGGACGGTATAATCATATGCTCAGTGCAGTGCACGCTGCGCAGCCTAAGAATTATACAAACGAACCTAGCCAATAGTGGCCTTGTTTGCGCTGGCGCGCAACAACTCCACGTCGTTTGTGAATCGATCCGCCACGCATGCATGCATTCAAATGTTGCGCAGAGCATCGATCGCTTTCAAGTTTCCACGTGCATATAATCACACCAGATCCGATCATTCGTTCGGCGTTACTCGCTTTGTACAGCAAAACCTGGCAGCTTAAACAGGCGGGGTCCAGATCGACCGTCGAGAATGCACATATTACTGTTCAATCTTGTCATGCCGCCTGCCGGACGCATGGACACCTTCTCTCGACCTCTCCTGCCTGGCCCCCATAGCGCTTGGCGTGCTGATCTCGTCAAGAAGTCCAACCGAGCTGAAAAGAGCGCTTCGTTGTATGCTGCGGTCCAATCAAGTCCGCCAACACTGTCGCACCTGAGAGGCACGTTTTCCAATAGGAAAGTACCCCGCCGACATTACTTTGAGCTCAAGTCCCATCCCCGGACTGGAATTGTCTTTCAAGGTTCAGTGCTAGGTTTTGTCAGCACTTAGAGCGATTCCAGGCCCTTCCTCGGCCCGAACACCGTTGTCCCATGGCGTGATGCCACTGCGTTCACTGTACACGATCTTAACCACCTTCTATCTTACTTATGTTACTAAACCAGCCTGACAAATGTACATGTGCCTAAACCTCGCCTCTAGCCTAAGAACCAGTCCTTTCGTACAGTCGTCACTATGCTTGCGCACGCAGACTGCCGCCGAATGAAGCGGAGACGACGCCTCTCATCAGCTAGCCCAACACACACCTCCTACGTTAACCCTCGCTGCTCCGTCTCTGTCTCCCCTTCTCTTCGATTGAGACCGTTTCCTTCCAGCAGACTGCATCTACAATTAGAAAGGTTGAGTAATGGGGCCGTGAGTGGAAGAGACAGAATGGCAGATATGCCATCAGCCCCCTATCTAATAAGCACAGTTGGCCTCGGAATGGACGCCCCTCCATGCGGCAGCCCCCTGGGGCTCAGACTCCCCGCCCGCCGAACCCCCGGCTCCCCGGCACTCGCCCGGGGGTCCATTCCCCGGCCGTAGCTATCCCCCCGGGACGACCCATGCTCCCCCCTCTGCCGCAGCAACCCGTCCCGCATCACGCTGAACCCCTGTAACTCCTCCAGCGCCTCGGCGACCGTGTGCCGCGCTTCGCCCCCCCCCTCCTCCCACTGCCGCTGCACCCCCCCGGGGGGCGTGGTCCGCCCGGCCGCGGCGCTCCGGATGGGTGACGTCACGCTGGAGAAGCGCGCGCCGACCATGCCCCCCCCCGGGGACGTTCCGAATGCCCCGGAGGAGGAGGGAAGGCTCGCGGGGTGGGCCGGGGAGCTTCCGGCGGAAGACGGGTGTGAGCGGAGGGGCGCGGCGGACTTGAGGATTCGGACGAGGGCGCCGACGGCGGCGTCCGAGCCGTGGCTGGCGGACTGCGTGGCGGCCAGGTGGGCGGGGCTGGTCGGCCAGGCGCTCGAGCTTTCGATCCTGCAGACGGAAGGACGTGAAAATGGAGTCTTTGGCGATTCACGGCAGAGCTTTCCGATCAGGGACCCACTCAAAGGACGCTGATTTGAGCGAGCGACCAGATCACTCATTCTTTCTGGTCTCCGCTGACTGTCGCCCTCTACAATGTGGGCGGAGATGGAGACCCTCCAGATTCTCGAAGCACTTTTCGTGAAAATGCCAATACCGAAATGCAACCCAGCCAAACGCTCGTTCCTCTCCCGCACCTGGACCTCCACTGGCTGTCACTTTTTGCATGGCAGATCATCCACGTATGCTGAGCCTTGAGACCAGACCGACCACTATGATTCCGCTTTCCGCTTGCCCACCTGGTCTTCCGCTGGCTGTCGCTCTCCACGTCATCCACGGCGAACGGCAGGTCCGCTTCGTCTTCCAGGTCGTCGTCGAGCGGCATCGCGGTGGAGAGCGTCGCCCGGCCCGGGTGGTACAGCGACCGCTTGAGGCCGGCGGGGAAGCCGCCACGCTCGTCGAGCAAAGCCTGCGAACGGAGGCTTGAGTCGGCGTCTTAATGGTTCACGAACCAGATTGAAAGCTTAAAGAAGGTTCGATAAGGTGGACGATTTGTTGAAATTTCAAGGGTGCGGGGGGACCGCTTCAGGCCGGCCGAAAGCCGCCGCGCTCGTCGAGCAGGCCCTGCCGAGCGAAACCGTTGAGCCAGCTTCTCGGTTACAAATGAACGGAATCATTGAGGGAACGAAATACTGGCATGTGTTGAGATGGACGGGTTGGATGAGGTAGGAGGTTTAAAATGGGTCACGGTTTGGACCGAGTAACACCCGAAATGAGAGTTCAGAGTCGTCTCTGATTCCAGGGATACATCGTGATTTTGCAGTTTCGAATAAGCCAATCCTTTCTGTATCTTTGAATTGAAAAGGATGTGACTTGGTCTCCCAACCATGCCGCTGGAACATCGCTAACTCTTCTTCATCTTGGAAAAATTCTCCCTGTTGCTCACCCTGTTCATAACCAAGTAGTGCTGCGGCGGCGACATCGAGTGCGGCGACTCCGTGACCGGCGAAATCGACGCGCGCGCCGCCGCCTTGGGATCCATCGACATCGAAAATGACGGGTAGCGCGCCAGCTGGAGCGCTGAGCTGTCCCGCCCGGAAATGGGGGGAGTGGCCCGTCCGGCGCTCCTTTCGGACGTTGACGAGCCGCTGGTTTTGGACAGTCCGCTGAAGGAAGGGGGTCGGGGGGTGCAAGCGAAGGGCAGCGGGGGGGAGAAGGAGAGCATGGGGCCGGAGGCCTCGCTGCCGGGGGTGGAAAGGTAATCGGGGCCTGATGAGAGGAATGGAAGCAGGTGGGTAAGACTTTGAATCGAGATCGGCTTCAAACAAATTTAGAAGACCCTCTTAGTATTCCCCGTAGTTGTAAGTACAAGCGATGATGCACAAAGACGAGAACACCCCCATAAGAGCACGCTCCAATTCTTTCAAGAAAGGGCAGATAAAGTTGGGTCAGAGCTGAAGGGGCTAAGAAACATTCTGCTGTTACGACATTTGCGTAAATATGTCGTCAGAGGCTTTTAAGTACTTCAAACGGATTCAAGATTTCTGGTCAAATCACCAGCAACGACGTCACCCGAACACTTGAATAACTTTCAAATCTACACATCCGTATTCTACTCCAGAAAAGTACGTCAGTATGTTTGAGAAGGAAAGCGAAGATGATTCTTCTTACCCGGCGTTCTGAGCCCCGGGGTCGACGGCCGCGTTCCCGGACCCCAGCTTTCCGGAAAAGCTGGCCCGCTGGGCGCCGACGACGGCTGCCATTTCGGGGGAGAACTTGCGGTCCACGGTCGCGGCAGGGGGGGCGTCCCGCTGCCCGGCAGATCCCCCCTGGGAACGCCCATTTTCTCACTCTTGCTGCGTGTAAATTGGGGGTACCGCTGCGGGGCGGACTGGGAGGGGGATGTTCCCGAGAGCGCATTCCCACCAAAAGGCTGGTCCCCCGAGCTGAGCGACCGGTCGCGGTGTGAATGGGCCCCGCTGCTGCTGGAGGTGTGAACGGGCGCCATGGAGTTGGCCCGGGCCGGAGGACGGGGGATGCTCACGGGTGCGCTCGCCGACCGTGCATAGTGCGCCGACACGTCCTGATGGTGCGGGGGGGGTGACGGCGACGGGCTCGGCGAGGGGGGGTGCGCGAAGCCCGCCGAAGGTCCCCCCCGGGAGATGGGGATCGGGGAGCTTGTCTGGGGTGGCAGCGACGTCGTCCGCATCGAGGGGGACTGGAAGCGCGCCGCGTGGTGTTTTGAGGAAGGAGACGAAGGGGGGGGGAAGTTGGGGTTGCGCTGGAGCGAGGTTGGGCTGCCCCCGATGCTGTGGCGCCGGTTGAGGGGGGAGGTGGGTTGCAGGGGGACGACTCTGAGGCCTTGGCGGACTGCCGAGGCGCCGGCGGCGGGGGCGGGGTACGCGGAGGGGGGGTAGCGGCGCAGCGGGTCGGTCGTGGGGCTGCCAACGTAGTCCGCGATGATGCGGGGGAGGATGGAGGGGCCGACCTCAAGCGCAGTCACCGCCGTTGTGTGCCTGTAGATGTCTACCAAGTCAATGTCCGCAAAAGCTTCCAACTGTCGGGTCTTTGCTTGACCCATCTGTTTCCTCGTATCTGCATACTGTCATCTTTGTCCAGGAGGGCAACTTTGGATTTTCTCGCAAGTAGTGCTGTTAATTTGATTGCGGTCAGCTTTGTTGCAGTCTACCCTGCTGGGGAATCTAGATTGCAGGGCAACACGCACTATCGGAGCTTAGCGAACCTTGCAGAAAGAGTCATGTCGCAGACAAGCAGCAGTCCCGCTTCAACCAACGTACCTCTCTTTTCGTTTACAATCTCCGCCCGACCCACGTTCATTGTGCTGATCGCAAACCATGAGCGGGTCAATCTTCAACTTGGAACCTCTCAACAGGATCGGAGCGGAAACAAGCTGACTCTGGAGTCAGGCGGCCAGTCCTCTCAAATGGCACGACATGCAGAAAGGCAGTCTCACCTGTACATAACCGACAGGCTGATCCTCCCACTTGGTGTGTCCACCGGGCTCAGCCGCGAAGTGCTCATGGACCCCATCTCTGACTCAGGCATCGGCGGCGCTGCCGACATAACCCTGTAGGTCAGGTAAAACCCGCCCTTCCTCTGCTGAGGGTTAGACTTAACCAGCCGGTATAACCGGTGCGCCGGCAGGAGGCGCGTCATAGCATATAGCGACCGCAGCAGGATGACCGTGCGCTTATACACAACGGGGACCTCGATGTTGTGGCTCCCGGGGAAGGCTAGAAGTCCTGGCCCGCTGGTGTCGTCGGCTGCGTCGGCGAGACCCTCTAGGCCGTCTGAGCTGGAGCTCCGCCTGCGGCGCTCGTAGTGGATGACCCAGCGCTCGAGGAGAGTGGAGGTGCCCGAGGGACTTCTGGGCCCTTCGTCTGAAGTTTCAAAAGTACGACTTTCAAGAGGGCGCAAAATGCACAAGCTACTTCCGGTGGTTTGCAATCGAATGGGGAACCTTGAAAGCGGTGACCGTGGTTATGTGCATCATGCTTTGTTCAAAAGATTGATATGAAGGTACATGCCGACAGACCTGAGATGAGGGATTGGCGATGCGGCTCATTAATAACACCTTGAGGAGGCTTTGAAAAGCACAAGCCAAAATACTCAAGGTGCAGAGTAGAAGTCGAGTGGCCTTGACCCTTGAAGAGGTTAGACGAGCTTGACTGACTGATGGGCCAAGATTTGCGCAACCTCTTTCTGACTCTTTGACGAGAATTTGCGAAGGTGGTAAGACGGTTTCCCCTCAGATAATGCCTGGCGCTCGTTTCGGTTACTTTGCAGAGCATTGTCTTCATAAATGACAACAACAGTCCTCTCGCTTTGCCCAGGGCACTTTGCCAGCTGTCCAGACAAAAGGAACGAACCAGGACAAGCACACGAAAAAGAATGCTCATTTGGGCAAAGAGACTAGCGCACCCTTCAGAAATAATCATGCACTCAGGCATTGGTGCATTGAAATAGAGCATTTAGCCTTGACGCTCTGCTCCTTGTGGTAGTCTTTGCCGTACCATAAACAGTTGACCTTCAAAGAACTTATGTTCACCTGACATAGGGCTGCCACGTCCGTAACTGCTTGACGGGGAGCTTCCCCTGCCGGTCGGCGATGGCGGCTCGCTCCACCCGTGCGCCCCCGGCTGCTGCAAAAGCACGTCTACAATCATTGGCTCTGCAGCGCCCCTCCTCCATGGCTCTGCCAGGTCCGAGATCGCTTCAGACGTGTCCAGCTCCAGGTTGAACCAGCGGTTCGACGAGTTTCGGACGCTCGACGCGCTGCCGGAGAGGCGGGACACAGACGGGATGCGCGACCCCAGGATGATGTGCAGGCTCTTGGCATAGAACTCGGATACGATCTGGTCCATTCGCGCGCGCTCCGACTGGCTGGCCATGCTAGTTCTTACTTGGGGTTTGAGCGAAAACTTGGAGTGATGCTCTTTCACCCACTCTGCTGGCTAACCACCGCACAAAGACAGGTCAGGTTCTGTCCGCACTCGAGGAAATGGCTAGGAATGGAGGCTGGCCTCTGATTTGTACTGCAAAGGAGCGTGTTGCACTTCTTAACCGCACAGGTCTAGGACATTGAGAAGCTCAAGCGCGGCGTCACGAACAGCCAACAGTTGGGCAGAACTATATCAGCTGCTTCCGCTTTTACCTCATAGAATGAACTGCATTTGGCAGTGCTCTCAGAAGCCTGCCTATGGCGGGAACATTTGTTTGAGCTCCCAGTCTGCTGCACCTGCCGCAGGGTGCAGAATAAGGATGAAAGGATCTTGCAACAGGTTTAGGGTTCAAGGCCTTCCAAAGAAGGTAGGGATCAAGCAAATAGGGCTACTACTGCGAGTCTTTCTGCATACCACATCTAAGGAGTGTCTCGCACTTTTGCAGAAGTTGGGAGTCCTGAACAAATGGACGCCCCTCAAATCAAATGCATGTTGCACAGCTTCCCCCCATTCTGTCGCCGTCTTCTCGCTACCGTCTACTTTTGCTGAAGAGGTGCAAGGCTCTCCTCTGCAGCGCTGCGGCTGAGAGAAGCAGCGCTCAGCAGGAATGGTGCCAAGCTCACGACTGCGCTTGAAGTTTGATGATGAGCTCTAAATGTCATGCAGCTGGTCGATCAGCTCGATCAGGATGCAGTTCAGTGTGTGAATACTCTCAAGAATTGCCAGTTTCATGGCGCCGTTGTCGCCGCTGGTCGAGCAGGACTCAACAGGACCTGAGCCGTTCGTGGCAATGTGATCGCAGGACCGTCATTTTCAAACTTCAAAAGAACGCATTCACATCAAGTCCCTTCAGTTTTCAAACTGGACGTCTGCTGCATTTGGAGCCAGAGCAGCCGCTGTTCACATTACATAATTATCATCTGTTTGAACAGTGTACATGTGATGAAACAGCTCGGGCTGGTAGGATATATCTCATGGAAGGAATGCTTTCACTGCTTCAGCTGTAAAGTGAAGGCGCTGCATCCTCTTTTGGCGAAAACGTTGAAGTTGCATTGCGGAGGACGCTGATTGTTTAGTGCTTCCCTGGCAATCTCTGTCCTGTCTCAAAATGCAACGTGAGTAAACAATGGGCACCAGACTGTCATGCGCTAAGCCATCAATGCTTCTTTGATTGAAGTGAGCTCAACATCAGCCAAACTGCAGCTCTGAAAGCACCGGCGGCAGAGTGAGGGAAGGTGCTGAAGGTTTGGTGCTTAAGAAGCTCACCGGTGACTCAGTCCTGGTGTCTGCGGGGAGGAATTGAACTTTCATGAATGGTGCAGACTTAATCAGACAACATTGATGGACCAGGTAAGCAGACTGTCTCCAGTTTCTAAGCATTGCGGCGAATTTCGCTTGTATGCATCTCGAATGCACAGTTTTTGTAACCTGGATTTGACAAGCAAAGTGACATGAAAACAAGTTTGTCTCTACCTCAAGCTTACACTTTGATCAACAGATCGCATGCCCTGTTTACTAGTCGCTTCCTCCCGCTTGTTTAGATTTTCGTTTGGCTTCATGGACTCAACATTCCCTTGCAGGCCTGGACTGGCAACCCGTTTGCGCAGCAAAAGTCAGTTGCTGGGGCTAGGAGGCGAGAAGAATGGGACGACATCTTCTCTGGAGAAGACAGTGAACAGGTTGTGTATGAGAATGACGGCAAGGCGAACTTGATATCTATCTACAAGAAGACACTTCAGGCGGTGAGTTTCTTCCCTACAGACAGGTTGAACCAGGTTCACTTTATGGAAGTCATAGAGGGCACTCAGGCGAAACCTGTTGTTGACAGGGCTTCTCAATGTGTCTTTGAACATCATTCTCTGGTACCGCTGATTACACTCTTCCAGCCACGACCCTCATCCTTACTTGGCTTCCAAGCCTGTATAGTGGCATCGTTGTGAAGTACATGGTTAACAAAGTAAGCATTCTTCGTCTGTTTGTGCAGGATGCATCTCGACCTTTCCAGGTACCAAAGGAGTCTTCTTCATGGCAACGTTCTGTTCAAAAGGACACCGGTGAGTGGAAATTGTATCTTGTCAAGTTTCAAGAAAGCATGAGCCTATTGAGCAGTACATCTCTGAGTAAACAGAAACGCAAACACCTACCTTGCCTTGCTGTTTGTTAGGCCTGCAGCACTGACCCTGCGGAACAGGTACATCTAAGGACCTGTTGCGGCATAACATGGTTAAAAAATGCCCTTGGGATGGATTAGACAAGAAGGAAAGTTTGATCGTCCTTCAGAAGGGAGCGCACACTTCTCTTTCAAACAAGACTTCTTACAAGCACTGCACTTTTATCGTCAGAGTCGCGAATTGAAAACAGCGTTATTTTCTTGTCAGCAAATCCTGCGAGGCGGGCTTGGGAGCCAACGAAGCCAGTGTCAAGTGGAGCAAACCAGGATGATACCGTTCAGCAGGTAAGGCAGCGACCTGAACTGTGGATGCGGATCGAACGTAGGTCACGATAATTTGCCATTACTTGATACAATTTGATTCAACAACTTGGCCCTCTCAACGATACTCGCCGGTTTCAAGGGCTTGATACACCTTAACTACCCACTGACGGCCTGTTGGTGCCCTGATTCGTTGTTCACCGGGATGCCGAGTGCAAAAGACACTCCACTTCGACCATCTCAATGGAGCCGGCTGGGAACCAGTTCTGCCAGGCAGGGCAGGCGACCTTCATTGGATCCAGTTGGGTCATTCGACTCACCCGTTGGTTGGGTAAGATCCTGACGTTTTCGTCTGAGCTTCAATTGTAACCTTTTTAAGGGTGTTGGAGATCTCTCTCGAGGAGTGTTAATCAAGGAAAAACAGGAGGACAGTCACCGGCCACGAGGAGCACCTGAGCTTCGAGGGAAGGAAGTGGCATCTCTCTGCATCTTCAGCAAGACTTCGCGTGTATCTGAGGCTCCGCTTGTATCTGAGACCTCGCATGTATCTGAGACTCCCTGTTGCCCGACACGGTATTCCATTCCTACATGGGACTGCAGGAACTTAGTTTCACTGGCTGCTCGATTCATGGTCTACCGTAATGACTTCTCGTGTCACAAGAATTGTGATGTCGGCATGATGGGAAGTTCAACATTTTACAGGATGACGCGCCCCAGGAAGAGTTCGACACTCTGATCCACCGCCAGCCGTATGCATTTGAGCCTCCGCATCAGCCCCCACAAGAAGCAGCCCGAGAGCATGAGCCTAGCCAGTCAGAATTCCCCCAAGAGGAGCAATCGCCAGAGCCTGTCAACGACTCTGTAACCGGGCAAGATGGTCAGCCTGGCCTGCCAGAGAAGGGCCGGTCTTTTCTCGACCGAGCTCGAGATACGTGGGCTCGACCGCCCACGGAACTGGACCAGGCAACACGCGTGGGGGGCTTCACAGAGGATCCATTCCGGGAAGTGGGGAGCTTGGGCATGGGGTGGAGTCAGCAGAGCGATCAGCCGGCTCGTACGAAGTCTCGGAAAGGTAGGGGATTCTGGGACTCCTCGAAGGCGATGGTACGTAGCGGGATAAGTAGAGGCTAAGTAGCTCGAGGGATTCAAGATGGTCAACTCGTGACAGCTTTTAGTCCGCACAAGGCTTCCCTGAACGTGTCCCCCGAACGGACCAGGACGACCTTCTATTTTCTTGAGAATGTACCACAGAACTCTGGAAGAGGCCTCCGATCTTTCCAAAAGCACTGCCGGTCTTGGGAATCTGCAATCTTCCCGAAAGCTGGATAGTGACGATGTCGTCGATTTTCTCATCTGATGTTTTCAACATTATGCAGCTGCACAGCGACCGAAGTTCAGCATACGTCCTCAGCATCGGCCCAGTCTCACTCAGGCGAAGGCCAACGTTGGGGCCGGGCTCGTGCCGCTGGCACAGCGGCTGAAGGAGCTGGCGGAGTCTTCGGAGGGAAGTGTTGGCAACAAAAAGGTTCGTGGCTTTGCTTCTCATGTTTTGTGGATTGTTTCCGCTTCGTTCGGCTGGTTTCAACCGAGCGCAACCCAATTACACCAGATTCTCGATCCGTCTGATGAGACTTGCGCGGCAGCCCGAGTCGAGAGTCGCTCGAGAGAGCGGTCGAGTGCGTGCCGTCTCCAGGTTCCCGCGAACGTGCGCCTCTTGGCCTACTTTTTACTTCCTGTCTCAAGTGAAGATTGGTCTTTCTGACGACGACCAAGCTGTTACAACAGGCAGTCCGCAGAAGTGAAATGGTGGGGAACAGCACAAATCCGTGTCGCTTCCGTCTATCTTTCGACGTCAAACGACCGGACGCTTCTGATTTCATTGTCCTTGAACGGGTTTGTCAACTTTGACCCGAATCAGGTTCTAAACCCTGTCCTGATCGATAGGACTGCTCCAGGCTAAGTGTTGCAGACTGGAACTGTTATAAGAGACTCGGACGGCTGCGACACGATCTTGAACCTCTGCGAACCGCCTGAGGATGCTTGTTACTGCAGGCCCTGCCCGTGCGCCCGACTTCATATGAGGAGGAGGCCGAGCAGGACGACATCGAGGATCAAGCATACCACTTTGCGGAGAATGAAGCGACGGCGTATCGAGCAGACGACAGGGACGCTATGGCAGAGGACATTGATGTTGACGAGGTGGAGCCAGGGGTAAGCACCATCGTTCTTGACTGGGTATCGGCTCGGGAGGGCCCCTGCAAACCCCAATGCCCGTTGTAATTTACTTGCGGACGTTTTACATGTTCACGAAGCAACAATAGAGGTAGTTTGCAATGCTTTTCTCTGTGACGACGTTGAGAATGCGTTATACGCCGATAAAAAGTCGCTTCGTACACTTGCAACGCCCGCTGCTCATCTGCGGAAACACAACCGCTGGCCCTATTCGCTGGGGAAAGAATCAAAGGTCCCTTTCTCGTGCAAAGCCTTTGACCCTCACTTCGGCAAAAGAGCGCAATCGAACGCTCACGATCGCTCCTCCTCTGCACCAGTCGCCTGAACACGAAGCCGAACCACCAGCGCCGCTCGACCACGACTCCCTGGCAGTGGTTCCGGTCGACCATACGGACGTCCGTCAGGGAACTCTGGCGGAGCGGACGCAAGCGGGCACGTCCGGACGGGATCTGACGAGTCAGTTCCGGAACGCACTGCACGCGGCTGAGGAGCCCCAGTCTGCGCTGGCGACCCAGGCAGATTGGGGCAGCAAGCAGCCGTAAGTTACTCCAGCTCGCACTTTCGTTCAAGCAGGTGAAATTTAGGAGCTATAGAGAAACTTGCAGATTTTGGCCGCTGCCTCCAGACCAAAGAAGTCGGAACGAGGGCTTACGCGGTGGATAAGTCCACCTTTGTAGTGACCCAGTCACAAGATGTAGAATAAGATAACAAGCAGGTGCTCGCAAGAAGGTCACCTTGCTTTGATTGTGCAACCGACCATACTGATAGGGTAGGCGAGGGAAGTGAGAGATTGATTGAGGTTCCCGCTTGAAACGCTTGCTATTCCAAGCAGATTGTTTGGGCGCACTTTCACAACAAAGGGTGACGAGCGAGCGTATCAACAGCTTCTCTTAGAAAAACCTCGGCTAGCTTACTGTTAGACGCTCTTCTATCGACAAGGGTCTGAGGCTTTGGGATGTGCGCGCAAGACACGTGTCTCTTGCTTTGCAGAGTCGGCGTCCTAGCGCAACTGCAGCGGGCCCTTCAGCGGCAGCGGAATCAGGAGGCGCTCTTTGCGAAGGCGCTCCAAACCGGGCAGGCTCTGGATCACGGTAAGGCTCTGATTACTACGTTGAGCATGGAAGCTGCTGATATCAACCAAGCCCGTTGCGGGAGATACCCCTCCTGAATCCTTCACCTCAACTCGTTGCTAAACATGTTCGTCTTGAAATCAACTCTGAGCGTACCAGACGCCGAGTTGCCTCAGATGGGCCTGGGATCCTTGCATTGCTCTTCATCTTCTCAGACGTCTTGTCAAACCAGATTGCTTCGTAGATCCGCACAAGTGACGGCACGACGACTCTCTGCCATCTTACATAGTGGAAGTCTCGTTTTTGTACGATCCCTCCTCTCATGCATGTCGCTGCCTGCGTTTGCAGATGCGCGCGACTGCTTGGACGTCCGGATACTGGATACGAGCATGGAAGCCCACCTGCTCAAATGCACATGCGAGGTCCTCCAGGAACCGCAAGTAAGGAATCAACGCTGTCGTTCGAACTGCTGGGGTTTGTCCGTTGCTTGTTCGTTGGTAAAAGGGCAAAGCGAAGATGCGGAAAAGAAGACTGCTTGTATTCAAATATGCCGAAGCTTTCTTCCGTAGCTAAAGTCGACTGGCATGGTCAAAGTACACAAATTGAGTGCAAGCAGGTTCAGGAAATACGTAGTCGCTCTGCGCTGCGGTCCTCTGTCGGGTATTATATCGCCTTCTTAACAAAGAAATAGCATAAGTCTTCGACCATTGCCAAGATTTATCGATGCTGATAACCCTGCCTGCTATGGTGCAGAACGCTTTCACGGCGTCCGAGTCTCCTGGGGAAACCATCTTCGTGCTGTTCAACCGCAAATCGCACTCCGGGGCGGTCTTGGAACCCGGACGGGTCGTGCGGATACATCCCCCGTGGTACGTTCCGAATGCTATCCTACATGCCTGAGAGCGCTTCGACTTGCCGGACCTGCTTTCGCCTAGGATAGGTACTGTTCAGAGCGCTGCGTCCGCGGCAAAACCGGCTCTCTTGAAGCAGGATTGCAATCTTCGGTAGACCCTCTTGAGGCTGGATCAATTGTGTCAGGGTTTGACCGTGCGTTGCGTCGTTGGGGTACCTTAAGCAGCGCGAATTTGACTTTTGGCAGGTGGAGAAACGGGAATGTTGTGCTCGGCTTCCTCGTTTCTGACCTGCCAACAAGTCCGATGGTTGGGGTTAGTTCTAACAGACTTTGTTTCTTTACAGGCACCAGCTCATTGCCTGCGGATCGAAAAAGGTAGTGTTCAATACCATCTGTTGTCACAATCTGCAATGACGCTGGTGGGCTTCTGAAGACGTAGGCGATAGCTACTCAAAAGCTCTAGCTGCAAACATTGATGAGAAGTGGCGAAGAAGTAGGTTACTCTTGAGTTCCAATCGTGAACAAGCGAATTATAGACAATGCTGGAAACTGACTTGTGCTTGAATGTTGGCTTCAAGCGTCCGCACTTTGAAGATCTCTAAGCAGATTTGAGTGCGGAAATGCAGCTACAGCTTTATAGGCGCCACACTATAGTGCTGCGTATGGGCACTCGGCTTCAAATCCCTGCCGCCTCATGTGAACCCAATTGAATCGAACCCAGAAACCTTGTTCAAAGCGCGGCCTGAACACACTCAGCTCAGCTCATGGGAAGTGCTTGATCGTCGCGGTGAGCTGAAGCAGGGGCTGCTCCAAACTTTGAAAAAAGGACGCCTTGGACAACGCTCCGGGTTTGCAATGACCATGCACAGGCTTTTCATGATTGCAATCAGAAGCAAAACGTAGGTACGGCGAAATCGCCCGGCCGTCAGGCCGGTATGTGCGACAGGGTCCGCGGCTAAGCAACTTATGACGTCTGTGCACCAATTTCATGCTAGACTTTTCTGTCGTGACTTCAGTATCACCAATCATTGAACACGCACTTTGAAAATCAAGTCGCGGACATGTTGTATCTACCAAGCTTCAACGCGAAGCTGAACCAGGCTTTAGTGCATCCTGATCCGGGAGAAATAAGCCCGTGTCATACAGTGGCACGTGGCACAACCATGCTGCAACGCACCACTGGCAAAGTGTGTCCCACCTACGAGCCTGATCAATAATGTATGCTTGGAGCAGCTCGTACCTTGCCGCCAGGCGGCCGCGCACGACGTACTTGCATTCTGATATACAAGGTCCATGCAAAATTTCGCACTGCCAAATCGAGCTAGCATCCGCAACCACACGTTGCATGTGGGGTTTGGCATTGAATGGCGTCCCGATCCTTGCTTGCGTACGTTAAATCCGGGCGGAATGCAAGAGTGTCCTCCATATCCCACATGATCTTTCTGTATGATTGAAAATTAGAAACACACTTCATTTCTCTTGGCCGGCGGCCGCGCCGCGCGGGGCCGCGCAGGCGCATACTGTGCGCGGCCGCGAACCGCTGAGTTGCCAGGCCGTACTAACCGTACGGACGGTCCGGCCAAACCCTGGACCCCAATCTCCGGGCTGCGGCGGCCGCGGCTATTCAATCATGCCGCTGCGCGGGATCCCTGGCGCGTGGTCCGAGTCGGGGATCCCCGATGCAAGAATCAAAGATAAGGCTGGCAAGTTGCGGAACTGAACCCGCAGAGGAGTGGCTTACTTGTCAGCTCTGGGAAGTCATGTTACTCAGCAGACTGGTGAATATTCTCCTCTCCGGGTCTCTGACTTTGAATCTCAGTGTAAGTAACAAAACCTGGGCTCAGAATCCGATGACGTATGAGCGTCTGGTGGGCGAATGCCCTTGCCGACTCGTCATTAGTGTGGCACTGCCAGAGTTCGTTGCAGACCAGAGAGTGCAGCCAACCACACAGCTAGCTCGACAGCTCAATATCAGGGATCCGACACCCGCATATTCCTGAAACAAACTCCCGTGGCGATTGCCAGAGATTTAGCACATTCAGAACAGAGCATTCAGAAAGCGGCGCTTCGACCGATCCCTCTCTAAAAAGCACCAAGCATATAGCAGCCTTTATCTCAACCTTTCTAAAGGTACAGCCAGAAAGTGACACACCCCTCCATTGACGCTCCTCTAGCTAGCACCCTCCAAGTACTTCTCGCACCTGCCAGGCGTTGGCTTTCAGGAGGTAAGCAGGTTCAATGTACTGTTCTGGAAGGATCAGTGGTTCAAGTCCTAAAGGTTGCAGGATGACGTGTGCACTGAACGAGGCCAACCTTGCTTGGTCGCTCTCTCTGGCTCTTTGATGAGAATAGTGAAGTGGACGCAAATTCAGCTCACCAATTTTTAGACAACGTAGCCGGTCAACTGAATTTCAATCAGCTTGATTTGAACACAACAATCATCTCTGCAGTCTGTCTTCAACCCGCATCATCACAGGACAACAATGGGTTCCTACAGGGTTGCGAGCAACAACGAGTTCTTGGTAAGCGTTTAACCCTGTGACAGTCTTGTTGTTCGGCCATACTGTCCTCAATCGAATCGAAATATAGTGCACGTTCTTTCAGCTGAACAAGTTTCATTTCAATGAATTCTATTTGCCTTGCTCCAATTTCCATCAGCAAACTGCTGATCAGCTGAGCTCAGCGAAACTCTCCCTGTTCCTGCTCCCAGATTCTGAAACGCAGACAAAGTGCATACGACCATGGTGCTTCGTGTACGTATGTGCAGGTGACCACCGGAATTGGCATCAAGGACGTCCGCGTGTCCAAGAAGGGATGGGTCTTTTTTGGGCAGAAGAGCCGCATCTTCGACGTCACTCCACGGAACTACACCCTAGAGCTCCACGTAAGCAGACCTCTCAGTACTGCATCCTGTATGGACGCAAAGAAAAGCTCAACTTTGGAAGAACTCTGACCAGACTCTTCCAAGCTTTCTTTCACATTAAGAAGTAGGAGCTTGGCTGCTGTTTAGTTCGTCTCCCATGCTTCTTGGTCAGCCATTCTGGACAAAAACCAACCACGCTGCTCAATGTCCTCTCAAGCTTACATTGGAGTTATCCACCTTCACTTCTCTAGAAGCAAGAAGCTAAGAGCGTTGGTATCTATCAAGCAGGCCATGACTCGGGAGAAGTTGGAGTTCCTTCTTCCCGCCGTCTTCACAATCGGGCCAAAGCTGGAGCCCCAAGCGCTCCACTTGTACGCTCAGCTCTTGGCGGGGAGACCCGACGAAGTGAACCACATCACCGTAAGTTCTACACGCATCTCTTCACGACGCCGTGTCTTCAATGTTTACGTCAGGCTGACGTCGCTTCCGTGCACCTCCAGTCCCTATCTGTGGAAGTTCCAATGGCTGATTGGTGTTTTTAACCTACTAATCCTCAATGAACCTAGGCTTGTAACGTTTCTCTTTGCTGACGCTTCCTCAGAATAAGTAGAGTTCTAAAAGCGAAGCCCTTTCTTTGCCTGGAAAGAAATGGTCGCCTTCTTCAAAGCTGCTCTTCTCTTCGAATCATGAGCTGGTGCAAAGGTCACCTTTCGACATACCCTGCAACCTCCTGCAGCTTCTACACGCATTTACGCGTCCTTCTCGGTTTTTCTGTCTTTCAGGAGCTCGTCAAGGGCATGATTGAAGGAGAGACACGTGTCCTCGCGGCGAACATGGGCATGGAGGAGATCTTCAACGCGCGCAAGGGCTTCCAGGTCAGCCTTCGTGCATTTCCGTAAGCTAAGATTGTTTTACGCTCAGCTCACAATCTACATCCTCACCTGAGTCTCGTTGATTCTGATCCCTGATTCGGCCACGAAGTTATGATTACTCAGGAAAAACATTTGTAAGTTTTGTCGTCTGCCAAAGGATTGTAGGCTCGTGTTGCAAACAAGCTGCTCTTAGTGATCCTTCCAAACCTTGCAATGCGTCCCCCTTTGGCATCCGTTGAAATCTAGACCCATTTGAAAAATATAAAATTTGCTTCTGCCTTTGAATTCACGATAAATCCAAGCCTTGACAGTCTCTGACAGCTCAGCACTCGCTTTGTTTCTCGCAGACGCATGTTGTGGAGGGAGTGCAAAAGGAGCTCGACCAGTTCGGTAAGGCACCAAACGTTCTGTTTTGAGTTTTGCGTTTAGATGAAAACTAGAACTCTGGGGCTTAAAGTGACCTCCAAGAGACCCCGCACAGAGACGATCTGTCACCTAAATTGAGAATTTTTAGTCACTGGTCCATCTTCGGCGTGTCGTCATGTCGTCTTCGGATCAGGTCCCGAACGAATAGAATTTGCTTGACTGATGGAGCATCCATTCACTGCCTATCATTCGTCGTCGAAGTGTCACCACATCGTTTCGCTACACCCGATCTTTAGTTCAAGTCTGAAGGTAGACAGCGGAGCTCGTGAATGAAACCTTTTGGCCCGTTCCAAAACGTAAACCCGTTCAATACCCTTACAAGTGTCGCGTTTTGCAGGGCTGTTCATCTACAACGCCAACATCAAGGAGCTGAAGGACACCGCCGGCTCCGAGTACTTCCGGTACATGCGGATGAAGACGCACGAGGACGCCATCAACAAGGGCAAGGTGAGCAGCGTGACGTCAGCCGCGAGGACCGTACTGATTACAGCCGCTCATGAGGATTGCGTGCAGGGTAAATAACCTGGGCATTACTATACTAGGGCTGTTCAGATGCAAGAACGACGACCTCTCAAAGAGTTGTGAGAAACTCGTCAGGGTCAAGCGCGTACTTGAAGTCTTAAGGTCGGGATTCAGCTCTGGGAACAGTAAGAAGAAACAACTGTAGCTTAAAAAAGATAGCACTCTGCTTCACGCAAGAAGAGGAAACCACAATCACCTGAAGGTTCCTAAGATTACCTTGCTCTGAACGACAAGTGCTTTTGGCAGCTCTCAACTAGGCCAGGCGCATGAGTGGCTGTTTTCAAGCTCGGCGCCTTCAAAGCGCTTGGGAATTTCGTCTGTTTTCAAAACCGTGGTTCAAGTTTGCGATTTCATGAACGTCCAGGTTGACGTGGCAAACGCGCGGTACTACGGTGACGTCGGCGAGAAGGGCAAGGTCGCGGCGACGCGGCGCGAGACGAAGCAGATTGAGGCGGAGACGGTGGTCTACGAGAAGACCAGGGAGGGAGAGCAGCGGCAGGCCGTGCAAAAGGTACGGCGTTCGTACCCTTTTGACACGTCAGCAATATCAAATGGATCCAACGTGAGATTATTTGGTAACCTAAGAGCTTCAAAGCGGAGTCCTTTGTAATGTTGGGACACCAAAGTCTGGAGACTGTGCTCCAGACACGTGGACGAGGCGACGTAACGGAGAGAAGGCTCCGCCCGCTGACCATATCGAACCCGTTTATCTGCTTCGCAAAGCACGAACACCGCTATGCAATCAGCTTCCTCAAGGCTTACAAGGAAAGCTCCTTACAGAATTATTACAGACACTCTTCTTTGATCCGGACTGTTAACACGTACAGGTGGCGGCAGAGAAGATTGTATACGAGAAGCTGCGTCAGCAGGACATCACGCACAGCTTTCCGAAACCGTGATTCCTCACACCCAAGTATACTTCTCTGAAACCTAGCTTCAAACCGCAGACCCGGATCCTTAACTCAGTTTTCAGATCGTACAGGTGGAGGCGGAGACGACCGTGTACGAGAAGCTGCTCAGCAGGACATCGCGCATAGCTTTCGAAACCGTGATTCTTCCTACCTAAGTATACTTTTCTGAAACCCCGATCGCACTTAACACGCTTTCGAACTTACACAGGTAGAGGCGGAGACGATCGTGTACGAGAAGCTGCGCCAGCAGGACATCGCGCAGGCGGACGCTGCGCTGCAGGTGAAGCAGGCGACGTTCCAGCAGAGCGTGCAGATCGCGCAGACGGAGGCGCGGAAGGCGGCCGAGATGCGCCAGATGGAGCTCGACAAACAGGTGGGCAAATTATTCCTAGTCTCAGAAGTAAAAGCTATCTCCCAGAAGCTGTCTTTAGAAACGGGCTGTTTTTTCGCCGACTCGCCGTTCCGTTTTAGAGACAAGACGAGGCCGAGAAGCAAGGGAGCGTCTGCAATCCTGAGCAGTTTCCATTAAAAGTTGTATCTTGGGCAAAGGGCGTCGTAGCTTCTCCACTGTGAATTGGGACAGCTCTTTCGGCGGGTTTTGCCACATTATCGTGGTGGAAACCCACATTGCGTTCACCCCTGCTCGTATAGACAATCACCAACTTTGCTCGTGACTCAAGGATGGAAAAACACGAGTTTCTTTGTCTTTTGCTGGTCTTGCCAGGTGGAAGAGAAGCGGCTGCTCGCGGAGACTGAGCGGCAGCGCGCGACCCTGGTGTCCAAGGCGGCCGCCGAGGCGGAGTCACAGAGGAAGCAAGCCGACGCACTGTGAGTGAGGTTTACCTGACGGCCATCTTTCCGGCACCCAGGAGGAAAAGCTTTTGTCTGCAAGTATCTTCATCGATTTTTGAAGAACCGTGGTCGACGCCTCCTCTTTTTCAAACACAGGTGCAATCTGGATGCAAACCCTTCAAATAGAAGCTGACGTGCCGACTTAGCCGCTTGGACTTCTCGAGACCCTTCGATATTCCGGACGCTCGAATTGGATGCTTCGATCGGTGGTCCGTACGTTCGATCAGCTGTGTCAGCATGCGGCTAGATACACAACCATGCAGCACCTTAACATCCTTCAAACAAGCGGCACACCCTTTTGGGTGATAGGGGCACTACGGACACGGAAGTTCTCTCTTGGACGTCCGCAGGCTGTACACGATGCAAAAAGAAGCGGAGGCGGCGCAGTACAAGACGCTGAAGCAGGCGGAAGGGCAGCTGGTCGCCGCGCAGAACCAGGCCAAGGGCGCGCTCGCGCTCGCGGAGGCGCAGGCGGAGGGCATCCAAAAGGTGCTCGCGGCGTTTGGGGGCGACACGAACGCCGCGCTGCAGGTACGTGTGGTCGCCCTTTTGCTCGTCACTTCGAAGCTTCGCAGGTGCTTCGGTTGCAACTCTCGGAGCCCCAATCTACGAGAACCATCTGAACGCACTTGTCGGGAGCCGAATAGATGAAACGTGACCCTCCACAAAGTTTGTACGATAATCAAACTTTCCCGTTGGATCGAAAGTCACCTGGATTCGGGCTTGCCTGCGAAGCGACCCTAAGCGTCCGGCGCGAAAGCCACACTGACATTCTTGGTCCCCCCAAGCAAGTCCAATATTTCAAGAGCGGCTTTTTCCGGTTACTCTCGAGGCTGCTTGCAGAACTTCGACTCTGCAATTTTCTAATTGGACAAATGGTGACGTGTGCAGTACATCATGGTGGAGCGCGGCCTGTACGGGGAGCTCGCGCGCGCCAACGCGGAGGCCGTCCAGGGGCTGAACCCCAAGATCACGGTCTGGAACACCGGGTGAGCGCGCCCGACCGCTTTAATAGAAAATAGAATCGACTACCGTTTTGAATCATGTTCCTTGCTGAGTGTTCTGAAGCTGTCGGGTTTTGGATGTGCGGCGTTCTGACCATTAGAAGGTTCGTCTTCTACCTCACTCCATTTCAAAGAGAACTGTGCCCTGCCTCTAGGGGAGCGAGCTCTCACCCTTCGTTCGCGTCACGGTTAACGAGATACATAAACGCATCTTGAGCAGACGCGGATCTCGTTCTACTGGTAGATCAAGAGACATTTGAGGCGATTCTTTGGCAGACAGCTTTACTGCCATGATTTTTTCCTAGTGCCGAGTTTTTGAAGACCTGCGTTTACGGACCGTCAGAAGGGGGAAGTGGAGAGATTTGAATCGGTTGCGTCTGTGCTTTTCGGCAGGTCCGAGACCGGTCCCGACGGGCAGCCCACAACGGGTTCCAACCCGCTGCGCAACATCTTTCAGTCGCTGCCCCCGCTCTTCGCCACGATCCAAGACCAGACTGGCATCGTCCCCCCGGCCTGGTTGGCTAAGATGCCGGCACAAGAAAACGTCAATCACTAAACGTCAACCACTAAACGTCAAATAGTGAATTTCAACCACTAACGTCAGCCACTGAGAGTCGTCGGGGCTTGTTAGATTGACGGAAAGAAGCTAAGGCCTGCGGGCAAAGGGCTTCCGGCTTCCCCGAACCCAAATGTACCCAAAAAAAAAAAACCAGACAGAAGCTGGAAGAGGCCTGTAAAGCAACGGAACAGCAGCAGACATGAGTTGATTAGATGTAGAGCCGGGCGCACCCTCCGAGTCTAATGCCGCGTACATAGTCAACGGTTTGCAGTCCAGGAATCGTTGCTGAGGATTGTAGATACTTGACCATCCACATGCGATAAATGCAAATGAAGTCTAGCCCCAGCTTAAGGCTGGCCAAAGCCCAATCAGATCATGATTCTCGCCAGCACAAATAGATAGGAACCGTGTAATCCACTTAAGAGCACTACTGTTCTCATTCAGAGTTGTTGTCAATGTGACTGAGTACGCAATTAAACATGGACGTTTGGTATCATCCCTTGCTTAGATTCTCCGCCACTGAAAGTGCATCTGGTGGAAGACCTTCGCCTTGTATCACTTTTTTAGCATCACCTGGTTGTCCGAGAGCAGCTTCACTCGAACAAGTTTTGAAGACTGCACGCCCATGACCATGAATTGATCCGTAATGCAGATTCACGAACGAGCTGGTATCATCTATATCACGGTTCGGTTGATGGAATACGCTGATGCCGACTGGCCCAACAACGAGTTCGCATTCAAAAGAGATGTGGAGTGCCCCTTTTAATTTTGAATGCACCTGCCCACGCAGCCCACTGACATACTCGCGCTTCGACTCGCGCCCTGCACATTTCAATTGAATGTCCAGGAGTCCAGCTGCAGGGGGAGTGCACAGCTTGCTATATAAGGTGTATTTTCGACCGTTGGATCGCTGGATCCTCCAGCTTGCACGCATCGGGCGGCCCCCAGCGTCTCTTATCATCGGACGTTCAGGAACGGACCTGCTTGCTAGTCCTAGACCTTTAGCCTACGGTAGGTATTATGATAGGCTTAGGCTTTAGGGTTCCGTCTCAGTCTAGGTTGAGCACAAGCAGCTCAGGAAATGGAGTTCGACACTCGTGCATGAGAGGGCTGCTGCTGCATTGAAGCCTTCAGCGCCAGCTCCCAGGTTTCCTTACAGCATGCATAGGGCGCCCCTATGGCGGCCTGCTTGGTTCTCGATCCGGATGGTCTGGTCCATAGATAGATCCATTCTTGGTGCAAGCCAGCCTTGCGGTTGAACGAATCGTGAGCAAGATCGGTTAGAGACATCTTCTGGGTTCGCCTTAGCGTGCCGGTGTCGCATGCTCAGAAAGATGGCCTCATCTGCTGCTATCGCGGACGGCATGGGGGGTTTATCAACACCCACCCCAATGCCCGGCGGGGGGCAGTCACAGCAGACGGTGTTGGGGGGCCTGTTCCGCCGTAAAGCGTCTGATTCACATCACCGCATCTCGCAGATCCCTCGAGTCCTCACATTCATACACCTTCTTCCAGTAGGTGAGGTTTTGCATTGTCTTCAGGAGCTGCTCATTGGGGTGGTTTGATTGAGAAGGATTTCATTTTTGGACTGCTTAGGTCTGGATTTTAGGGTTTGTGGTCAGGCTAGATCTGAGCTTCTCTGATTCTGGCAGCATTGCAAAGCTTTGGAAAGAGGCCATGCATTTGGTAGGATCACTGGCCCTGGCGTGAAGAGAACAGCGCTTCAAAACCGCAGAATCTATTGTTCCAGACATGCCTGACGTTGAGTGTACTTGTATTTGCATTCAACGTCTCCTCGAGCTTATCCTTTCAGTAAAGTGTGACCTGACTGCGTCTGCGTGATCCAATGCCTTGGGTTTCTATGCTCTGGTAGAAAGTATGATTGTTCTGTCGCAGTCTGTTTATTCACAGCTGTCAATCCGCAGGGCACATCGCCCCTTGTGCTCCAATCTGGGCATCGCCCCTCGAGGCCTGCTTCACTTTCCTGAGCAACCACTTATAATCTCCTAAATGTCTCTCCATTGTATTGGGTAGTGCGCGTTGCTTGTCAACAAGTGAGGTGGCATATCTTTAAACAGTTGTGCCAAACAGAATGCGGGGGAATTAATTGACGCTGGGCGCAATGCGTAGTCGTCTTTACGGGAAGGTCTCAACACTTGTGAGCAAGGGCAGAGCCCGGCATCAAGCTGAAAACCATCAACCTTGTTGAAGCTTACCAGAAGAAGCAAGAAGAGGCTCTTTAAGAACTTCAAGAACCGAACGAAGAAAGCGAGAACTCCGAAGAGAGATGATGATAGAGATCAGAGTTTGTCAATTTGAACAACACGACATGCTCCGACTGTGGCTATGCCTTTTGACAGGTGTCGGTGCAACAATCGGTGCTGGCGTGTACGTCCTGGTCGGCGCTGCGGCCAGGGAGAGGGCGGGCCCCGCCTTGACGTTGTCGTTCCTCTTGGCGGGGATCGCCGCAGCACTAGCAGCTCTGTGCTATGCGGAGCAAGCCAGCCGGTGCCCTTCCGCGGGCTCTGCATATCACTACGCATACACCTGTGTTGGCGAAGCGTGAGTGGGGCAACGCGTCTCTCTTCTCTGTGGCCACTCTTTGACTTAGACAGAAGAGACCATCCGTGTATCTTTTTCCGGGAGTGTGAGTAGGGCAGCGCTTCTCGCTTCTCTGTGGCCCCTCTTCAGGTTAGACAGTAACGAGTCTGAGTGTATCTGTTTGCGGAGCAGGAGCGGGGCAGCGCTTCTCTCTTCCTCCTGTCCCCTGATTGAAGTTGGTCGGAAGAGATTGCACCGTGTCTGTGATTAACGAAATGCGAGTTCGAAGATACGGCAACGCTCTTATAGGCTAGTCAAGGACGTCTGAGACAGTGATTTGTTGGTGTTGAAATGTTTGGACTCTTCCACGACTGGATTTGTCAATCTTCAGCTCTGTTGAATGTGGATAAGAAAAGGTTTGGCCCCCTTGAAGGAAGCAGCAAAAGTCGGGTTAAAAGTCGGTTCGAATCCAAAGTAGCTTCCTCTGTGTGCACTGTCGGGTAGACTTTCGAGAGCCGTTGGCTGCCTTTTGACAGCTATCGGAGGCTGATGATCTGCCCGTTGCTCTTGCAGAGTGGCGTGGATTGTTGGCTGGGGGCTGATTCTCGAGTACGGCGTCGGAGCGGCCGCGGTGGCAAGGGGTATTGCTCCCAACTTGGTCAGTCCCCTTGCATCACTTTAGCAGTCACGAGCAATACGTATATCATGTCTCTCTCTTGCCTCACATCCAGAAGTGGGGACCTGATGAAACTTGTGCTGTGTTTGGAACCGTCCTTGCGACGGGCTCATATAAGGAACATAATGCATCTAGTCGGAGAGGGAGTCGTAGCCTCCAGGGTGGGACTAGCTGGCTGGACTGTCGTCTTCTTCCCTTGCCTTTACACTTACTCCCCAGTCACTCCTGTCGCGGTTAGTCACAGATGTTACCCCAGCTCAGTAGGCACAACGTAACTCGATCCACATCACAATCCCACAAGAAACAACGCCGGAATCCGTTCTTGACACAGGCGACATTTGCCGGGGGTTACGACAACTTGCCGTGGATCCTGCACCGCATTCCGGTCTTCGATACTGGCGTCGAGCTGGATCCGGTTGCGGCGCTGATGGTTGTGTTGGTGACGGTGCTCCTGTGCTACGGGATCAAAGAGGTGAGCCGCATAGATTCTCTCCTCAAAGCTGAAAGATCAGCATTGATGGTTTGTGATCTTGTTGGAATTAATACATGGCAATCCAGATTGCGCTCCGAGATAAATCCCTTCCGTCTGTGCACGATCCCCAGGTGGAGAAGGATGTATCTCAAGCCTTATCGGCTGTGCACTTGCACTTCGGACAGAAGCAGGAAGGAACTTTTGTAACCTTGTTCTGGACCATTGGACCTATTTTGAAACCGCTGGCGGGTCTTTCACCTGGCTATGCAGCCAGCTTTCCTGAGTCAGTTCGCAGGCTGCTTCATTCTGAAGGAAAAAGTTTAACTCCATCGAAAGGCCGAGTCGTTTCACAGGCTGTTTCGTTTTGAAGGAGAGACTTGAAATCCATTGATCATACTTCAGATTACTTGGCTTTCATCTTTCCTGCCCGGTACGTTCAGTAGAGCGGAAACGAAGCGGAAGCAGAAACGGAGACGGAAACTCAACGGCAGCGGAAATGGAAATGAGGAAATGGAAACGGAAACGGAAACGGAAACGTGTGCCCTTTGCAGAGCGTGACAGTCCAGGGGGTTTTGGTGGTGATGAACGGGGTTGTCCTCTCGTTTGTGGTCGTCGCGGGTGTCGTTGCGGGTTCGCGGAGCGGGTGGGAAGGGTACAAGCAACCGGGGGGGTGAGCTTCCTTTCGAGTTAGCGCTTTTCTCACTGACGAACGAGTACGTCTGGTGCAAATTCGAGGCTTCGCTGTTTCACGTGAAAGATGTTTTCTGGGAGATTTATCGTAAGCTTACAAGGCCAGAAAAGCCCGGACGTAGCAGTCCATTCTGGGCTTTGGCTCGACCTCTTTCCAATAGGGTCTTGGCCAAAGCTTCAGACCGGGACGGGTGCCTTGGACGGTGTTGGGATAGGGAGCGAAGCCGTTGCTTTTCTCTGTGCGAGTATACTGCGCTTTACAAGGTTCCGACCCTATTCTGGGCTCAATAAAGGTCTCTCAAATTTTTGTTTTGGATTGCACCTGACTACTGGACGATGAGAGCCAGTAAGTCTTGCCAAAGCTTTGCATCGTAGGTTCCGCCTGAAGAACGCGTGGGGAAGAGTCACCCTTGGGCAACAAGCTCCTTTCTCCTCCAGAACCTGTCACCATATTCAGCAAAGTAGAATGGAAATGTTGACGGGGTTTTGGCCTGTCCAGGTATGCACCCTACGGCATCAACGGCGTCTTTGGCGGCGCCGCGATGGTCTTCTTTGCGTACATTGGGTTCGACGCGGTTGCTGCGACGGCTGAGGAGGTGAGGATCGTCAAAATTTTCGATTGCTTCCTACAGATTTTGACCCCAACAATGCATCGAAAAGCAAACCAGTCGATGACTGCGCACTACCTCTCCTTCTGCGATCTTGACGTGCCTTGATCTTTGCCACCGAGTACCGCAAAGGGTTGAGACGACCCGAAAACATCGTTTAACCGCAGCACCCTATTATATCCTGCCCATCTGTCTGTGGGTGTGTTTTGGCCGTCACCTTGTGGGCGCATATGTTAGACTAGCATAGGGGGTGTCTTGGTTGCCACACAACTCCTGCCGAAAGTGCGTCCTCTCGTTTCGTGCCTCTCACAGCGGATCTCGCTGACCGGTCATGCTTCACTTCGCCTAGTAAGACCGAGCTACGAACCTTACGACTGCGGTTAGAAACAACCGACTCACTTCGCACCCTTTGGTACAAGCGACCGACCTTCGAACGCCCACATCAAACCCTCTTCATTCCCTTCAATCGCGTGATTCTCCCAGCGAATTGTGACGTCATCCTCATGACGTGACGTCGTTCCTCTGCAGGTGAAGAAGCCGCAGCGCGACCTCCCGCTGGGCATCGGGCTGTCGCTCCTCATCTGCGGCGCACTCTACATGGCGGTTGCCGCCGTTCTAGTTGGCCTCGTGCCGTACCACGACATCAATGTCGACACGCCGATCTCGTCCGCTTTTGCGGCGCACGGGATGCCGTGGGCGCAGTAAGTGTCCAGCAAGCCTCGAGATAAAGTCAAAAGTTGGAGTCCTGCAATCTGGTTTGTTTTGCTCGGCCTTGTGCCCTAATTCGATGGTTCACGCTTCCATCTCGTTAGAATCGCAGCACACAAGACCCCATGAACACAAGATGAACACACTCAGTCTCAGGTCCGAAGAGGACCATTCACAATCTTCTGTTACGGCTTGATCAGTGTACCTGAGACGTCACTACGCCAAAGTTTATGAATTTGGGAGTCGGCCTTCCGCGGCTGAAGAAGCTGTGAAGCTAGATAAGATTGAACATGGATACTCACAACTTCTGGATTGCCGCCGCATAATCTGGACGTGTTTCTAACCGTGCCTGGAACCCTTAAAAGCGTCGAACGGGGACGGTCTTTTTTCGTACGATCGTAATTCCCTGTGGTGAGCCATCGGCGGAGTGTCAGGGTGCCACCCCCGCTCCTCAAATCTTTCGAAGTCGCAGGAGCTCCTTTTTTAGGGAATATGAAGGCTACGGCGCATTGAGGAAGAGCTCTGTATGAATCTTACCTGCCCGTTGGCTGGTGCAGGTATATCGTTGCGGGGGGCGCACTCGCCGCGCTCTCGACGACGCTCATCGGATCCCTTCTACCGCAGGCAAGTCGCACCTCTTCAGCCAAACCTAATGTGGAATTGATTAAATGGCCCAAAGATGCAAGTGTCAAGTCAGTCATTGTATGCTGAGACTGCCTTTTCGTTGTATGCTGAGATTGCCTTTCACACGCTGTGCATGAAGGCATGGTTCAAACAGGGCAACGCGGAGCTGCTTGGACCGTTGCTTGAGTTACCTCCGACTGTTCGCGTTTGTCGGTTGTCCAGTTCGGCAAGCCTTACTGCGATCTGCAGATTACTTTTGCATTGGGTTACAACACAGTTGTCATAACCCCAAGGCTTCTCCTTCCACTGCGTTCCCTAGACAGACAACGTCATCCGGATATGATATTGCTGCCTGTGCTGTAATCCTTTTGTTGAGCCGCGTGTCGGCCTGTGGTGCAGCCACGTGTCCTCATGGCGATGGCTCGCGACGGGCTCCTTCCGCGCTGGTTCAGCCGGCTGGATCCGGTCAACGGAACGCCGACCAATGCCACCATAGTCAGCGGACTCGTGGCAGCGGCGATGGCGTTCGCGATGAACATCGACGAACTGTCCGGAATGGTGAGATTTTCAACCAAAAACATTTTGCGAACTGTCCGGAATGGTGAGAGTTTTACCTAGAAACATTGGACGTGCTGTCCGAAATGTGAGAGTTGATGAACTCAAATCAGTTGATGAACTGTGTGGAATGGTGACAAATCAACCCAAAAACGATATACGAACTTTTCAGAATGGTTAGGCGGCAAAGCAAAAGCGACGGGCTATCAAGGTGGTAGCACTCTCCGACCGATAAAGCAAGAGCTGTGCAGCAATCGAGAAGTTCTAAGATTGTCGAAAGAGCCAGGTGTTGAGAGATGAGCGCTAGCGGATTGTCGGTTAGGGTCCACACGAGTTGGACAATATTGCCGGAATTTGGAAGACAACTTCCCCTACTGGATACCGTCCATCGCTTCTTGCTGTAGAAGATTCCGACTCTTGAAGACTTTGACACGTGCTTTGGGGTCACAAAAGTAGTCCTTGTACCCCCCTCAAAGCGTCCCCCCTGCAGGTCAGCGTTGGCACGCTGCTCGCCTTCTCGGTCGTCAGCGCCTCGGTCCTCATCCTTCGGTACGTACCGCCGGAACCGCCGGCGTCCACGTCAACCTACACCAGCCCCGATCCGTCCGTACACGATGCTGACCTCATCGCCGCCGCCGCCGTCCTAAACCCCCCCGTTTCGGGGGGGTCCGCTCCCCACCCCCCGAGACCCCCCCTGCTGCACCACAGGAGCTTGTCGGAGGAAAGGCTGGTGACAAAGGATCCGCTGCTCGGGGCGTTGCAGAATTTGGGAAATCCGCCGGAAGGGGTTCCGGTGTTGGAGGGAGTGAGAGTGCTGACGCGAATAGGGAGCGCGGAGTTGCGGGCGAGCATGGGGAGTAAAGGTGAGGAGGATTCGATACAAAGTCCCATTGATCCAGAACATTGCTTCTTAAAGCTGGTCAGTTCAGAATTCAGGATTTTGAAGGTGACAAATTTCAGATGCGAAGGGTGCCAGCGTATGGTTTGATCCGAATGATGGCCTTCTATGCTTTTGGGGGTTTGAGGGTGCTTTAGGGTGCTCACTTCTCCTCCGACGTGAAATAGCTGAAGCAGTGCTTGCTTTCTTTGTCCACGGAAACACAGGACGACACAGGCGTCTGGACACTGGATGAGTTCGAGTTCACCCATGTTCGTCGTGATTCTCTTGGCCGATGACGAATTTGCACGAGCTTGATAACATGCTCGATCGGTACTGACGCGCGAGACTGGGTTGAGGTCGGTTGCCTTTTCTTGGAAGAGCAAACCCAAAATGGCCCTTTCTGGCATAGCTCTTTCTGGTAGGCTGTGAACAAAACAAATCAAAATTTTGTTTCTACTTTGAGGCTGACTCTCTCTCCCTCCTCAGAAGACGCGAAGCGGCGGCAAAGAGCGGCGTGGGCCATCTCCGCACTGTCGGTCAGCGCGCCGGTCATGTGCCTGGGGGCGGCGGGCGACGGCATGCCGCCGTAAGTTGCGTCGCCTTCCTCAGAAGCACCGTAGTCCGAGGTATTGATTCCGAATAATTAAATTATTATTGGCATTCGGAAAGTGGAAATTTGGAAAGGTTAACCAATTCTGGAATACTTCTCGGAAGCCCCAAAACGGCCAAAATCAGCTTGACAATCCCCTTCTTAGTGAGAACATAGGGCATCCGGATTGTAGTCGGAATCATCTTAATCAATTCCGGTTTTCGGGTCGGATACTCGGAAAATAAATTCGTCCGGAATCATCACGTTGGACTACGGTATCCGTATCTTTTTTCTGCGCTACCTGCTGCTGACACCTATTTTTGAGGTTTTAGATTGCTTATATTGCTCGACGAGCGCACCAGTAGTGTGCCTGGGAGCCAAAGGGGGAATGATGGGTCGGTCACTGTATGGCTGTCCGTCTCGACGTACTTTTTAGCGCTCTTCAAATTTCCTTGCTTTGCATCGCTTTCCCTTCGCCGCTCTTAACGTTCTCCTTCCTTTCGGTTTGCTCGCTGTCGGATCCTGTCGTAAGATTTCGAGAAGCGTTTTGGCTGCGCACGTTGTCTTGACTTTACACAAGCGGTTACGTAGCCACTAGCTCCACAAGTTCGAGGCAGCCTCGCTTCGCGAAGTTCCAAGTCAATCAAAGCACTCTAGAGCCTGGGAGACACGAAGGCAACCTTTACCTCGATATCAATTCTCAAACTTACTCCTCTTGTGACAGCTGGCTGCGGTGGGTGCTGGGCGGCCTGGGGCTGCCCTCCTTTTTGGGCTCCTACCTAGTTCTTCTCTTGTTGCCGGAAGACGAGGGGGCGCTCACGTTCGGGCATGCCGGAGGTGAGATACCGTGGCCGTGAGCTGAACCTGTGTATCTTGTCCCCTTCTGATTTGATTCGCCTCTGTGCTGCTTGGTTGTGGAAAAGCAAGGGGAGAATGGCTAGGAGTACGGCGAAAAAGCTCTCGGTCTGGCATGCATCCCTTGGATAGTCTTAGGAGAGTAGGCCTGGAAAACAGCTTATAATTCTGCTCGATCGTTGCTCTTTGTTCTGTCAACCAAAGTCAAATGCATTCGATTTTGAGGAGAAACCGAAGGACCTACAAACGGACCACATGTAAGCACCACTCTCGCTCGACTCAACCGGACACCAACTGACATGAGTGTACACAGTGGACTCGATTGTAAGGAACGTCGACGGAGCAAATCGAAGCTTTGCTTTCGATCCGCAGGCTTCCAGTGCCCCTTCGTGCCGACCCTTCCAGTCGCTAGCGTTGCGATCAACGTCTACTTCATGGTCAATCTGGGGTGAGCGTCGCACGTTTTCTCATTGATCAGGGGAAAGTATAGAAAAACAGCCACCCGGGAGCGCGTTGACTGTTGCAAAGTCCTTAAGCTGTGTGAGATATAAAAAATCAAGACTTGATTTGCCGATGTTGAAGGGGTAAGCCTAGATCGAACTCTTTGTAAGGAGCCAGCACGAGTAGAGAAATGGCACAGCGCAAGGCGCGCAGGCAGCCACGGAGTGAATTTCTGTTTAATGACACTGCAGGACTGAATCTATGAGAATTGATGTATCTCGTAGTGGCTGGGTTCTCCGGAATGTTTTATAGGAGCTCGTTTTGCCGGCGTCAACCTAGTGAAAGCGGCCGTGCTGGACTGCTTTAGTTTAAAAAACTTACTATTCCTCCGATACAGATTGGCCACGTGGCTCCGCGTCGGCGGATGGCTGCTAATGGGCGCGCTTATATACGCTCTGTACGGTTATCAAAACAGTGCCCTTGGGCCTCCAAAGGGAGAGACCGAGCTGAAAACACTCGGGCCGCGCCGGCGGAGCTGGATTGGGGACCTGGGTTACCGCTGGTTTAGCCGGTCGTTTGCTTACCTGCCCCAGGTTAACCAAGATACGGAAGCATAGCGGGAATCCGGGGTTCTGAACGTTTAGTCGGTCGAAAGCGTAGGTTGACCGGAGTCAGAAAGGTACAGTGCAAGACAGGTTATTCCAGGGGCGGATATGGGCACGGACGTTCCTGTCAAAAAGCATTGGAGCGCCGCAAATTGAAAGGCTGTGTCATCAAGAGCGTTACGAAAAGAGACCATCGAGAGCTCGAACAGCATTAGGATGCATCTTGAAGGAACATTGTCTTGTCTTGATGGATCGAAGCAGTAAGCTTGTAATTAGCCGTAGCACGTATCAACGTTGGTGAGAAGGTGTGGTTTCACCAAAGGAAGAAGTCAAAAGTTAGGGTGGGTTGGAAAAGCAAAGGAGGCTCACTCGTAGGCTCGTTCGCTGCAGTACATATGTAATATTAGTTCTCACTATAGACCACGTTAGAATTGCGGCATACTGGGCTTCAGAGTTTCACGTTTTTCACTGAATAGAATAAGAGCAGACTGATGATTGCATGCACCAGGTACGGTAACGCAATAGTTGATCTTTCATGAGCAGATGTCATGCACGCATGTGAATGAGCATAGTTGGCGGACTATCATTGCACCGGTACATCCATTTCATCGTATATGATTCTCAATCAGGACGTGGGCGAATTAAGGTTATATTGCATTCGTAATGATTGTGCACCTTTTTGGACTTAAATGGTATATACGACGTTAAACTTCAATGACATGATGAGACCGTCCGGTGGCGCAGCATGGCCTGTGCGCGGGCGGCTGCGGGTCACAGGCCATGCACATTCGTCGCGGACTCTGCGATGCCCATTGCAGTGACTCGAACTTGAAATTGTGTTTTTATCCCATGGTTTACTATTCCGTCCACAATTATTCGCATGCATGATGAAAACATGCGTCGTTCAAAAATTTGGAAGCAGTGTTAATCCGTGGTCGGGCCCTCGCAAAGGATCGGATGCACTGATCGTACCTTGCAATGCACATGCATATCACAATATTCTTCGATCGAGAACTGGCTTGCGTGACAAACCGACCATGCCGCACCTTACATAGGCGTTGAATTGAGTTTGATCGTAGACTACAGCCTCCATCCTCAGACCAGAGCTAGACTGATGGGTTATTGGAAGATAGTCGAAGCGGTGTGATCCTTCATTCCCACTGAAAATCGACGCCATCAACCATGTGCTTCAAGTGGAGATTACCATCCGATACATTTGCAGGACAACCGCTGGAGGGCGCGTATGGAAAGTCGCTTGCACGTCTCCTTGGAAAGCGTCACTTCGTCAACTCGAAGATGTAAAATGGAGGTGGCTTCAATAGGGCCGAAACTTCCTCGATGCCTTGAGCCGAGCTATCCGCTTCTTGTCCTCGTCGAACTTTTGTTGCAACGCCATCAGCTCTGCAAGAACCGCCAGATTGTTTCAGTAGTGGCAGACTTCCCGGTTTGACTCTGGCGCGTCTTTTCTAGGCCTCGGGTTAAACGAAACGCGATGCCTAGAGAACGCACGCCAGTGTCACGCCAGAGGGCGAGGCTTCAATCAGTCAACAACGTACGCAGTCCAACCAAGGTACAGACCTTATTTCCAGCAATCGTAACTGAATACTGTCTGCTCAATTGAAGTGCGTATCGGGACTTGAAGTGTAGGAGTGGGTGACTGAGGAGCTTTGATCGTCAAGACAAGATCTTCTAGAAGGGCCCAATGGCCGCAGGAATGCCGCGATCTGATGAGAAGGAGCTGGTCAACCAGACGGCTCGCTGTGACTTTTCAAAATAATGACTCGACGAGGTTACATACAGTTCCATTCGGATGCGTGACGGACACAACAGATCGAGAAACCCCAGACTACGTAAAGTTCTTCATCTTTCATGTGGGATACTCCAGCACAAAATTCGGACCAAGCGAGCAAGAACCAGATTCTCGGAGGCAGGACCCTTAGCCGATCCCACTCACCGCTGCGCCGCCTGTCCCGCTCCTGGAACCTGTAGAAGTCCAGCACCTGGCCCTTGTTCTTTTTCCTCGCCTGCTCCTCCGCGGCCCTCGCCGCCACCTCCGGCGCCACCGCCCCCACCGCCGTGCCCTCCGCGTCCGTGTTCTTCTTCCGGCCCGCCTTCCCAACGACGAGCGTCCATCCATCGTCTTCGGCGGCCTTCGCTTCTCGCTCTCGCCGCGCCTGTGGAATAATACATTGTTACAATTGGCAATGAGCGTGGTTTTGGTTGGCTGATGTTTTGGTTATGTAGGCTCAATTGCATGACGTAGGCTTTGGCTGCGGCAAAGCGTTCTTTCTTTCCAGACCGGGCTTTTATCCTGAAAAGCCCGGTCTCCTTGAAAGCCGGGCCTGGAAAGAAAGAACGCGGCGAACTACAGCAAAATTCCCTTCCCGCAGCCAGTTTTACCACCATTGAGCGGCCGCCACTCTTCATTGCCATTCAGTGGAAGAAAAACAAACCGATGCCTTCATTGACTCAACTTGAAGAAGCACGTTTTGACTTTCCAAGAAATTGTTTCTCTTCACCTCCGTCCTAACAAAAAGCGTCCGACCGTCACATCCAGCACCTGTTCCCTTGTCTTGGTTCTGGTCTGAGAAGACATCTGGCAACCTGAGAAAGGGCCCGTATTTTCTGAAACAGAGTGGGTCAGCCCAATGCGCTCTTTTATTGGGAAAAACAACGTTGAATGGAAGTTAAGTTTACAGTCCATTTGCTTCATTTATCACCACAGTTTGAAGCTGGAGTTCCAGTTTACCAGATCCCTGGATCCTTGATGACAAGCGACTTTCAATGGCTCAACTCCTAGGAACATACACTGACCTGCTCCTCGCGTACATCAAACTCTGCCATCCACTGGTCGATCTGCGCCTGAAGTACTTCTAGGCCAGGCCGTGCGTCATGGTACTGCTTGATCCACTCTGCGAATAAAACAGCGTTGAGCAGGTTGTTGTTTGTATGGTGAATAGCCCCTGGACCAGCATTTGCATTTGTGGACTTGCCCTGCAAGCCAGCATGCCTTAGCGCAGGTTTCGCCGGATGTCTCCGAAAAAGGCGATTCCTTGATGATCTTACGCCGAGCAACCATCCCATGGACAATGCGACTAGCTAGCTGCCGAGAAAGTTTTGCAGTAGAAGTGCCCGCAACGTCAATAATTGTTCCCTGTCCCCAATTACATTCTCCGAATGATCATTGACATCTCCGCCATAAACGTAGTGAAAACCTCTTCTTAACTCTTCACATGCCTCGTGACGAGTTGGTGTGCTTCTAACCTCCCTGTTAGTTTAAGTGCTTATGATGCCCCGTTAGAGGGGGCTTGCATCATCAAGCCGTTGAGGAAAATGCAAAGAGTGCTCACTTGCAAGTCCTTCTAGTTCCCCCCCACCACCATTTCCATTCGTTTCTGTTGGAGGCTCTTTTGAAAGCCCTGGTCCACTTTGCACTGGTTCTGTTGACATCGCCACTACCGCTTTCCCTATCATGGACACAGATGAGGATGTCAACCAGAATTCTGTTGGCGACTCTATCACGCAAACCCCTCCTTTCCCCCCAGGTGGCGGCAAGGTTCTAAGAGGTGGTGAGGCAACCGATGCAGATTGTGACGCGGCTCAACGAGCTGAAGAAACTGCCACACTTTCAACGGTATAACTTACAAGCGGAATCGTTGACTTCAACTTAAAGTTCAGAGAAACCGCAGCTTGTTGGAACGACAGCGCTGCAGAAGGAATAGAATGAAGAACTGAAGTCTGCCAAAGAAGCATCACATACATACATGTACATTATCTTCTTTCTGTACGACCGAAAGAAACCACTGTAGCCGAAGCCCAGGCCCGACCCTTGCCGGACCAGAACATGAACTTGGGACCGCGCGGTCCCAACTATTTATAAAGATGCAAAACCGTCGCACCGTTTATGCCCGCAGACTCTAGAGAACTCTTCGCGGGGTTCAGAAATTGCCGCCGGCGGACCGTCGGACCAACAGAGGTACCAAGAGACGATACACGGTATATACCGGCTACAGGCCAAGTACCCCGCCTCCCGCCTGCGCCGGCCACCCTCCTGCCTGCTCATTCAGATCCTGTCAAAGAGACACTGTGCACAGTGTGCACTGCTTGCTTGGGGCAGCCCAGAGGAGCAGATCATGCTTGCAGGTGCTGTTCCATAAGGCTCTTGCCTCCAGTACAGTGTTAAGCATAACTTTTTGAATTGGGAGTCCTAGGACACCCTGCGGTGTGTCATTGGGCGTCTTTTGGACACCCCGGGGTTCTTGATTGGGTGTCCTCGGGTGTCCTGGCAGAGGACGCCTTTCAAGGCCCCTTTGGGTGTCCAAGTTGCCTCCGTGCAGACTTTGTCCCAGTCATGCCCCTCAACCAAGGGTCACACCGATTTTCGCCCCAGGAAAACTTTTTAGTAGCTAAAATAGCGCTGTACCGACTCCGGTTGCTAGTGAGCTGCCCGTCACAAGGCGAGTACCGTCAGTGTTACAGGTCTGATACATAAAAGTATAGAAACTGATTAGGATATATCAGAAATCTACCAGATTATAAAGCAAGATTGGCCCCCTACTTTGTAATGGGGGCTGTAAATTGGGTCCAGGCGAGTCGGGCGATTGGGTGTCCTTGGGACCCCCTGACTTGGTCGAATGGGTGTCCCTCGGACACCCTTACGACCCCTTTTGGGGGTCCATTCCGACCATTGGGTGTCTTTTTACCTGAGAGGGGACACCCAATCTTAACGCTGCTCCAGTACGTGGCAGAGTAGCCCAGGAATTCGCGGGAGAGGTCGGGCCATCATTACGCAGGGCTCATTATCTGTGTTCGAGACCTTTGAAAAAGAATTCTGAGTGCCTGAAGACTGAAACGATGGCGGATCCGCGCATTGCTCGCATCAGCAATGCTATCCGCGCTATTCCGGATTTCCCGAAAAAAGGCATCATGTTTCGCGACATCACCACCCTGCTCCTGGATCCAGCAGCCTTTCAGGATTCCATTGACCTCTTTGTCGCCCGCTACAAGGATCAGGGCATCCAGGTGGTGGCAGGGATCGAGGCTCGCGGCTTCATCTTTGGCCCTCCCCTGGCCCTGGCGTTGGGTGCCAAGTTTGTGCCGTTGCGAAAGCCGCGAAAGCTCCCAGGTCCAACCGTTGGTGTGGACTACTCGCTCGAGTACGGCACCGACCGGATCGAGATGCACGTGGGCGCGGTGCAGGCGGGGGAGCGCGTTGTCATCATCGACGACCTCATTGCCACGGGGGGCACCATGGGAGCAGGCATCGCGCTCATCGACCAAGCTGGGGGCAAGGTCGTGGAGACGGCGTGTCTGATCGAGCTCACAGATCTAAAGGTGAGTTAACATGGACAGGATCAAAGGGGTGGTTGCTGCGCCACCTTTCTGGAGCAAGCTGCACTAGATTGCATGCAGTTTGCTTCTGCTTCGAGACGTGGCACCCTCGTCGAGTGGTGCACCACGGTCCTCAAGCGGGACCTGTCTGTGCTCAATTGTCCTGCAAGGTTGCTGCGCACACCAGTCTTCTTCTGGCAGCTCACATCTACTTCCCGACACGTGCTCGTGCAGGGCCGTGAGAAGCTCGGGAACACTCCACTCTTTGTCTTGGTCGAGTACGAAGGGGAGTAAGGGCTGGTTTGAATAGTTGAAATAACAAGGTGCTATGCATTCTCATCAGCATTATACTGACAATGTTGTAAAGCTGTCTTGCTTGGCTGATTACGTTATTACTTTTTTGTTCAAATGTCTATGGAGACAGCTATCCAATGGCGCTGGAATTCAAATCATTTTCAAAACACACTGGACAACGACTCTGAGAGTTAGAAGTCGGCAAAATGTATTGAAAACTTATGGTTGATATCTTAGACACTGGCAGCTGATTGTATCCATTAAAACAATTGTTTGATAAAGCGTAAATCGTGACTCTGAGACCCGGTCTATCACTTGTATGTTGTCAATTGATTTGCTTTGTCTCTCTTTGGCAATGGAGAGCCTTTCCGGCTACAAGCCTTTCTGGCAATGGAGAGCCTTTCTGGCTACAAGCCTTTCTGGCAATGGAGAGCCCTTCCGGCAAGAATTCTGGCAATGGGGAGCCTTTCTGGCAATGGAGAGCCTTTCCGGCTACAAGCCTTTCGGGCAATGGGGACCCCTTCCGGCTACAAGCCTTTCTGGCAATGGGGAGCCCTTTCGGCTAGAAGCCTTTCTGGCAATGGGGAGCCCTTCCAGCTAAAAGCCTCTTTGGCACTGGGAGAGTCTTTCTGGCTACAAGCCTTTCGGCGACTGAGAGCCTTGCTGGCTAGAGCAATGGGCTGAGGTCTTCCTAGCCTCTCGCTTCCATGCCCTGCTACAGCAGCTAGCTTCCTGTTAAAGCTCTCTCAATTCTGCGACCTCGGCTTAACACCTTTATCTTTTTGGAGTTAGCCCATGGCTCAGTGCATTCTGACAACACGAGTTTATCAAAGCACACCGGCCTGTAGCCCGGATCCTGATGCCTTTTCGGCTCCACTTGGCTTTCACCATTGTTGAATAGCCCGCTGGTAAGAAGCCTTTTTTGGCAGTTCGTCTCCTCCATTAACTCATGTGAGGGGGTCTCGACAGACCCGAGTGGCGTCCAAGCTTCAAGTTCTTCAATCGGGACTTGTCTGGGAGATTCTGCGGTCGCTTGGCTTTGTCCACTGTAACCTTTTGGCATCCAGCTAGCTCGTTTGCTGAGTCCGCGGTGCGGCAGGTCTGTTTACTGCACTTCAACCACCAGCTTCAAGTTTCCTAGCTGGAACGTCTTGCTCTTGTATCCAGCTTTCATAATTGCGGAAGAAAGTTGCAGTCAGTTTGGTACCTTTCCAGCTCTTCGATATATACGCCTGCACTTGTTGAGTCTGCATGCTCTGCATACAGTCTCTACATGCCTCTTTTGAGTGACCTCCATCATTGCACTCAATTGTGGTAAAGTGGCTTGCGGCTTGTGCTATGGAATATCCTCGGATGAATTGAGTATACTGGTACGTTGGCTCCGCTCCAACAAGTTGATTGCCTGCTTGCGAGCACAACACCTTCCTGACTGGTACTGCCGGACCCAACGACACTGCAACAATCGTTGACCCTGAGTTAAGAGCTGCCACGACTAGACTGCTAAACACGGGCATTGCATGACAAGGGACGCTGTTCAAGCAATCAAGGCGTTTTGATGCATCCGTCCTACATAGGCTGGGTAGTGTGAGCTAAGTAGTAGGTTGGATCATACGGTGTCACGTTATAGTCATGCTATAGAGGGAGGGTTGATAGAGCTTGGACCAGACGTAGATTCATTGTACCTATACTAGTACTACGTCGCTCGCTCAAGTACGAAGCGTGTCGAATTCAGTGCAGTAAGATCTTGCATATGCAGGTAGTGCAAAGAGCTTGTGAATCGGATAAACACAGCCCTATAACCCGATATGTACGTACTCAATCAAGCCCCATGCTAAGTTCGGTACGGGCTTTATAATGTGATATATGTATCCCCCTTCTTGGCGCCGGCGGGATTAATTGTAGCTACCTAATTTACCTCCGTGGCAGTCTAATCATTACTAACGATGCACGACAGTGAACAATACAAAGATGCACATGGACGTCCTTGTCAATGCTTGAAATTGCCGAATGTGTAGTATCGAGAGCAAGTTGCTTTTAGGCGACAGATCGACCTGATCGATCTTAGGCGGCCTATATAAATAATCCCGCCGTGCCAGCCACCATCATGCGAGACACGTGTAGTGGGCGGACGCCATTCAAGACGAAAGATGCACATACTACAATGGGCTGTTGCAAGAACGGCTTTGGTACAACTTAGCATGCGAGCTTGCCTTAGTGCCTCCCAAACGGAAGCATCCACAACGATCTGAAGGGGTATAGAGTTTGGCAATGAGCCAATGACATAGCCGGGTCCTAGCACTTGGCTTGCTCAAGACATTGAGCCGTAATTCTCACCTTACTCATGCTCCGCTCCTGATTGTACTCCTATGTGCCTCTTGGAATGTCGAGCCTCAAAGCTCGGCGGCCGTTTCAGTATCTTCTTGTCGTTGGTTACCTTTTTCCTCCAAATTATCACTTTGAATCTCTTCAACGCTCCCGCTGTCCAGCTTCTTGTCTCTTGCCGTGGTCGGCGGATCTTCCGATCCAGCCACGTCATCAAACTCGCCGGCTTCCACCCTGTCGGTCAGGCGTCGTTGCTCCTCATCAAGAGCGGGCCACTCCGCCACAATGCGCCGAGCAGCCTGTACAGTCACAAACGAAAAGAGATTACGAAGTTAACGAAATGTTAACGAAAAATCAGTGGAGCAGAAAACCCTTTGCCCAAACTAGTCAGGTTTAGGAGACGGCACGAGGTCGTTCTAAGCGCATTTCGAAGGCAAGTTAAACCCGCATGTGCTTGAAAGGAGAGCTGGAGCAGCCGCTCCGTTGCAGTGTGCCCTAGTAGCCTGCATGTTCAAGGTTTAGGAACGCGCAGGAAAATCGTGGCGGGGATTGAATTCATAAGCGCATGACCAGGCTTGGCTAACCAGAGAAGTTCTGCGGTGCTGGGGCTGTAAAATGGCGTGTAACCATTCGCTAACCAGGATCAGTCGAAAGCAAACCTACCACGACGTTCGGGACAGATTTTCCGGGCGTCAAGTAAGGGCCTCGAAGCTCGGGGAAGATGTCATCCTTGTGAGTTGTCCGTCCGTTAGGTTAGGACAGGGCTTGTTGAAACAGCAGATAACCCATCGTCCCACACGCTCCTCTTAAAAGGGCACCAACTAGAGTGAGAGTTTGCGATCATGCGACATGTTCTGAAAGGGACATTCAGAGAGAGGCCGCACCTCTAGTTTCGGCTCCTTGGTCATGGGGTTGTTGCACAAGTCAATTGTCTTGGCCTGCGCCTTGGTGGCGTTGCCGCACCACGACTCGCACCACAGCCACTCGCGGGGCAGCGAGTAAATGGGCACCATGTGTTGCGCGTAGTTGGGCAGATCCTGAAAAGAAGCCGTAATAAAGTTTGGGGACGAAGCTCTGTGATGGAGCTAGATGGACGTAATCAACCCTGTTGTTTAGCGGCAGTTTGAGAGCGAGAGGGTGCTGGATGCTGAGCAATTCTTGGTCAAAACGCAGGATGAAACAGTGCAAGGATGAAGGCCGGAAGCGCTATGGCGAAACTGCAAGCACGCACGCATTTGGGAAAATGGAGACTCTCAATTCTACTAACTCGAAAAATCCACGACGATCATAATTTCTGGTGCTTTATCGGTCTCGGGTTGCAACAAGCAACACTGCTCCAAGAGAAGGAAGACTCGGTTGAATTTGGTTTCGTAAAATGATGCAAGTCAAAGTTTGAATTCTGGTGATAGCCTTGACTTCAGCCCTAGGTTTACCTGATCAAGATTGGCCAAGCTGTTGGGGTCCTTGCTCAAGCTCTCGTAGAAGACGCGCAAATGATCGCCCGCAGCCATCCGACGGAAACGCGCCAGATCGACCACATACAGAGCGCTACACGGCATACAAAACGAACCAATGAGCATTCACTAGATACAGACTGTCTGAGTTTCACCCAACGAAGGTGCAATCTCTTATGTGTGCGCATGATAGTCACCGCTCACATTTCTCGGGCAACAGTGAGTTCAGTGCTTTTTCTACGACTCCTTGGACAGCTCTGGTATATTAGAAGCATCAAAGAGCAACCCCCACGGAGCAACAGCCGCAGTGATTTCTGATTACCGCTAACTGAATTATGAAGCCTGCAGATACGGCCGGGCCAAATAGCCTTCTGGCCTTCGTTGCAAGCAGACCACAGCTCACCTGATGTGATATGGCTTGCCCTGAAGGTGGTCCTTCCAAAAGCCCTGCATGAAGAACCAAAGAATTGGATTGACTGCAGCAACGTGTATACAACAAAGCGGACTGTAATGGAGCGCCACCTTTTAAAGGCCTCTGCTGGTGTCTGCCTGTGCCGAATGAGTTGCAGCGAGCAGTCGCATGTTCTCGACAAACGTAGCAGTCCATCAAAGATCACGTACGTCGTCTCATACCCAGAAAAGGAATGACGTTGATGAACACTATGGAAGAGGGTACCACCGCCTCAAACGGACGGCTTCTGCACGCTCGAACACCAAAATCTGTACGCCGTTCGGGCGCTCTAAGAGAGCGTCAGATGGCTCTCAAGCTCCGGACCTGATCAGCCGACACCTTTCGGACGCCCAAAACAACAATCTAAGCCGATCCGACGCTCGAACGGATGATGCGGACGGCTGCCGGACGCACCTGCTTCCAGAAGCGGAATCCGTCCATGTCCTTGTTGTTATCGCAGAAGGGGGTGTACGCGAGCGGTGCGCCCTTAAGGTCCATGTCGTACAGTTCCGCCATGTCCGTGCGGACGACCTGGTCCGCGTCCACGAAGATGACCTGGGGACAGAATAATGAGCGTCCGTATGCGTCCAGATCTTTCCAGCCTTCCGGTTTTGAAAGGCCTGAACCTCTTCAAATAACTGGAACCTCTGCAGTTTGTGGCTCCGCCAGGTCGTGCGGACGACCTGGTCCGCGTCCACAATACGACCTGCGGACGGAAAAATGAGCGTCCGGATGCGTTTTGAAACTCTTCAGCCTTCGGTTTTCAGATTTTTGATTTCTGGGAAAATTGCATCCCTGTGATATGTCGTACAGCTCCCCAGGTCCGTGCGGACGACCTGGTCCGCGACCACGAAGATGACCTGCGGACGGAATATAGGGCGTCCAAACCGGTCCGTATCTTTCCCAGCCTTTGAGATCTGGGATTCTGGGAGTTCTGAAATGTTTTGAAATTTTGAAAACGTACACCTCCGCCAGGTCCGCGCGAACGACCTCGTTCGCGTCCACAAAATATGACTCGCGGACCAAATGCTTCCAGCCTTTGATTTCTATAAATTTCTGACATATCGAGAATGCTTGGGATCTCAGGCTATGCCGTTTAGCTCCGCCAGCACATGCCGTCCACAGAAATGCCCTGCGGACATGAGATAGCGTCCGAATGCGTCTGACAGCGAACGTTTGGCACTTTTACGAGCGTACCCAGGAAAACCTTACGGCGTTTCGGTGTCATGGGACTGGCAAGGGAGCAGGCTCCTAAAGCCGCTGCTTTTGTCAGTTCTTTTAGGGCTCCAAATGGCTCCAAGTGCAAGCGGTCAGCTCCAACCGTCGGAGTAGTCATTGATTACTGACCGAACTTCAGCTGACGCAACTGCAACACTCTTGATCACATCCAGCAGAATACAACGATGCCAATATATCCTATTTGAACGTCGCTGTCTCACAAACAATATCCCCGGTATTCAGAAATTCCGTTTCCCAGAGCAGAGCCTAACTTCCCTGCCGGATCCACACAGCGAGTTCAGCTTCCAGCCTCCCCTTCCCCCACAAGACCAACGTCGTGAAAGGCCAACTGGGTCACAAAACGGCGTGACTCGGAGTCTGACGTCAGCGGGTGACGTGGCGCACCTTCTTGAGGTCGAGAGGGAAGAGGACGTCGAGGAAGAGGATCTTGTACGCCCAGATGATGCGCTGCTTCTCCGTCTGCTTGTGCAGCCACGACGGCCACTTGTACGTCACCAGCGCGTACTCAAACCCGTACTCGCGCGCCATGTGCGGGATGAAGTCCTGCAGAGCAGATAATATGGGTATTAAAAGTTTCCAGAACTCTGGACCTGATGTATCTTGAGTGTTATCGGGGCCCATTAAAACCTGGAGCAAAGCCAGAGAAGAAACCATCTCACCGTGTTCGCTTATTGGAAAAGCGAACAAAGGAAAGCAACAAGAAGCTGCTTGAGTGTAGCAGGTGGAGTCGAGAGGACCCCTTTTCTCTTAGCAGCATCGTAGAAATCCTCAAAGATGGAAGTCCAGGATTGTCAAAAGGAGTGAATAGCAGAGGTCGGTTGAGCGATAACGGACGTCGCTGACGGTTTTAGCCGACATTGTTGTCAATCATTATCAAGGCAATTGCTTCTGACGCAAACGCATGAGGAGTGTGAAGCTCGCTGCGGGGGCCCATATCGTCCGACGTTTCACCTGATGAATGCGCTTAGAGCTTCGTTGAACTCAATGGTAACACGGTCTTGGAGATTGGCTTCAAGCTCGATTCTTGGCGAAACTAATTCTCATTGAACCCGAATTTGACAAACCGCTTCTTCTAAGCTTCTCCATCTGATACTTTGAGCTTCGCAGATGCAACACGAATCATTGGACCTCACCTTGAAGCGGGGCGAGAGGTAGTTCTTGATGAACCAGAACTTGACGGGCCGCTGCGTTTGCTTAATGACGCTGAGCACCATAATCTTCATCAGCCGCTCGTACAGGTGTCCGCTCGCCACCGCAAACACGTGGATCGTCTCGTTGGACGCCGCGGGGGCGACCACCGTCGATGCGAGCTCCTCTCCCTGCGAAGAACAGAGTCAAGACTCGAAATGTATTTAAAGGGCAGGTTTAGTGAAGCTTTAGGTAGTGCAAAACGTTGATCGTCTCGTTCGACGCTGCCAGAGCGACCGCCGTCGCTGCGAGCTCCTCTCCTGCGTACATTGATTGCAAAAGGTCAGTCTTCGTGTGAGATTGGCAAGGTGAGTCTGTGAGTTTTGCGAACGGATGAACTGTCTCGTTTGACGGCGCACGGGCGACCTTTTTTGATGCAAGCTCCTCTCCCTGCACAGGGACAAGGGGCCAAAGAGAAGATCGGCTCTTTGGAAACAAGGACAAACAATACTTTGAAGAACAACTCAAATGTCAAAAGAAGACCAAGTGCAGGGGCAGGACCAAATGCTTGAGTACAAAGCGAAGAACGCTTCGTTGAATGCAGAACGATGGCCGTTGCTGCGAGCTCCTTTTTCCAGAGAAGGGCAGAGGGTTTGAGCGCCGTTGATACAAGGTTGAAACCAAGTCAAGAGTCCGGCAGCGCAAAGGACAGGATCGTTCCGTCGGACGCTATGAAGGCGACTGCGCTACAATCGACTCCTCTTCTCGCTAAGACAAAGTTGTAGCATTCTGACAAATGTAGCAAGGAAAACAGATTGGCCCACCGTGCATCCCAGTCCCGCCCCTTTTCTATCTCATTCGCAAATTTAGAATCAGTACAAATACATACCTTCGATTGCAGCCACTTCTTGGCCTGCCCCAGCACCGTCCCCCACTTGGACCCCTCCCCGGCTTCCGACGCACCCCCCGGTTTCGAAACCCCCCCCTTGCCATCCTCCTCGTCCGCCTCCAACAGCTTCTCCTTCTCTCTCCCGGCGCGCTTTGTCACCCCCATGTGCAACAACTTTCCCCTGAAATCGCTCACCACCACCTCCATGCTCTCCCCCCCTCCGTATTCCCCCTGCCCGGCCCCCCCCCAGAGCGTACAACTCCGTCGAGCGCCCGGGCACGAGCGACAAGTTCCACACCCCGGGGGCGGCCTTCAGCTGAAAGTAGCCCAGGTTCGCCATCACGATCGTATCCACCATAAACGGCGACTTTTCTCCCTCCCCTAGTTTCTGCCCGCTGCCGAGCGCGAGTTGCAGCCCACGGGGGGGCTCCCGCGTCTTCGAATCGAAGCAGTGCCCCGTCAGCATCAGCGCTTCCAGCTCGTAGACCGCGTGCATCGACCGCGATTCGCCGAGCTGTTCGAGTCGAAGGTTGTCTAGGTCGTACGGAGCCTGCACGGCTTCGACGAGCCACGGCTCGGGGACGTCTAGGTTGAAGGTGAGCGTGCGGGAGGGGGGGAGGTGGGAGAAGGAGACAGCTGGGGGGGCGGGAGAGGGGGCGTCAAGGCGCGAGGGAGCGGCGTACCTGCGGAAAAGAGCGATCAATAAGTGTTTACAATGTGGGCAACCATAAGTGGTTTCAGAGTGCACAGCTTCCGCTGGATTCCTCGTGCCTGGATGCTTGGAACGAAAGCCTGAACACACCTCTTGCCGGAAACAAACATGCCAAGGTATGATCGCAACAGACGGGCAAGAAACGAAGAAAGGTCGGAAGGCCAGAGTAATGATGAGTGCAATGCCTGCAAGACTAAACCTTAGAAGTCTGTAAGCAACGCCACAGAAAAGCAGATTGGAACGACAACATGAAGCTTCAAGCGTAAATTGCATAAAACCTCTATGACTTCAAACCAGTAGTAAAAGGGACGTGCATCTTTAGCCCTCTGAGCACGAGCACTTTCTGTCAATTACAAAGAAGTAAAAATTCAACCTCAGACGCATACGCCCATTCTGCAAAGCAAATCCAAACGCTTACGTCCATCCTGCGAAGCGAATCCAAGCCCGAACCGCTCACCTGTAGAAGTTCTTGAGCGGGATGTCTGAGAGCCCACTGACCGGATTCAGGATTATCCTGATGCTCGGGTTTAGCCACTCGTGCAGCAGCACCAACAATGACGTCAGCTTCTGCGCCGACGGGCTCAGCGGGTCGACCACCGCCTCGATGCTGATCGACGACGAGGGATCCCCCTCCAATACGATCGCGCTGTGCCGCGTCTTCAGCAGCCCGAAGTTGGCGGTCCCGCCCGCAGCGCGCTTCCGCGCCGCCAACGCTGACGTCACCCCGAGGATGACGTCACTCAGGAAGTCGCTGGTGAGGTCGTCGGGCTCGACGTCAGAAAATTCGGCGTCCTCGATGATGAGCAGAACCTTCTCGGCGCGCGCGCGCAGTTCTAGGCTCTCGAGGAGCGAGAAGTCGTCGGCGTGCAGCGCAGGGGCCGAGTCGGGGAGCGCCGTGACGCGCCCGTTCGTGACCACTGCGCTGGTGCCACGTGGCAGCCCCAGGACGTCCTCGCAGAATCGACGATGATCCTCTAGCATTTGTGAAAGTGATGCGGGTTCGGTAAGTGACGACCGGAGGTCGGCTTCACGCAGGCCGGCCTCTGCTGCGAGGCGCAGGACAAAGTCGGTGGTCTCTGTGGAGACGGGGCCGGTAGCAGAGCGGAGCGACTCTACAAGGGCGCCGCTGGAAAGGAGGCGCTGGAGGAAGGGGACGATCTTCTGACGCCGGCTGGGGACCTGCACAGCGAGCAAGCAAAATAGCGAACCAGCCACTTCTTTGTGGTTTTTGAGTACTTTTTCGAGCAATAGACATTTGCTCGAAAACGCCATGTATGATTAGACTGAAGCTGCCAATATATGCAGATGAGGAGACATAGCGGTCCTGCTACAGGTGTCCCTCTCGGAACCTGCGCGGAGCTTGAAGACTTTCCGTATCCAGCTGTATCGTACTGAAGAATGGAAAAATGTTTCTCTCAACTCTGAAAGTTCCGTGGATCGAACTTCCCCATCAACAGAGATCCCGGATGGTTCACTTGTTGCAGAAAGACGGGTCAACATTGCGAATAGGATCAAATTCCTACCTGAAGCGCCGCAAGTACGACCCTCTCCAGCGCCCCTGGCTCGCCCTCCCCGTTCAACAGCACCGCCAGCCGCGCTTGCGCCGAGTCAGCGCCTGCCACGTGTCCCACAGCCTGCTTCAAAACCCCCAAGCCCCTCTTCCCGCCCAGGTTAGCGACAACCCAGTGCGTAACCGGCTTAACGTCATCAGCAGTCCCGGGGTGGTGCAGGTACGAAATGAACCGGGTTTGGTCGGCTACCGAGCCCGCCAGAGAGACGTAACGCTCGGAGGCGTCCGAGGGCTGGGCGTTACGCTTGAGAATGAGCGGGGAGTAGCGGGGCTGGCTCCCGGAGTGGAGCACGTATTCGAGGATGTTCATGCGCTCTTTCAGGCGGCCGTAGTAGTACTCTTGCTGGATGTATTGAGTCTCCTCCTGCAGTTAAGTTGAGCAATTAGAATCAGGGTAAGGTTTATAAGGAAACTAGGGCTGTAGATGGTTCCCTTACTGGATCTGAACGAGGAAACTCAGATGGTCCAAGCTGCAAGCTAAGAGGCTCACGCCATCAGAGGGGTCAGCTTGTTGGTGGTGCATTTGAGAGCGAGTATCGTGGTCCGACCTACCGAATCTGCTGCAATCATTTGGCGAGGAGACTATCTCCCTACAAGTATGGCGCTGATCTTGACTTAAGGCGACCCGCAAGAGCCATTTCCTCACATCTGGTCTTCAAGATATTACAAGGCTTTCATCGTATCATATGTCCGGTGCAAGGTCTTCAATGATCTAGCGATAGAACCAAAGATCAGAACCTTACAAGCCAACAAATTTGGAACACCGAGCGAAGACTCTGAAATAGGACACAAACGTACCTGGATTGCCTGCACCAGTGTCGCCTGGACGTCTCCCGCAGGATGCACCTTCCCGTTCATCAGCATCACCGGCGCCGCGGCCGCCAGCCCCTTTTTGTGGGCGAACTCCGTACCCGCTAGGCTTCCCTCCCTGTACGTTTCCCCATGGATGCCCGCTAGAAAGTCTCCCAGATTCTTCCTCTTGACGCTGCCCCTGGTCTGCCGCACCAACGCGGCATAAGCCGCCTCGACGTGGGCGAGGGTGAGCGGGGAGTCGTTGCTGACGTCATCGGTGAAGTCATCGAACTCGTCAGCGTCGCCGCCCCATGCGCGGGCCAACTCGGCCAAGAACCTGCAGCAAGGAGTGTAAGGATAAGAGTAGTGTCTCCACAATGTTTGTGTCTGGGTGAAGCTGAGCCTGCTTTTGGTAACACTTGAAGCTCCTCCTTACTTCAGTTGCAATGGTCGTTTTCTTGTTAAGAATTATGATCCAGGAGAGCGGCAGACGTTCTTGGTGGTGAGAAGACACACTAAAAGTATTGGCAAAGGCTAGTGCCCCACACAGCTGGCCACCTCCATTGCCCGTCCCCCTTTGATTGCGTCAAAAGCAAATAATCGCCGTATGAATCACGTTCCATCGATGAAACCTCCTGAAAAAGATCATCTCAGCTCACGTGCACTGCTTGGACCACTTCGAGCTCCTGTTCCAGACTCAAACCACTCTGCATCAACATGTTGGACATCTAAAAAACTGTTCGACCCAGCATTGACGTCACTGCCCAGTTGGTAGCCCCCCTCACCTGAAGCCATGCTCCCTTCCCAGCTCCTCTTCCAGATACAGAAACACTTGCGTCACCAACTCCGACAGATCCTCGGCCAGTTTCGCGGGGGCCGCAACTGCTTGCCCTTCCTCCTCCCTTTCAATCCCCGCCAGATGCGTCGGCGACACGAGCATGACGCCGAAGCGCACGGGGATGCTGCGCTGGTAGAACAGCATGACGGTCGGGAAGATCTGCGCCGAATGCGAAGGCGCCACGTGTCAGGAGGGCGGACACTTTCTGGCAGCCTTTCTTGCTAAGACGTCCTCAGCGTGGTGGAGAGCGCATGACACCCTGACTGAGAAGAATGTGGGGCCGGGCAGAGGCCGAGCAGAATTGCGGAACAAAACAACTCCACTGATTCTATGAAAGACGCGTGCGCTCATGATTGAGCGGAGCCTTTCGGCGCTCAACGACGGCCCTGCACTTCGCCAAGCCAACAGAAAACTCAACATGCTTCGGATTAATAGCCGCAATCAGACCGCTTGCTCATTACCAACCTCCGGCTGAAAAGCTGACCCGTTGAGTCTCACCGCTAATCTCATCAGAGCTTTTCAACCACTGGACCCACGACAGAACCGCGTGGCACGCTTTGATGGGCGACCCACCTTGAGCGCGGCCGTCGATGCGGGGTCAAGCACAAACACGGCGCTGAACAGGTTGCGGCGGATCTGGCGCAGCTGCCCCGGATACGTTGGCATCAGTAGCTCTTGCAAGCTCGACCGCCACATCCGGTACTGCGAGTCGCTCTCAATGTCGTTCAGCCAGTGCACGCCGTCCCCCTGGAAGTCCACCCGAACTCCGCCGACGTCATCCGGCGGCTCCGGCAGCGCCAGCAGCTCCCCACTGACGTCAGCGGGGAGGCCGAGGCGCGCGAGGGCCGCGCCGAGGGTGACGTCAGCGGAGACGCGGTCGATGAGGGAGAAGAGGTCGAGGGAGTCGACGTCGGGGACGAGCGCGCGGTTGATGGCGAGGAGCGTGCGCCCCGGGGCGACCATCTTCTGGTTGGCCTCGATCTCGGCGCGGACGCTCGCGTTGAGCGGGGTGCGCGAGAGGGAGGACGCGACGTTGGGGAAGTTCTGGTTGATGTCCTGCAGACAAAAAGGTCGTGATTGAAAATAAGTAACTTTAGAAGAGGATGAGTGGCAGTTTTGCAAAGGGAAAGTAGGCGACAATGTGGTAAAGAAGCCATTCGCCATCTTCTTAAGAAGATGGATATTGAGAGGCTTAGCGTGAGCAACGTCCCTTTGTGGGGTCTTTCCCCTTTACGGTTTGGGTTCTCCCTACTTGCCCCTCACATTCGACAGCGTTTCAACCGAATCGCGCGAAGACACCTACAGAGAAACTAGACGCTTCAGCTCTTGTTTTCTGTCCTTGTCAAAGCACAATGAAACTCCTCGATCCATCAATGAAACTCGAAGCTGCGTCCTCGCCGATCCTCTGAACCCGGCCAATCGGGCTTGTTGAAGCATTTCAGAGGACAAGTCGTTCAAAACCTCCTCGTATCTTATCGCTTGCACAAACTGCTGCGCCCTGGAATCCCAAACTCTAGGCCCTTACACTACATCCTCCCAAATCAATATGACCTACGGAACGACACAACATCAGCGACTCAAGCACTCGCCTGCATCAAACGCAGCGGCTCCCGCGCCTGCACGATTCGTTGCACGGCCTGCAGCCCAATCTCCTTGAGCTCCCAGACGCTGATCTTATCGGAGTCGTCCGCGGCGCCTGACGACAGCAGCACGTCACGGAACGTCAGCAGCTCCGCCTCCTTGTCGGGCCGCCGCTCGACCAGCTTCGAGAAGATGAACCCGTTCACTTCCTGTATCGAGTAAGAGGCTTCTTTCTTGATTCTTTAGAAGTCCCATACCGTCAGCATTGCGTTTTCAAGAGATGTTTTGAGCGGCCTCCACGAGCTTCGACAAGATGACCCAATCGCTTCCTGCAGCAAAAAATACAGCTCTTCGTTTTCAAATCACTCGTTCATGTAAAGTCTGGCGACTGTTGAGACGTCTTACTCGTCAAACCCGGGGTGAAAAATGTCGACATTGGGCATCCTTCATGGGCAGGTCTCCAGTGGTTTTTGGAAGATAAATTTCACTTGCTCTCTCTTAGACTCGTCCTTTGTCTGCAAGAATGGGACTTTTCAAAGTCGCCTTCTGTCTGACCCCATCATTGAGCCCCTCCGATACGAGCTTTGAAGAGCGAAAAGCTGCTGGTTTGTGCGCCAGCTATCACGCCAGATTGTCGAGCCTACAACAGCACTACCTTCGCAGGGACTCTTGAGGGGTGAATTCTAGAGCACTTTGACTTCGGAGGAGCATTCGGTGCCCTTCGACCACTTCGTATACCTGCCATCCCTAGTCGTGGTTCTTATCTGAAACACCTTATCGTAAACCCTGCAAACCTTGAAAAGCTTCCCTATAAACCGCTCCCACTAATTGGATGTTTCGTCAAGGGCACACCTGCACTGATATTGCAGAGGGCGTCGCTTCTCACCTGTGTCAGGTCCTCAGCCGCTGGCCCGTCAGATGTGACGCTGCCGTCCTTCTTGACCTCAGAGTCATCGGCGGCCTTGTATTCCATGTTTTTGAGCGCGAGCTCAGCGCCGAAGCCAGCAAGATCGACGGGCTTTTGGGTGCCGATCCGGGCACAGGGACTGGCTGCGGATTCACACCCAGAGGGTAGGACAGGCCTGGAAGGAACGCATCATCTTAAGATTTCACGTCGTTTTGAAGATGCGAGAGCACAGTGTTGGTCCTTCGAACCAAATGGAAGGCCCCGCTTGTTCGTAGGAGCAGGCTTCAAATATTAGCGTAGAGCACAGAACACGGTACCCATACTGAATGAAAGAGGAGTCTTATTGCGACTGATTGTAGTAAATAGAAAAGGTTGAGGTTGGAGACTTGACGCCACACAAAATGAGACAAGCTGTTGGCAAGAGACTCGTTACTCAGTCTACTGTATCTTGTGATGGTGATTCTGTAACTTAGTCTGCAAAGCCGAGGTGATTGAGGTGAGTTCCAGAGCTTCAAATGATGAGAATCTTCAAAAAGTCTGCCACACTTACAAACGACCTCTCCGCTTCGATCAGGCAAGACCCGAATGTTATCATTTATCGGGGTCAGAACGGTTCTTAACGATGTCCATAATGTAGATGTTTATGGCCCTGAGGACTAGGTTTGGCAAGATTGGGTTGTGGATTGAAACCAGCCCCACAAGCTGCACTCCAGGAGTTGGAATACTTACGCACCTATTGAGGACATCAGTAATTCCTTCCCCTTTGATGGGTGAAAACTACTACGACACTCAACAACTCCGTTCCGACACCTCGTCAGGATCAAATGCAGGTCTGAGACTGCATATCACATCAGCATCTTGACATATTTGTTGAAATCGAACTCTGTTCCCCTGACATATTCAGCAAAGCGTACCTGTAGATGTACGCGACGCCCTTGCCGCTCTGCACCGCTTCCGAGAGCACCCGGTGCATCTCCGCAAAGCAGGGGGTTCCCAGCGCCCCGTACAGCACAAACAACCTTGCCCCCCGCTTGGACGCCGGATGCACATGATCAAAAGCATATCGCGGAACTTCTTCCGCAGTTGCTCCGCTCTCCTCCGCAAGTTCTTCCTCTAGCTCTCGTGCGGTTCGCAGGACACTCTTCCCAGGGGCCTCCACCCAGCAGCACATGGCCCCCCCCGGAGAGGCAGGATTCCTGGTCACTTTCCACCGCTCATCGTCCTTGCTTTTCGCAGTGGTGGCAAGCGACGCCAACCCAAGCCTTTCGAGCGACTCTGATGCGAGCTGCCGGTAGACCACTAGTTTTGGAGAGGCTAAGCGGAGGGAGAGGGAGAGGTGGAAGAGAGAGGCCTGAGGTTGGGTGAAGTTCTGGGTAGCCTGGCTTAGGATCTGTTCCGCACACCAGGAGTCATTGGACTCCAGATTGGGGGTTGGGGTTTGCGCAGTCCAGGCGTCTAGGAAGTGCCAGAAGGACGGTGAATCATGTTCCGCCAGTAGCTCCCTGTGCAACGAGAGGAATGCTTTCTGAGTGATGTACTGAAGCTTTGAAACTTTCTGATTTTCCTGGGAAAAGGATTCATGGTGGATAAAGTGACGCGTAATAAGGAACCGGATTGATGAGCTTTGCTTCTGTTGATGGCGGTGCCTGATCAAGCACACCTGGAAACATATGGAGGTGGTGCGACAGAAGATCTGAAGACACTAGTGACTCAAATGCATTATGATAATCCTCTAGACCTTACCCCTCTGATTAGCTGGGGGAGAAATAGAAATCGGAACAGAATTGGCACAGTAGTCTAGTCATGAAATCTTCTCCATCAGTAGCTCCAATCTTCAAATTATTCTTGGTGATCAGGGCAGACTGAACCTGGCCTTGCATAATCCCTGGTTCCAAATCCCCAAGGGTTTCCAATCAGTTTCCACTGCAAAAGTGGTCGCTGCTCGTTTTGGAGGGCGCTGACCATTGTGCAAGCATTGATAACTTATGAACGCTGTGGTACGTGTTCAACCAGCTCACAGCCTTGACACCATACTGATGAATGCGTGCAACCCAGCTGGTGAGGCCCAGAGTGACTATGCCATCAGGTGGCAAGTAAGGGCTGGTTTTCATCAGTTGTTTTTCTTTCGTCGACTCACAGATTGCCCTGTCAACACAACAGGTAAGCGACGAACGGGAAATGCTCACCCTGCCTCCAACAACAGCGGAGTGCCCTCCCATTTTGATCGGAGCACCACATTGACTCCTTTGGGGACTTTCGATGCTGGCGCCGCATGAACATGCCTCAACCCAAGGAGAAGAAAGGCGGCGAGAAGAAACTGTATGCATAACTGACGGGCCATTTGCGAACAAATCACGGCGCGCCTGATTAACTGTGCTTATATGCTTTTAATGAAGTACATCATTGCTCAAGTGCTGTTTGCCCAGGCAGAGGAGCAAAGGATCGAGCTGCAAAGCCGCCCCCAGCGGTAGATGCCGCTGAAACTATTATAGGCTATTATAGGGTCTGGCAGTGGAAGAAGGCGCTTGGAAGGTCTCCTTAGGCTTTTGCTCCTGATGCAGTGATGCCAATGGCACCTGAGGCGATATCTTATATTCCAGCAAAACTTGCCAAGTTGTAACTTACGTACGAGGGTTGAAACCTGAGTGTTAACCTATTATTGTGATGGGAACCATTGTCGAGTCTTGCAGCGTCTAGGTTAGGCGTTTGGGTTTAGGTCCCTAATGCACGCATTCATCTCGCAAGTCGAGAGGATTTGATTGTTGAGCTCGTGAAATCAGGGCATATCCACGCAACGCCATGACGTAGGGGAAAGGACGGAGGAGGAACTTGAACTTGCTGACAGTGAGGAAGCTGCACCAATCCTGCAGAAGACTGAAGACTGAATCTGTACCTTGTAAGTTGTAGCCTGTGTAAGGACTTGCAGGGCGACCATTTGAGGCCGAGCAATTGGAGGGGACTCCCACTTTTTTGTTGGCTCCCTTGCACGAGCTTTCACTCTTCACTTCGGTACACGATTGAGGGTGCAGCCGGAAATTGCGCAAGGGTTGATTGTGAGTTTCCAACCAATTCTATCAGCTTGTGTTCTCAGATTGCAGTCAGGACCATCTTTGTTGCAATCTTGCAGGTATTTGAAGAGGGCATATCAGCAGGGTCATCAGGTGTCCATCCAATTGACGTGCTTTTCTGCGCAAGCTGCTTTGTGCATGCATCAATTGACCTGCATAGCATGCATTTGGGAGCACTATGCCGTATGTTCTGTTGGTAAGCTTGGTAAGCATGCAAAGCGTATGAGATATGTAGAGTTGCAGATTGGGAAACAAACATACAGAATCGTAATGCAGTGCTGCTGTCCTTTTATGACGCCATTGTTCCCTGCCACTTTGATGGCTGAGCACCTCTTCTGTGTTTGTTTCAAAGTCAAGAATCACCAAAGCACTGCAACATTGTCAGAAGTGGCTTGCATGGATCCTGAGATATGCGGCAGAGGCACTAACAGCACAATCTCTTCAGGCAGACCTACCGAGTTGCTTTGTAGCCAGTCGGTTTGCCTCCTTGCCAAACAGCGACATTTCGAGCAATCTTCTCTGATCAGATAAAGAGTTGGCTGCAAGGTCTAGAGTCTGTTGAATCCTTACAGTGTTTAAGCAGATTCTTTGCCCTTTCAGACCTTTCTGGCCATAGAACCTCAATGTCTTCATATTGACATATCCCTTTGTCTCAGAGTTTGGAAAATCAGGAACTTTCAATCGAGCAATGTTCATTTGCAAGGGTTGATCGTCGATTGGTGGTTGTACTCTGCCTTCGGAGGTCTAGTGGCACTCTGGAATCATGGGCAAAGTGCTTATCACGTAGTACACAACCTGCGACTGGCATGATCTGCGCACTTGCTCAGTGTTTAGAGTTTTAAAATCCTTGAGTGCTTACCAGAGCTGAATAGACAACCCATGGAGATACAAAAGGTGTGACCAATACACTGGAACACAATCGGTTCAAGGCCCCAAGATTTCAGAAGTTTCTTTTCCTTCTCGCTTGTTATAAACCAGAGACGGCTTCTCTGACTTTCTGCTCGTCTCACTGCAATATTAAGCAGATCAACTACCAGGCACGAATCACTTTCTTAGAAACAGTTCTCGTCTTGGGACCCATCAGTCACCCACCTAGGAGAAAACTTGCCACGAGAGTAACCATGTAGGCTAAGCAGCTATCCTACTTCGAAAGAGCCACGTCTGCCAAGCCTTCCCCAATCTTGAGCAGCATCCGCCGCAAAACCCCCTCAGCAAACACACTGCTCAGAACCAACCCCCTCTTCCTTCAGATCCTGCGATCAACCCCTGAACCCCCCATGCTGTGAGCATGTCCGCAAAGAACAGCCCTGTCACTTCGCGCCGCAGCAGCGGCCCGCTCCCCACTCTTGAAACGGGGGGAGACTCCCCGCAGCCCCGTCTTGCCCGCCGACAGAGCCTTCCCGCCGACCCGAACGGCACTTCGCTTGAGCGCTTACCCGAACACATTCTCGGGATGCGTACCAGCCTGCCAAGGGATGTGTTAGAGGAACCCGAAGTAGAGGGGACTCCCGAAGCGGGGGCCGCCGTCTACCCAGCGGGCCCGAAGCCCGTGGCGGGGGTTTTAGAGAAGTGGGTTAACTTTGGGAAGGGCTGGCGCCAGCGCTGGTTTGTGCTCGAGCGCGGACTGCTGTCCTATTATAAGCTGTCGGGCCCTGATAAGGTGTCGATTGCCGAGGAGCGCTTACGGCATGCGGCGCTGCATATTCTGGGCAAGGAGGCGCACAAGGACGTGCATGAGGCGCGGAAGTCGGGGTTGGGCGGGAATGGCACCCCGCCCCGCCCGCTCGGGTCCGTGCACATGATGCTGGCGAGCATCCGCGAAAGCGCGGCCGACGAGAAGAAGTTCTACGTGCACACGGGGACAAAGACGCTGCATTTGCGCGCGCAGAGCCGGGAGGACCGCGCACTATGGGTCCAACAGCTGCGCGAAGCAAAGGCGCTGTTCATGGATCAGCGGGGGCTGCTCCCCCCCGCGGGGACGCCGCTCCAGGACAGTTTAGCCGAGATGCTGGAAAAGCTGAGGGTCGTGTTGGCGGGGAGCGTGGAGCAGGGGAAGATGGATGCGGTGGAAGAGTTGGTGAAGGAGGAGGCAGGCGTGTGGCAGGGGCGGCTGCAGGCGGAGCGCGAGAAGAGGCGGATGCTACTGGAGTATGTGAGGACGCTGGAAGCGGACAAGGTGGAGCTCGAGACGGCAGGTGGGTCTGCACATACTAGTTGCTGAATCTATTTAGAAAGCCTGCGTTGTATCTGCTCGTTTCTCTCCTTACATGGTAGGACTGTCTCCCTCTTGTTGGTGATTACGTCCAATCACTTACACGACGAGTTGTTTCTGCAAGAGTTTTGTGTTGGGTTCTTTACTATGGATGTCAGTCTGTTTCGTTCCTTGAGTTGTCAGAAGCTCCATGACCACCTGCAGGAGTCGCAAGCAAAGCTGTAAGATGCGTCGACGACCGGAGCCGCAGACACCTCTCCATAGCATTTCAGACCTCAAGAGACCCTTCTTTTTTAAACTGCAAATCTCTTGCTTAGCCTTGTGGTAAGAAGGAGATGCTAAAAACTCATTGCTGACCTGGCAGTGCTGGACACGGAGGAGGTGCGCCGGATTAAATTGGAGGCAGAAACACCTAGGAGTTCTGTTCTCCCGAAAAGGACTGACTTCGTAGATTCAATCCGAATTTTCGAATTAATTTCAATTTTCGAACTGATTTGTAAACCCTTCCCCTCGGTCGCTTGCAGTGCTGGACCACGAGGAGGAGCGAGTGCAAGGCGTGCGCGCCACGCACGGCGGCGAAGACGCCGACTCCGAGGACGATGACGACGCGGGCGGGAAAGACGACGTCGGGAACGATTCCGACGCCGACGATCTGGACGACACGTCGCATGACAAGTTCTTCGACGCTGCGGACGATTTTGTTGCGACGGACAAGGTCCGGAAGTCGCTCTCACGCAAGAACCTGCCGCAGATGCTGGAGGAAGCCCCGACAGGGGGGTCGGGGCACCCGTCTCCGGGGGGGGGGAGGAGCGGGAAAGTTGTGCGGCGGACGCAGCTCCCGATGCCGGTGCAGGAGGAGAAGAGCGCGAGCCTGTGGAGCATCATCAAGGACAACGTCGGGAAGGATCTGCAGAAGGTGTGCCTTCCCGTGTACTTCAACGAGCCGATCTCCGCACTGCAAAAGTGCTGCGAGGATCTGGAGTACACGGAGCTCCTCGACCGTGCGTACGAGGCCGGGCGCGCGGGGGATCCCCTGACACGTGTCCTCAATGTGGCCGCGTTCGCGGTGTCTGGGTACGCGGCCACCGAGGGCCGCACGCGCAAGCCGTTCAATCCGCTGCTCGGAGAGACGTACGAGGCGGAACGGCCGGAACAGGGCATCAAATTCATCAGCGAGAAAGTGAGCCATCACCCGACAATCGTGGCATGCCATTGCTCGGGACGCGGGTGGCGCTTCTACGGGGACTCCAACGTGAAGAGCAAATTCTGGGGGCGCTCCATCCAGGTGGATCCGGTCGGCATCTTGACGCTCGAGTTCGACGACGGGGAGGTTTATCAGTGGTCCAAGGTGAGGCGCGGGGTTATTGTTCCCAGCTTAGCCTTTACTTAGGTGCGTTACTTACAACGTTTTTGGAGCGAGCAGGCGTTTTCTTTATGTGTGTGCTTCTCCAGAAGTGGTCGAGATAACTTTTTGACTGTCTGATTTGTGTGGGGCCGAGGCGTTTCGACGGTCCAAGGCAAAGCTTAGACTACTCGACTTTGGCCGAAATTGCGTTCACTTCAATCAGTACCTGTCCAGCTGGGACCAAAGGAAACGTGGTCTTGTCGAAGAGAGTGTGCTATACCAGTAGACCATTACGACGGCAATTTGTCGCTCGTCTGAGAGACGAGAGCTGGGCCGGTGCGCGACTGCAAGGGACGACTGCGAAAAGAACTTGGGCAACTTTCAGTCGGGAGATACACCCAAAACGTAATGAATCTGCCGCAAGAACTAGACAGAAGAGCTTTTGGGCTGATGCACGGGTCTGCGCGCAGGTGACGACGTCGATCTACAACCTGATCATCGGCAAGCTGTACGCCGACCACTACGGGACGATGCGCATCCAGGGCAACGGCGAGCTGTCGGCCAAGGTCAAGTTCAAGGAGCAGTCCATCATGGACCGCAACCCGCACCAGGTAAGCATTCGTAGATTCGAGTTGTGCGAATCGAGGTGTCGCCCTCTTTGGGCTTATTGGGTTCAGACTCGAACGCCTCCAGATTGCGGGTGTCGTTATTGGTTCGTTTGAAGAAAGTGTACCTGCGTGCAACTGAATTCAGCAGAGCGACTTTGGTCGTTGAAGCCCGATGAAACGTGGAAGTCTAACCCTTGAGATCCGAAACCTGTAGTGAGAGATACGGACGAAATGAGATACACAAATTAAAGATCATTTGGAAACCGTCAACCGTACCTCTCTAGGAGCGCAGCGTGGTGACCTGGCGAGGGGCGTCAAGCTGGCAACCATATTTCGGCAGAATCCGGAGAGAGAGTGTGACAGTTCAGACGAGATAGTCAAAGTAAAAACGAACCAGAAAACGCTTTCCTGCACTCTTCAGAGGCGCAGCGTAGTGATCAGTCGAGCAGGCGTTGAGCTGGCAACATCTTTGGCACGATCTCGAGATTGTACAAAGATAGAAAGGGCCTTTACTTTCAATAAGGATCGCAATGGAAAAAGAAAGCGAGGACCAAAAACTTTTCTAAGACCGGGAGACCAAAGGTTTTCTCCCTTTCTCCTCGGGTACGCGGCGTGGTGACCAACCGGGCGGGCGTCAAGCAAGCAACCATCTTTGATAAGATTGCAGAAGCCCAGACCTCAAAACACTTAGTCGCTTGAAAGGATAAGACCAAAACAAGATAGTAATGTTCCTTCTCTCTTCCCAGGTGCGCGGCGTGGTGACTCACCGGGCGGGCGTCAAGCTGGCGACCACCTTTGCAGAAGCCCAGACCTCAAAACAACTCAGTCGCTTGAAAGGATAAGACCAAAACAAGATAGTAATGCTCCTTCTCTCTTCCCAGGTGCGCGGCGTGGTGACCAACCGGGCGGGCGTCAAGCTGGCGACCATCTTTGGCAAGTGGGACGACGCGCTCTACTTCGTGGAGGGGGATCCCCACGAGAAGAAGCTCGAGACGCTGAGCACCAGCCAGCTGCTCTGGCAGCGCGCGCCGCCGCCCGAGCCCGCAGACCGCTACGGCCTCTCACGCTTTGCGATCACGCTCAACGAGATCACGCCGGGGCTCCAGGTGGGTTTCGCAGGATCTTATCAATCCGCCGCATTGCCCCAAATGGTTTCATGTCACCGGATTGCCCCTATCATAAGCCGACCGTATCTTGTCCATATATAATTTTTTATTGGCAAATGATACCCTCATCTAAATGAGTGACCGCTTGATTGCTTACGGCCTCTCGCGCTTTGCGATCACGCTCAACGAGATCACCCCGGGGATCCAGGTGGGTTTTGTTGAAGCTTGCCTGTAGAAGGGCACCATGCGGCGACCTTGGTTTTGTCTTTCTGTGGTGGCTTCGTTGAGAGTTCATACCTGATTACGGTAATATCTGTCGGGTACATACTTTTGATTACGCTTTCATCTGTCGGATTAATCACTGCTTTCCTACGGCCTCCCAACGCTGTGTGTCCCTGCCGGAAATCGACCACGTAGCTCCAGAACGAGCTTCCTTCCGCCCTTGGCCGACTCGTCTAGTTTTATACTCCAATGACAGTGCGGTCCGCTTTCTGGACGTTGTAGATTCTTGTCGGGGCATCTTGTGATGGTCCCTCCCTGATCCTATGCTGACGAAGGTACGAAGCTGTTGATTTTACTCATCTGCTAAAACCGGTATGGCGTCGTTTGTGACTCCGTCTCTTCTGGGGTCACTTTCTTGGGGTTACCCAAGGACGTCGCTGGTGAAAAGCCGGCTTCCCCAAATCCACTCCTTGCCGCCAAAACACTCGAGTTTTTACCTCGTTCGCAGGAGCAACCTCTCGTCCCGTCTCTTATGCTGAACGTTGAGGCTGCAGTTTGACCTTTCGTCTTGATTTTGACTGGTGGTTTTGCGCGCGCAGGAGAAGCTCCCCCCCACCGATGGCCGGCTGCGGCCGGACCAGCGCGCCCTGGAGAACGGCGAGTACGACGTCGCCAACTCGGAGAAGCTGCGGCTGGAGCAGAAGCAGCGCGCGGTGAGCAGCCGGCCGAGCTGCTCAGCAGCGCCCGTGAACCCTAGGAATGTAAAATCTTAGAGCGGTTTTGTTTTCCGGAAGTGTGAACCCTTCACAAGCGATCAAAGCCCATTTGAAGAGAGATATTGTAATGATTGGCAGCGGTCGGTCTTTCTTTGAGAAGCTACAAACACATTGGACTCGCATCTTTCTGACCAACTGATTTCCTTGTGAGCAGGCCCGCAAAATGCAGGAGGGCGGGTGGAAGCCCCGGTGGTTCACACCGGACGAGAGAAGCGGCACGTTTTTGTACCAGGGGGGGTACTGGGAGTCTCGGGAGAAGGGCGACTGGCAGGGTTGCAGAGATATATACGGCTTGTAAGACAAAACAATTCCGTCCTCGTGCTGAGTATCAAAGACGAGAATACTACTTTACCGGACTTAACCACTATTCTGGCCAAGCGACCGCCTCCGGCCCTTGTAAGAACACACGATGTGGCACCACCATAGGTAATCAAGCTTTGATTCATGGGTATGGTGTCCGAAGTGACACGCGGTGCTTGTATGTCGTACAGTTCAGTTTTTCGTTATCTACATCAATTTCGATGCCAAAGCTGGTCTATAAGGGAAAAGCGACAACAGTGCTTGAGCAATTGTTGCTTCTAGTTTTAGTTTTCGATTGACATTGAGAAATCTTGTTGACTTGATGAACCCTTTGCGGGCCTTAAGTTTGTGATTCTTTCAAAGCATGGTTGCGAAAAAATAGTCTTGTCGCAGATAGCATGTATCCCGGGCCCGACTATCTATATAGAATATGAGATGAATTGAATCATTTAAGTCCTTCGGGGCCAAGACAGGCCCAGTGGACTGTTCTCTCAATTTATTTGCTCTAAGCTCGCTTTCTCCTCTGCACACTTAGATGTATGAATTTCAAAGCTATCGCTCTTTAAAGCAATTGCTCTAGGTCATTGAGAAAGCGCTTCAAAACCATATTCTCCCCACCTACATGCAGGAAATAGCGCTCCAAAATCTAGCCGTATGTCACTAGAAGTCATGTGCAATCAAACTTGAAATGTTTCTCGACTTCTCGTCTTCCATGCACCTGATCACTTGCACAATTAGCTCAGGCTTACATAGCCTACTCCCTCAATCCGGCTTTTGCCATTCCCAGCTGTCTCCACCGCCAAAGTATGCAATCCTTAGTACACGAAAGCTCTCTAGCATAAGTGCAAACGTATAGGCGCGCTGTATCCAACACGTACGTGCATCATTGTTTATTTGAGGTCAGCCCGGGGCGTAAGCTGAACCCAACGCTACTGCGTTTGCATCCGAATGCGTATGTACTTTTAACTCTGAAGCTATATATCATGCTGCTTATGCATGATAGCCTAGTAGCCATGGCAAGCTAACGTATCTTTGTATAAGTTGGCCGATCGACCATGCATATCATAGTATAGACGCACTAAATGCATGCACCGTCCTTTCCGGTCGTCTTCAGGCTCCCTGCTTAGTAGCCGACCGCCTTTGCTAAGTTACCTCCAAGGTCATTTTAAGAGCCATAGTTAGCTAGTGCATGGGGTTCAATGAGGCCCGGAGTCATTGAACCGGCGGCCGGCCCGATCTAGGCAACGCCTGTTTCTGTACTCCATTCGCCTACAAACATACAAAATGGACATGGCGGTCAAGTCATGCTGGGTCCATTTGCATGCGCATGCCTCGAAGCATGGGCCCAATACTTCTTTGAGGATCCAACTGTTTAGTAGCTGGAGCGTAGGATATACCGCAGTACTCGGGCCAACTTGTTTTAGCTGAAGTTCCTTAATCATTGTTGGTGGTCCGAAGCTGCATAGATCCTGAGTCTCCAAATGCAAAGATCTCACCACCGTGACATGCATGAACTCTTGCATGTGCACTTGGCTTCCGCTACCCACCCGCTACCTCGAATTCGAAGGCTCTCAGTGCCAGTACTTTCACTGTCACTAGTCCAGATCCCGTGTCTTGAAAGTACTGCGCTATTCCCGAATCTCGATTGCGCTGTTGCTAACGATCCCAGCTGCCATGCCAAGCAGCCACTAGCAGTGGCACATGTCATGGCACATGCCAATTGCATGTATGTGAATGTGTATACTACAGTACGCTAGCCAATAAAGAATTTTTCCCTTGCATGGCAATTGATATGCATGATGGTCCCTTTTCAAATACGCCGTGGCCAAATAGGTCATATGCTTCTCATGGCACACGAATAATTACAAATGTCCCCCGCATGGCGGAAGATAAAAAGCAGAGTGTATGGGTACAATATGGGGATTTGAAGACATGATCGTGCACAGCCGGCATTCACGCTACATGCATGTGGAGATGACAATGGCCGCCGCAGATCCTGCAATTGCTCATTAGTACATCTGTCGGCGACGACCGCGGACCAGGCTTCCATTGAATCGGATATCACCTCTAGTAGAAAGGCTAAGGAGCAGCTATGAGACGCACTGAATGTCAGCCAACAGTGGGGACGCAAGAGCTACTGACCATGACAGCCTCCACCCGTTGAGCTGCCCCGCAGCCTCGGAGTCCCCGGTGCAGGATTGGCATGCACAAATGAGTCTTGAGCCTGTCGGATATCACTGATTAAATATATGACGTTAGCCGCCTTGTTATATAGGATAGTCCCAGCAGATTCAACAAAATAGCTAGACCGTCATGACCGTTGGCCGCGCGATATCTTGATGATTACCGTACTTGTATTACCAACGTCTCGTAATTACCGTTGCACCCAGATTTGCATAGAGTAACGTACCTAGGACACTCCACGATTTGGTAAGCAGCGTAGCTAGGCAAATCCAAATTTCAAACATCAATCTAGCTATGTTATGGCAGCCTATGCATGGCCCTTGTGACTATCCGGGCGTGTTTGGAAAGCATATGTTGCTTCAATGCTAAGTTCGGAAAACGCTAGTGTACCCGATTTATGGAACCGAGTATATTTCATTAACATCGGCTTTCATTGAAGACAGTTAACGTCAATGAACTGCCACCTACTATAGATATGGATACCGACAAGCACAACAACTCTCTTTTTTCTCAATGTACTTCAGCCACACAGCTTTACAACCTTTACCTTGATTGAACGTCAGTAACTTATACACAGATTGGATACCTTCCAACGTTAAGCGTGCCCTACTACAACCCCGTTACATCAAAAATTGCCATCAGGGTACGTCATTATGGCTTTCATGGCCGGGAAATGCCCGAGGAAACTGTTCTACCCACACAGGGATACCATATAAGATAAAAGCACAGATCTGGGTCAAAATCAAGCTAACAGCAATATAAGCATAGGCCTTCCCTGATGAACCTCCTTCCGCAAGCTTCAAAATCTCCACCATGAACGTTGAGACAGTGCTTAGACCACCCATAACTCCTTTTCCAAGGGCCATAAGCCACACTGACCAGACGTGACTTGTAATCTGCATGCAACAAAAGAAGTAAGAAATGCAAAAATGGTACACGGGCTGTTGCATTTTGCAACGCCTCATTTCAACTTATCAGAAGTTTCACTTGACAACTTGTGCAACACTCCAAAGATGGCAAAGCTCCAAAAGCTTTTAACCGAATTGTAACAATATCACATGCTTCCGCTGACAAAACAGCCGCTCAAGCCTCACTTATAACCGGGTACGGGAAGCTTCCGGGAAAAACACGTGCTCCTCAACAGACTTTCCGACCAGGAGCGAGATCACCCACCTGTACGTCCCCCATCTTGTCAAGCGTGAGGCACATCGACGCAAGGACGTTTGCCGCAAGCGTCCCCCACGGAATCCACGCGTAGGGGGACCCCTTCATAAAGCCCCCATTATACCGTGATAAATACCACCGAAGCCAGACTCCAAGTGGGGAGATGCACGCCGCGATGGCCTGTATATGCTTCCCAACATCTCCCCACTTGAACGCGGCAATGACAATGTTCAACGGAAGCAAAAAGCCAAGCCAAAGCACGGCTGCCGTCCAGGCGACCGCCTTTCGTCGCTTGAGGTTGTCGGGGGTGATTCGAATGGCAACTCTTCGACGCTTTTGGAAGCAGGACCAAAACCAAACGAGACTCTGACCGGCGTTGATGCCGACAAGGAGCGAGACGAAGGGGAGCTCGAGGCCTGCAAAAAGGTCGCACTTCTCGATTCAGGGTTTTGAGGTCGGAGGTTCGAGCTTCAACTTTCAAGTCCGAAGGCCTTGCACGATTACCGGTTTTTGTGCGCTTTATGACTAGGACTCATTGAAGACCCGATTCGTTTCATCAAGGAGAGTCCGACGTCCGGCCAATTGTTCCCAATATGTGGATGTCCATGTCTGAGAAGGAGCGGTTATGCATAAGCCAAGCTGAATGTTATGGTGGTCTTTGACCGTCTTCAGCAAAAGGCTTAACCCCTGTGCCCGTCCTGTCCCAGGTCTTTTAAATCCACTCTGCATCCTCCAATTCGGTGAAGACAACCTCAATTTCGGAAATTTCACCATCTCTTGTCTGCAACGGCTGTTGCGTCTGTGGCTGAGCAACCTCTTTGTGTCCCTCCGAAATATTACAACTGGAAAAGAGTAAACGGCAGATCGAGAAGCACAGATGTCTTGCAGCCCTAAAAATAGCCAACGGCCGAAGGACCTATCCTTGCCGTCAAAGTTCACCGTCCCTGCTTGGCAAGCCAGTCAAAGTACGGCCACATAATTACTTTGCCTCGAACACGTCCAACCAGAGAAGGAGGCCTCACCTAAAATAATCCCAAATAGCGCTTTCTCCCAACGGCCAGCAACAAACAGTTGCGCCATATCTTGATTGAAGCTCGCGTACGTCGTGATGGATCCCATGAGGCCGGTGGTTAGGCCGAGGGCAATCAACTCGGAGTACTTGGCAATCTGTGCCTTGCACGTGACGCCCACGATGCCCATGAAAAAGCAACCAATCTGTAGTTCGGGGAGAGGAAATGCGTTTGTTTTTTGCAATGCGAGAAGCTCTTGAGATTGCGGCACATAATTGCATTCAGGTATTGGCGGATAACCTATAGAGGAGGACAGTCTCATTTGGACAGGCTTGCAGTGCATAGACAAGGGGCCAGTCAACGGGTATGAGCGATCAGCGGCGTCAAGTGTTGTTCCAGTGTGAAAGTAGGTGCACGAGTGTGCCAGCAGCACTGTTGAGAGGATGCTACGCAGACAGAGGGCAGACGACGCTTACTACAATGGACAAGCTTAGATATTTGAGCGAACCCGAAAAGGGATACTAAGAACAAGCCCAGTGACTAGGGGATTACCCTTGAAGAACGCACCAGAGTCAAGGAAGGTCTGCACCAGAACAGGTGCCATTCAAGGCAACACCTTGTGGCCACAATGTTTAGAGCACAACGACGCACGCACTCTAGCAAAAGGGACAGGAGCTTTACCATGTTAGCCGGCAAGTCCTGGAACAGGCAGTCCCACTTTCTCATTATGTGAAGGCCCTCGTAATTGAAGGCGTCCTCCAGCAATATCCGGATGTGTGTCTGCAGAAAGGGGGTTTCATCAGTGTCAGAACTTGGGAAACTACTCCTCTTTCAGGTGTCTCCAACTCTGTTAGCATCCTTAACCGGGTTCGACACTACGGCTAAGATTGACTCCTACGATGGAGAAGTGACTATGTAGAGGCTTAGAAGAAAACATTAAATTTGGGGTGAGTAGGAGAGCCCTGAAACTTCCAACACTGTCAAAGATGGACCTTTCAAATGTACAAACTTGGCAAATGCATAGTGCATTCCGGGAAGAACGAGAGTTTTGTACACCGCAGAAAACCAAAGTAGGTTCATGATAACCGTAACTCACGACGTAACTCAAATGCAGCTGATCCCCACCATCAACCGAAGCAAACAGCAAAAGCAATGCACACAAATACTCGGCAAGCCTCTGAGTCTTTGAGAAGGCAGCATAGGGCATGTTTCCCTGAAAGCAAAACTGCTTTAGCTGGAGTACAGCTTTCAAAATAACAAGTCTCGAAAGGACAAATGCATCTCACCCCAACAACTCCTGCAAGTGCACACACACACAGTATTGCCACCAGCTCCCAGCCGGGACTAAGCCTCTCAGCATCCCAGTTTGCCACATCGGAAGGCACTTGCGATGTTGGCAGCGTCGCGTCTGCTTCTGTTACAGGAAGCGGGCCGTCCTGCCGTATTTCCTCAAGCTCTAAACTCTTGTCCCCACTCTGCAAGAAAAGAGGCTACCATGAATACAGAGGATGATAGGAGCGGGAGATACAGAAGGTGAAATTAAGGAGAATAATCTGACGTTAGCAGACGAAAAAGATCCTGGTGTTTGCCCCCACTCTTCAGGAGGAGAGGCTTATGTCAACAGGATTGTGGAGGCTGATAGAACTGGGACACAGGGAAGGTGATGTAAGCCGACAAGAAGAAGGTGTTAGCAGAGAGGAGAACTCCTGGTGTTAGCGGGGATGTGATCAAACTGTATTTCACGTATCAAACATGTGTAAGAAGGAGTGAGTATCTTAAATCAAAGAGATGGTTGTCTACTGGGGGAACCATTAATCCCCCAAAATGCTGCAAGGTAACATGAGCAGAAGATTGGGAAGGGGACAACAAGGAAGGGGAATGCAGCATTGGGACTGAAGAAGAGTCTAGATACTGGTCAAATGATGGTTACATGCTGGTTTAGTTTATCAAAGTGGCAACTAGGATTAAGACCTTGGCAGATGCATCAGCTGACTGTGGCAAGGGCCAGGTTGGACTGAAGTTTGCCTGAGTGCCTCAAGCTTGAACGGTTGCCATCAAGTTCAAATCCACCTGCGGTACATGGAACAATTACCGACTCAATGCATGCAGCAAGGACCAGGCGAATGGTCAACTTGTTTCCACTGACAAAGCCTTCTTGTGTATTTGACCTCACCGTCCCAATTGCTCTAAGGAAGCATCAAAAGCAGACACAGATGAAAGGTACACACAAATAGACAGCACTTTGTACAGTAAGGCTAGCATTCCTGACCCAAGTTCAGAGCAGTCCCTGGCAACTAGGGCAATGCAGCTCTTTTCCTTGTAAACTTGGGTCAAGCATTACATCCTATACTGTTTCCATGAATCCCTTTTTGAAGGTCAGCCTCTTCTTCAATGTGCATAAGAGAAATTCTTGCACTCTGGCAATAAAAGTAACCTAAAGGAGGCTTTGGTTGCCAGCAAATGCCAAGTGCAGGCAAGACAACAGTGAACAGGTTGACCAGGAAGATGGGACTGGTCTGACGCAGGCCACAGCCCCTCACAGCCAATATCCAGGTCAGAAGAAACATGCGAGCTGGAGTTTTCAAAAACCGCAAAGAGAGTGACGAGATAGGCTGCACCAGAAACCGCTTTGTATCACTGGTTCCTCACCCTCAAAGACTCCTCTGTCAACTCTCCACTGTACCTGGAACAACCAGGCATACTCGTTGAGCCCCCTCCATGCTCTAGATCATGGTTCGCTGAATCACCCCCAGAAGGCATGTCAGATTTCATGCTCTTCAAGTAAAATCTAAGCTGTTTGTGCCAGGACGCCGCTCAACACGCTTAGCGCGTGACAAATTTAGAAGACCATGACAGTGAGGACAACACAATGTTACGGGGTTATTACTAACTACAACTGTTTATCTGATTCCGCGCTTTCACCATCTTCAACAAGAACAGCAACTGAAGCGGAGAGGAAGGCGCTCTCTACCAGCTCACAAGATTGAAGTCACGCCCAGCGCCACAGCAAAAGATTTGGAGGACCAGCTGAGAATCTGGATTCTGTACGTAGCGTCGTGGGGTGGCAAGCTTGTGCGTGAGATTATTTGCCAGCTCCTAAAGGAATCGCGTATTCACAGTCGAACCAGGGTCCAGCACCAAATACCGGTACTCCTGTCATGTTGAATCTGACATTGCATCCATCATAAAAATAGTTCAAAAGCTGCACGTGACCCAACCGAGAAAGTTAACCATGGTCAACCAGAGCCACAGTCTGCTGACGCTTTTCATACTTTCAGTCTAGCTGACTCGTGACGAGTCGTGACTAAGTTTTAAACCCAGTGGATGACACTTTGTGTTTAGGTCCGGGTATGTCCCCAGACGGGCCCAGACTCCCCCAGAGTATGAATGTTGTGGAGTGTGAAAAGGCGGGGCCAGCCGCTGAGGCGTGTGTTCCACACGTACACCAGATTGCCGAATGATGGGCGCCACTCAAAACTGGACCCAGGTGTGCCCCTTCCAAAACTGCAAGGGCGGTGTTACCTTGGGACCGGTATACACTGGTGCTTGCCACTGATTCCGGTAGGTACCTTTTTGTATCGTTACCAATCCAAGGTAAGACTACCCTTATAGGTTACCGGTAGGTACCTCCACCAGGCACGGTATTAAATCGATTTCCATCCCACCCGGAACACAAAGCAGGTGAACACGGTACCGCGTATGTGTACCGGTCGGTAGTTGGAAACTTCGGAGTTTGTTTGCTCTGGATTCATCCATCTGGAAGCTGGACATACGAGTAGATACCTAGGTGGTAGGTACGTACCGTGCCAAGCTGTTTAGCGCGCCGTGCGCACACCGCCTATACCGGTACATTGCAGCGGGCGTCACCCAATGTTCGTGGCGAAACTAATTCTTTTCGCCAATTTGATTTTCGCCAGATTTTCGCCATTTAGTGTCTTGGCAGGGAATTTCGCCGGCCTGGCGAAAATCATCAGGCCGTCAGCCAGTTCTTACATGCTCGGGTGCTCCCACCCGCTTTGACGAATCTTAACCCTGCTCAGAACCCCTTACTTTACCTTTGCCTGCACATTTTCAATTGACTCTCCAGAGACAACGAAAAAAATTGGTCGGTACAGTAATTTTTTGGTGCCGGGACACTCTACCGGCCACAACTGCCGCTGGGATTTTCGCCATTAGTGTCATTTTCGCCAATTAGTGTCTGGGAGCTCCTATTTAGTGTATTCCAAGATTTATTTTCGCCACGATCACTGGCGTCACCTTGCTAGCAAGTGCATGACGTACACGGGCATACCTACCGTACTTCGGAGTCCGGACTCTTTCAGGCAATCCAATCCTTCCCACGAAAGACCCGTAACCAGCAGGAAGCTGAGAAGCTCTGCTGCCCCAACACAATATAAAGCAGCAAAAGCTAGACACCATAAGAAGACGGCCGCAACCAAATCTCACAGCGAGGGGACCTTTGATCGGACGCCACTTTGGCATCAGCATATCCGGTCTGCTTCAAGAGCATGCTTGCCAACCGTCAGTTTAGTACCAAGCGGTTGCGACACGAACGGGTACCATCCTGCATCTTGCTTTGGTGCATGGACGCCCGCGAGCGCTTTCGGACTTTACAATCGTCTCTCCCGGATTGTCGATACTAGATACTTCAGAGCCAACGATGATGTACGATTGCAACAGGCCTCGAAGTGCCTTAAGTTAAGAAGTAAGATGTCACGGCAGCTCCGGTTCTCGTGCCTCAGGCTCTTGGCGCTCACTGGTTAAGTTTGTGGCGCTGGTCGGTCTGCAAGTTGCGCGCGCGAAAGCTGAGGAGATGCCAGCAAGCAAACTTGCATATACCACTATGCCGTGGGGTGCACTTGACCATTGATGCATCATTGATCCATACATATGATATGTATGCCGTGGAAGCCTTTGGTCCATGTGACTTCGCCAAACCTTTGTAAAGAAAACATACATCATTGTGGCCGGGCTGGCTCCATGTTTCATATGCAGCCTGCATGCATAAATTGTCGGGCCCGGCTGCATATATACATACGGCAAGTTCAAGTTCATTAAGAGTCAAAAACTTTCCACAATTGCATCCATACGCATTAGTATGTGGTTGGGCTTATACTATAGATCCAGTGAATTCGATTCATCCATGGTAGTGGTGTTCTAAATTAAATGTACCCGCCACGCAACATATTGAATTGCAAACGATCAGCACGTGGAGGGCAATGGCATACCATGGCATATACCCGCTGCATGATCTCAGCAACTCGACCGGAGACCAAACTCTCCAATTGTTTATATGCGCGTTACGCTATTGTGTATGCTTCACACGCGGCTAGAGCTCCACAATCGTTTCGATATCCTTGCATGGGGCAACTCGTGAAAACGGGCCCGATCCCCGGCCGGAGGCCGGACCGAGCGCGTTTATAGTGCTGGCAATGCGGTGGTGCCTTTTTTCAGTTGGGAACCTGTGTCGGCTGTGCGAGACGGTGACAAAGATATGCATGGTATCCGGGCGTGGCCTCATGGGTGCTGCAGCATGGTCCTTCTGAAGCATGTTGCGGGTTGACAGCCGGCCCAGAAACAATGCAGCCACCGGGTATGATATGCGCGGGACCGGCAGCAATTTAGACCATCACTCAAAGCCGGCTGGCAACTTTTAGAACCAGGCGGCATACTGTACAAGGTTTGGTGCAGTTTGACAGTAGAAAGCTATTTCACCTTATATCAGCGAGAACTGAGACGGCTGCTTCCCACTAACATCTCCCGGACTTTCCCCTTCTCCCTCTCCCTCCTCCAGCGCCCGCTCTTCTCCTCGCTTCATGTACCCCGTCTTTTGCACGTAGCTTTTCGAACCCCTCGGCGCCCCCGCGGGGGGCGTAACCCCGGCCGCAACCTTCGCCGTTTTGGGCCCTCGGCCTGACCCTAAAAACCCCCCGGTGCTGCCCCTGCCCGGCCGCTCTGACGACATAACTAAAACGAGGCCCTTCCCCTCATCCGGCGCACGCAGCGTGCGCAGCGTCCGATCGAGCGACTTCGCGACGATGATGCCCTCGTGGATCGGGCGCACGATCAGGATCCACTCCCCGATGAAGAAGCAGCAGAGCAGCACAAAGAACGACGCAAAGAGGAGGCTCTCGAAGAGCGGCTCGTTCGGGTGCGAGAAGACGGTGAACGCGAGGAGCAGCACGTGGGTCGGGAACCCGAGCAGGAACGTCCACATGAGGAAATGCAACCGGTTATGCAGCCGCTTATTGATGATCACCGAGCCCATCCGCAGGCACGTCCACACGTAAAAAACTAGGTATATGATCGCGAATGCGCCGAGGACCACCGTCCCGAGCAGCGGGAAATAGCACGCGGCTGTGCCGGGCTTGTTCCCGTCTGGCTCCGCGCATTTCGTCAGGATGGGGGGGATCTTTATATGGTCGGGGGACTGCGCGATGCTGACGGTCTGACCCCCGCCGGGGCCGGTGAAAACCTTGTCCTCGGCGGAGGTTTGCCAGAGCGGGTTAAAGAGGATAACCACCAGTTGACAGGCGACGATGGGCGTGGTTAGCAGGAGCGTGTAGGCAACCACTTTGTAGTTCCAGCGCTGGCGGGGGGCGCTCGGATCGTCGCGGAGGGAGCCCAGGACGAGGAAGAGCGCCGTGAGGAAGAAGCCCGGCTCCGCGAAGCCGTACGCAACGACGACGTAGATCCGGCAGAGGGATCTGGAAGGTGAAAGAGAACCGTTTTGACGAACTGTTGCACCGGTCTGAAATAACGAGGATGACTGTAAGGAAGCTGGGCTCCATCTGGTAGCAGCGAGAATGAAAGACTGGCAGCAAGGAGCTTGAAAGGGCGACTGAAGACCAGTGTGCCATTGTGGCAGTTTTGGAACGATGGCAATGTTTGTGAAGAAGCTGGGTTCCGAAAGATCCGGCAAAAGGGCAAATCGCGGTGAAAGACCATTGAACGACGGAATCGGAAAAGCTATATGGCGGTTCTGATACTCCGAGGATGTTTGCAGGAGAAGCTGGCTGCCTGAAATCGTACACAGCAAAATGCAGAAAAGCGATCATGGAACGGGAGACTAAGCCGGCTTGATTTCTGGGAGTTGGCATGTTGCGTTGAATGATAGTTTGGCCTACAACTAAGGTGACACCACTGAATATGGATCCAGCAGTTGGAGAAGGAAGAAATAGAAGTAGCCGCGTTTTCCAAACGCCTTTGTTCTACCATGAAAACAACGGGAACCGACACGGATGAGGCTTCTAAAGAGGAAGCAAAGTGATTGACTGCAGGAGAGAGCGGCCGGGCAATTCAGGGTTTGAGACGGTCCTCTCAGCAGCTTGCCACTCCAGACAGGCTCCCAAAAATGTAAACTGAGTGCAATAAGCGACAAATGAAACGGACGGACGAAGAATTGCAAATATCAAGAATGGCTTTAAGCGCAGGCCAATTGTTTGCCATGTCCTGCGCCCCCAATCCCTCCATCGCGCTACTTTCTTGCTAACTGTTTTCCCACCAACTCAAAACGGGTTCAACCTGAGGTCGTGTTTAGGAGCCAGGACGCGTTGCCACAATGAACGACTTAGGAGATGCCGCTCTCCAGGAGCGGTTCAAGATTGCAACCAGGAACGTCTCCTTCTCAAAGTAGTAGAACAAACATGACTTCAAAAGGCAACCAAGTCTGTGGACCACTTCCAAGTGAATCTGGCGGAAGTCTCACCTCTGAAGCTCATACGGAAAGGTCGAGATGAGCCAGCCATCCCTCCGGAGAAGCGGCAGCCGCAGCAGCTGGCTCACGCCCCACGTGGTTGCATACACGATCAGCGTTATCCGCACGATCCAGAGAGTGTTGAACTGGTGAAGAGCGAGTAACCGCTGCTGGCGGATCTTCCTGCGGGAACAGAAGGAAGTGCGAGAGTTTGCTTTGAGGCCTCATGCCAGTCATATCCGGGCCGAATTCTTGCACCCGGTTAGTGAGACGCCAACCAAGGATGACCCATGTTGGAAAATCATCTCAGGGCCTTTCAACAGGTGTTTTCGTGGAGAATGAAAAACAAGATAGCTCTCCTACTTTGGCAGAACCATGGCGAAACCAAAAGTGCACGCAGTCAGCCGTCCCACAATCTTCTAGTCGACGGTCCACATCTGCAGTTGAGAAGCGCTCGGCAAGACGTGGGACCGGACATAATTGGCATGAGAGCACGGGGAACATGTGGCCCCTTTGATATCATTTGTCTTCTGGAATCTTCCTGGGGGATGCGCAACTGCGCCCGCGAACATTACTCTTATGGTGGTTCTGTTCGTGACGCGACTGATGCAACTTTTGAAGATAGAAAAACCAATAGACTTCAAAACTTCAGTTCTTCCCGAGCAGAATCTCTTCGATTGTCACACAGTCAATACTCCGTCGCTCTGTATCAGCAGTGAGACGTGTAAACGCACGGATGAAAGTACTGCCGTAGAAGGCCCATGACATTGAGGCTGCTCGCTCTCCTTCCCACTAGCTTGACGAGGTTTTTAAAGAAGCTGGACGCGCCAGGCGATATATAACGCCCAAAGTTTACTTCAATGTTCCGGAGCGCTAATACACAACATCTTAACAGCAAAGCAGAATCCCATTCCAAGTTGCACTTGAAACCCTAGTAAATTTTGTACCTATTTTGCCCGTCCTTGCCACAAGCTCAGCCGCTTCATGTGCCACAAACTTTAGAATGTGAGATGCGAAGGTTACACAGCTCTCAGGGAAGAAGGAAAAGGGAGTTCTCTACGTTCCTACCTGTGGAAATACAGGACGTAGAAGATGCACAGCGCTGAGATGGCTGCCAACAGGATGCTCAGCACGAAGGTGGTATAGCCAAAGATATCAACATCGTAGGCAGACAGGCCCCCTGGCATCTGGGGCGTTCTGAGAGGACTACCCCTGGAAATCCAGTTGGGGCTCCCAACGCATTCCTGTGCTTGCAGTCGAGACTGGCAAATTCTCTCGCTCTTGTTGTAGACAGCAAATTCCAACTATAAGCCAATCATGCGGCTCCTCTAGCATGTTCCAGAAGATGGTTCGTCGGTGTCAGCTCCGAGTGCAGACCCGCTATATTCAAGAGCTGACACGTCAATGTACTTCGATCACAAGCAAGAGTATCAGCTGTGCCCCGCCAGACCTCAAGCTAGAAGTGGTAGCTCAAGGGGCCGCCTTAGAGCCTGCTCCTGCTGCTCTGCGCCAGTGCTAAAACTGAAAGGCAGCCCGATCTCATGTCCCCTGGGCCTCAGGGCCAGTGATCGGACTCAGGCTCCAGCTCATTTTGCTCAGAAATTTTCGAAGTTTACGCGTGCAGGCCGCGCACCATGATGTGCCTTCGCGGCCGGCTGCGCCGCTGTGTCCCGACATGCGGCCGCGAGGTCAAGGCTCGCCACGCATTGAAGACCCCGGAGCACTTTTAAGTTCCCGGAAGGCACCACCGGAGGGCTCACCGCCCTGTGGTCGTTTTCCCCGGAGCTTGGAAGAGCTCCGGGATCGATTGCCGGGCGCACTCGGCTCGTCCAAGAAGAACCTCGGCCGTTTGAATTCCCGCCAAAAAGCTCAAACTGTTGCCCCTCAAGAAAATCAGGAGCTACTAGCACGGGCAGCGCAATGGAATTGCCATTGGTAATGGACCAACCGTAATTCTTACGGCCAGGAACGAAGCATTCGCTGGCGCATAGGAGAAGCTGCGCAGCTTCTTCTGAGACAGCTCAGGCAATTGTCATGTACTGAGGGGCCACATGGAAACACTGCTGTCCGCTACCTGACTGAGTTCCTTGATTAGTGTCCAGATGTTGAACAGCATTCAGACGGTTAGTCACCATCTGTCTTCGAACTAGTGCCTTGTAAGTGGTCCAGCGTCAAGGTAGTGTTGAGGTTTCAGCGACTGCTGATGTCCCATACCTTTTTGGGGTGCAAAATTCCTTCTAGTCTACCACACTCGGGGAGAGGGCCGCTCATCCAAGTAAGCTGAGCACTTTGCATACATCGAACCAGACTTTGTCTAGATTGTCAATCTTTGTCAATCTCTGCATAGATTGGTCCATCCTTCAAGAGCCCACAGAGTTCTTCACAAGAGAGCTGAGGATGTGCTTTTACTCCTACTCGATGGGGTTTAGTTGCACTTTTGTGGCACTAATCACTATGCACCTAGAATGCTGTCAGTTGTACTTGTTCCTCGCACTCTGATGGCCGCTCTTGCAAATGCCATCGCTCCCTTCGAAAAACCCTTTGTTGATGAGCGTTGTCATGCGTTGATTTTACAGAAGATCACTCTAGTTGTACCGGAGGAGGGAGGAAGGGTTTCAAGATGTATAGGAAGCGCACAGCACCAGATGCCTCTCCAGAAGCAGGTACTGCATTCTGCTGCTCCCAACACTCCAACGTTTATTTGGCAACCAGCGTTGCGAGGGCATTGATTCTCATATACTTAATCCTCGTAGACTTGATAACCATTAATGAGCATACATGCCTGCACGCTCCTCCAAACCTTGCATTGCCAGTCAATGCTCAACAAGGTTCTGTGCGACACCTTACTAAGATGGAATCCAGCAAACGACTTGGCACTTGACGCAAAGATGTGTTTGCTTAGGCCAGATGTGGTCTTTGATTTGCCACGACGTTGTGCGCGCTCTTGATGCCTGCATGTTTGGTTCTGCTAATGTGGAGGCACGCTTTCTTTGCAGTGAAACAGATGACCGAAGCACGCAGGGAGAGATCTCCCGAGAAGAGAGCGATCCCTCCACTGAGGGCGTCCATGAGGATGCACTCAAAGAGTGAGAATGCCAGGCGACTATCTTTTCTTTCCAAAGCACTTTCCTTTAGTAAGTGCTGATCCTAAGAAGCAAGCAACTACACATCACCAATCGCTTTGCATCGCAGACGATGCTTTCCATTCTCATTTCATGCAGATGATGCTTGACCTTCGATGCGCTGAGAAGTGTCATGAGAAGCTCTTTTCATGCTAAGGGTGTTTACTGCAGGTCGAGGTGCGATGATGGTTGAGGCTGCCAAGAAAAACAAAGATGCTCAGAAGAGTCCGGTCCGGTCCACAAAAAGCTCATGTGAGTGATGTGCGCCATTTTGTTCCTGAGAAGGCAGCTTTTCTCAGCAAAACTTTCCCATAGTCGAAACATCCTTTCTTATGTGGCGCATAGTGTCGAATGAGCCCTCAAGAAATGAGGCCCAGTCAGAATAAATGGCTCGGCCAAGAGAAACATGGAGTACTTGACAAGTACTGGGGAACACTTTGTCCAGAGCATGACAGATTCTGCACTTTGATGCAGTTTTCAGCAGTTGCGGTTCTCAGCAGCAGCTAAGATGCGTCAGGTCGTCTTGATCTCTCTGTGTGAGTCAAGGGCCAGCGCTTTGAAATAGTCATTTGCAATGTGCAGTGCCTCTAGTCCCCTCCACGCCGCAGAAACGGAAGGACCCCCGGCCGTCGCAATTGATTCAATACGGAAAGGAAAAGCCGGACAACAACTTGGACGCCCTGTTCAAGCGGAGGAAGGAGCAGCAGCAGAGCATCTCAGGTTTCCGAGGGTGAGGCGTTCGCACGTTGTCTTGTTCAATGTGCAACAGAGTGCCTTTCTTGGCAAGACCAAACGAAATTCCCACTTGGACCATGCAATGTGAAGTGGTTTGTAGGGGAAACTGTCTGATGCTCTCGCAATATGTGGTGTTCCCGAGCACTGACTATATGTGCACGTCCCAGCTTCTATTGCCGCTCAAAAAGTCAATGAGAGTCTCGGCGCGCAGAAGATTGTAGTTCAGACACTAAAATCCTGTTGTACGTCTTTCTGCAGGATGGAGAACCTCGGCAACACCTGCTACATGAACGCAGTCCTGCAGGTCCTCACGAGCCTCGACACCTTTGCATCAGACATGCAGAACAAGCAGCTGCTGGATGCGAGCATGCCAGAGGACGGAGTCTACAAGGCTTTGTTGCAGGTCACCAAGGAGAAGAAGCTGACAGGCATGAGCCGGGGCATCAATCCTGTGGCGCTGAAGAGATCAGTCGCCAAGAACTCGTCGAGGTTTGAGGGGGCGAGACAGCAGGTGCGCTTTTGGACCACCGACGCACTACTCTTCTCCCAAAACCTTTAAACAGGAGTCGCGACAACCTTCTGTAAGGTTTGAGAATCTGCAAGGCAGTTGGGACCCGTGCTATCTTTCCTCCGAAGGGCTCTCTGATTTTGAACTTCAGAGAGGGAAAGCACTGAAGTGCCATTGGCCTGAACTGGTGTCAATTCCCAATTAGTTTATTGCAGTAAAGAATAAGCCCTGTGAACGGTAAAGAGACGGTACTGGGACGGTGGGGCTAACCAGGGCGTCAGAGTGGGAGTTGGCGCAGAGCACGTGGATCTCCTGGGTTTTGGGTGGATGGAAGTGCTTATTGCAAAGGTATCTGCTCTACATTTTCAAGTAATAATAAGGGCTTATCATTCACTGCGTTTGTTGTTCACTCAAATTCCAGAGTGTTTCTTTTCCTTCCCAGGATGCGCATGAGTTCCTGTGCAACCTGCTGGACCAAGTCCAAGAAGAGGTGTTCCACCACTACGAGAAGAAGCTGCTCCCACAGGATTCGTCCAAGTTGCAGCTTCAGGACACTCGGTGCCCAACCTCTCTCAACTTCAGGTAAGCGAAATCCCCGTCTTTTGGCTCTACAATCATCTTCCAGCTCGAGATAGTAGTGTTTGTTACCTAGAGCTGCTGTCAGGTTTGATGTACTATCTTTGGGTACTATCTCTGTTGTCAAGGATGTGACTTCAAGGCAGAACTCCTCGATCTGGTTGTAAGGTTCAATCATGTCCTGCTGGGAAGCAATGGTCCATCGTAATTGTAACAGTCGGGTGATCAGACAATTAATGGAAATGTTCCCACGTTTCAGTTGCATCGTGGAGCATGAGCTCGTGTGCGACAGCTGCGGCGAGTCGTCAGAAGTGCGGGAGCTGTTTCGCCACCTGTCGCTCGACATCCCAGAGCGGAAGCCAGGGGAGGCGAACGGGCCCCCAAACCTACAAGAGCTGCTCGAGCTCTACTTCAAGGTCAGTCTCATTTCAAGCCAATTACATCAGGCAGTCTGGTCGACTTGAGAGCTCACAGTAGAAGAATGCTCGACACTGCTGATCAGGTTGTCAGGGCTGACTGCCGGTGATATGTAGATGTTCCTGCTTCCAGCCTGGTCGAGGGAACCAGACTGAAACAGTCCACTGCGGACTAAACAATCCACTCTATGAACCCGGACGGAAGCTGGTTCCTGAGCCTTTTCTTATCCGCCTTCTAATGGGTGGCCGTCACTTGAAGTATAAACGAGACGACTGCCAGCCAGAATCAGATTCAGCCAGCAATCATCTTGTCCAAATGTCAAATTGTTGCTCCCTTTACGAGCTGCCTGCAAATTTTCGCCTGCGATGCGTTCCCTTACACTGAGTTGCTTCCTCATTTACTTCCCTGCAGGACGAGCCTTTGGAGAAGACCTGCGAGAAGTGCGGCTGCCTGACGTGTACAGTCAAGCATCGCGTCCGGAGGCTGCCACGTGTCCTAGTGCTGCACATGAAGCGGTTCTGCGTCAAGATCGACGGGCCCGTGCAGCGCTACGTCAAGCGGCAGGATCCCGTCCGCATCGAGCCCCTACTGAACCTGAGTGAGTGGGCGGGAGTTCGAAGCAAGGCTTTAAGGAGCTCCTCAAGAAAAGGGCGAATCTCTTTCAAAGGACGGCGCCTTCCCTGTCCTGAATCAAAGACACTAGGAAGCCTCACTCCTGGTCATGATTTGCTACTGTCAAAGTAATAGAAGCAGTTCTGTCTTGAAGCAGCTTCCGAACTGTCTCAAGCGCTCCTTCTTCCTGGACTGTTCCAGAGAGTTTCGAACCGCTCTTTCGAACACCGCTTGGTCAGAACTTCTTTGTTGCATGCGTGCACTTCCTGCGACATTTTCTTCCAGTTGTCGCTCTCACTGGCATTCAAGGATCTCGCAAGTCAGCCACAAACAGAGGAGAAAGCACTGATCAACCACGGACTCCCTACGATCAAGCTGCCTCCCATCCGCAGGGCCTGTCTGTTGCCCCCTCACCAAAGGCCCCATCCCGTTCGGCGACCAAGCGCGCCCTAGCCCCTCCCAAAACAAGGCCCCCAAGACGCCGCAGAGCCCCCGCCGGACCCTCGCCGACGTCAGCAACACGTGGCAGGCCGCCGCGGGGGAGTCGCCAGCCAAGTCTGCACGGCGCGCAAGCATCTCTGCCTCGAGCGGCGCCTTTTTGGGGCCCGAAGCTGTGGGGCGCATCCGGGGGGGATTTTCCGTGGCGTCGGACGGCAGTTCCGGCAGCGGAATCCGGGAAGGAAGTGATGTGGACTCTGGAGAGACCAGCGGCGAACGGAACGAGGGCAGTGACGTGCGTATGGACGAAGCGAATGCGGAGGGGGATGCGTGCCCGGAGGAAGACACCGCGAGCAGCATGGAGGGGGTGGAACAAGAACCGCGGCGGTGTTTCTCTCACGCTGAGCTGGCAAGCATCGAGCCGCAGAGGCTGCGGGGCGGCGGCGCGGAGCCGGACTCGGACCCGTACGCGCTGGAACCGACGGCGTCCGAACTCTTGGAGCAGTCGATGTCCGAAGCGCTGGAGCGGACGATGAGAGACCGGGCCGCCGAGATGGAGGCGGTGAACAGCGGCCGGATCGCAGAGCGGAAGAGGGCGTCCGCGGAAGCGGGGCTGTCCGCACGGAAACCGGACAGCATCTACACGCGCGCCAGTCCGTACGAGACGTCCGACAACCCGTACGAGGCGTACAAGAACCTGCCCCCCGGGGCGCGGTTTGGCACGGCGACGGCCTTGAAGGTCGCCGAGCGGAGTCAGACGCCGGGGACTCAGACGCCGAGGCTTTCGGCGACCGCGGGGAAGCGCGGGGAACCGGTGATCCGGAAGCCGGGGAAGAGCATCAGCACGGTGAAGAATCTGTTCAAGTCGGCGGGCGAGAAGCGGGAGGAAGAGGCGGCGATGCTGTTCTCCCCGGGCAGCAAGAGGCCGAAGACCCGGGCGGAACGAGCGGAGTCGCGGATCGCGTCGGTGGTCGACTTGGAACCGGACGAGGACGCTGAGCTGGCGCGCGTGCTCGCGGAGAGCGAGAAGGAGTTTGCGGCGCAGCGGGGCGGCGACGCGGGCCAGGCGGGGGCCGACGTCAGCAGGGAGCAGGAGCAGCTTGACCGCGCGATTGCGCTGAGCCTGCAAGAAGCTGCAGGTGAAGTTGCTAGATCTCTGTTTTGCCGCTCTCTCTCATTGCTTTGCACGCAATTAGGAGGTGAAAACTGCCAGTATGTCAAGTCTGAGAGACTTTGCGGGGTTCTTCGATTCCGAGACGTCATTCGACTCTGCATTCAGGAGAAAGGTTCTGAAGTGCTGCACTAGGTTGGATGCATCCGCCTTGAAACGGCGATCGTCCTTGCGAGCGGGTTCTGCCTGTCGGTAGTCATGGAATGCACGAGCAAGGGTAATCGTCAGGATCCCTCTTTTGTTTCTTGTCTCTGGTTCTTTCTTTTCTTTGCCCGGCCGCAGCCAAAATTTTCAGAACCCTGATGTTGCTGACACAGCGTCCACAACCTGGCAACTCCGCGATAATACTCAAGAACCCCACTGCATCGGGCTCATTTATTCCAACATCCGCAACGAGCAACTGGAACCAAAAACCGCCACAAAAACCTCGAAAAAGCCCGCTTCTCAACTCAGTGTTCCCTTTTGCGCAGCCGCCATCGAGCGCGAGGACGTCCCCACGCCCGCCCCCGGCCTCGACCGCGCCGCGCCCTCGTCCCCCACCGTCGAGATTGCTGACGACGCCATGTCGGGGCCGGAACCCCCCGAGCCGTTTAGCACTGCGTACCGTTTGCATGGCATCATCAGCCATCTGGGCACTTTAGCCTCGAGCGGGCACTTCATTGCAGACGTGTACGATACGGCGAGCGAGCAGTGGGTCCGACACGATGACTCGGTGGTCACAGTGGTGGGTTGTTTCAAATGTTGGGATTCTAGCACGAGTTCGCCCACTCCAAAAATCTATGGGGATTTTGTAACATTCATATTTGGGACTGAGTCAATGTGATGCGCTTTTGATTCTCATGCGATATCAGGGCCGAACTTTGGGGAAAGTCGGCAGTCAAGGAGTCCTCGGATCTGGATCTTGAGTGAGATTGTGAGGCCCGGAGCAGTGCTTTGTTGCGGTCTTCCCACCGAGTACTTTGCCTGTGAGTCCATTCCTCTAAGGTTGCGGATTACACTCGTGGGATTCTACAAACGAAAGCATCAGCGTGAACGAAGTTAAATCTATGCATCTTCTATTAATGAACGGCCTAGGTCAAGGCGCAGCTTAAGATTGCAATGCAGCCAAGCACAAACCCGTCCAGATAATTCGAAGTCATTGGAAAGCGCAATACACGGCCCACGAGGGCTACTCCCGGAATTTGATCAATGAAAGGCGGAGTTCGCAGACGACAAGGACTAAAGCTTGTCGTCCTTGCTGACTGCAGGTCTCTCGGTCGACCGTTTTGAACGAGAAACGGGAAGTTGATGGATACATGTTCTTCTATGTTCATGAACCCCTAGTCAAGCAGCAGAAACTGGGTTATCAACAAGCAAGAGATAGTAGCAAACTGAAGCTCGAGGGCAGGTTTTAGCAGATCTTTTTTTTCATATGAGGCAGGCGCTTCAATACTCGTACCATTGGAAAGTCAAAGGCGTCGATCTTGTCAAAAATTCTTCTGAAAGGGCCTTGAATCGAACCCATTGGGGACGACTTGCGGTATCCCAACATGTCCAGGTGGACCTTGGATCCGGATTCTTCTATCAAAACATGATTCTTGTGCACACGTTGAATCATAAGCTATCCGGTGCAATTCAGTAGGATTTTCAAAACACATTGACCATGTTTACCACTGACCGAATCATGGTTTGTCGAAGTTGACTGCATATCTCAGTTGGGGTGTGATCCAGCTTTCGCTTCGCTACACACAGTCAAAGAATAGTAAACGTGGAGATCCACAAGTTCGTCCTGACCATATTGCATCGCTGGTGGATCTCACTCACCTGCCGAGAATATTCGAACTTTAGTGTCGGTACAAGTCGAAACATTATTCAAGCATGTCTTTGCGATGAATCGCGTCTTACATGCGCTGACGTACAAGCTAAAATGAAATCTGGCCGATAAAAAATATTCGAACACAGTTTTCGCCCATCATCCGCTTGTAAGATTACGTCAGTGCAGCATGGCCTGTGACAGATCGCGTCGCGGCTTGCCGCGCGAGCTCCAACTTCACTAGCAATAGGCTGTTGAGCCATATTAAAGGTATACCTAGGTCAGAGCCTCAGACCTCTTGCGCGAGGACACGTGAACCACGTGGGCATAGGGCGAACGCCAGGGAACGTGACAGCCCGGCACGCCATGGAGATTTACCGGGCCCGAACTTGCCGAAGTTTCAAGTGAACGGACTGACTTGCTGCTCGGGATTGAGCGCGAGCTCCCCCGGTACACTGACCGTTCGGCCCGGGGCTGCGACTTCCCGGCAAAACTTTCAAGTTTCACAGACCGCGCATGAATTCGAGCTCGATCAGCTGATTGTTGTCCATTTCAACTGGCACCAGAAGTTCAGAATGTTCACTCTGCTCGAGCAGAACTTAGAAGCTCCTTTGCCGCAAACCTTGCCTTTCCCCTGCCTTTCCTCAGATCTTGAAATTCCAAACGAGCTTGTTTCAGAGCGACTGCTGAACTGCAAAGGGCCACATTCTGTGGCGAAGCACTCATTGATTTCGATCCCGTCGCAGGTGCAAAATAAGAAAGAGGACCAATAGGTTTCCAACACAGTCTTGTGGTTGTTCACCAGCTGCTGCAATCAGGGGGCAGGTACAGCACTCGCTACTGTCCCCATGAACTCGATGCACTGGGGGTTGTACAAGGGTGCTTTGGTCTGGGTACAAGTGTTTGCTCCTTCCGCCCTGCATTGCCTTCTGTGAGCTTACAGATGTGCCAACCATTGAGACTTCTTTTTTGGTAGCAAAATATGTTCTTAGAAGCACGTAGAAAAGCAGCATGGTCAACGGATTGGAAAATATAGGTATAAGGGATGGCAGGGTTGTAGGCTTGCTTGGCGCTCTCTTTTGCTTAGCAAAACTATATTTCTTTCGCGAGCAGCGCACGTTCCCCCTACCTACTCTGTTCTAGAAAAAGGGATTGCTCCTAAAGACTCTGTAACATACGTGTCGGATTCTCCTGCAACAATAACAACGTAATTTTGCTTTGCTTCAGTTGTCTGAGGATTAAAATCCAACAGGATAGCTCAGGACTCTAGAATGCCCTATCTGCACCAAAAGGATGAACAGTTTACATCCATGCTTATCTGCCCTGCCTAGACCCGCCCTTTCCACGCACTAGCATTAGAGAAACCGTATGTTCAGCCTGTGGCCAAGGTTTGAGATTTTGTTCCTTGTTTCCCTTTCTTGCCTGCTCCCCCCCCCCCCTCTTTTTTCTCCCTTTTCAAAGTATTTGCCTGTTCTTCTGCAGTAAAGTCCAAGAAGGTGGTGCTGACTGCTGGGACAACAAGTATGGAAACCAGTCGAGCAGAGGAGTTGCAAGTTTCCCTCACAAATGCCGTGAGGGTAGCAGCTGCCGACAGCATGCAGCAGGTAAACCCTTGTGACGGAGGGATGGCATCTTAAAGTTTTGGAAAAGAAACAGCGAGCATAAGTGTGTGCATGAAAAGATACTTATCGTGGAGAAATGTTTGTAGGACTGTGGCCACTGCTCATGGGGTCTCTTGATTGGGGTATCAGGCGATTAGTACATCAGGAGCTATGGGAAGCTAGGAACCGGTGTATAGTGATCCGAGGTCGGCAATCAGGATCGTGCATTAGTGCTTGGATAACGGTCGCGCAGTAGTGCCTTGAGAATAGAAGAAAGATCTATCCAGTAGCATGGGTCAGGTAAACTATCTGTTGTCTGTTAAGTGCCATTCTACCTGACATGGAAAGATATTCAGGTGGAAATAACATGGTAAGTTTTTCCAGAGGCCTAAGAGAGGAAAGAAGAGAAAGACGAGGACGTAGATCTCTTACAAATGTGAGCCGCCTTTCCTCCTTGAATCTTGCCTGAGCTCTCAATCCACTTACAATCTTCATGTAGGGCTTGACGGTATTCCTTTCATACTCGGGGGAGCACCGCAAAACACTCTGCAGAGCTCTTAAGGAAGTCCTGAAAGACAGCATCGCTGACGTGGAGGTGAGCGCCAAGCCCTAAATCTGAGCGCGTGTTCTGTTCGCAGCACTCGTTGGCTTCTAGCTCAAAGAACAGTAATGTAGTTTGCATCTGGTTATCATGTGGGCCTTTGATGCCGGGTGTGCTTTTTGGCATCTAGACATGGAATTATCATGGCAATTGCGGCTGTTCGTATTTGGGGGAGTCAGTACTTGATTCTCCAGAAGTGGGCACGCTGCGAAATAGATGACGGGTACCTGCGCACGCATTGAAGAAGAAAATGGCCCGTCGATTTCAAAGCCCAATTCACGTGTTTGCTTGGCTTTGTAGTTCCATTTAGTCCACACTGGATTCATGCAATCAGCTTAGGAAAGAAGGAGCAAAGGCTTCCAAGCGCGCACTTCCTCAGAAAGTGAAGGCAGCTTTGTTGCGTTGGACTCGGTCTCTCGGAACTGAAGGCACCGTGATAATCTTTGGTCGATATATATTTCTATTTTCCTTGTCTCCCAAGTAACGAGCAGATGAATTCCACCTGTTTCAAGTCCCACAATCGACAGGAGATAGATAGGTTGCAATGTTTGGAAGATTGGAAAACGCCATCAATCATTTAGTCTTGGTGTGCCAATGCTGAGAAGCGTTTCCAATACCGTGCTGGAGCAGATGATTATATTTTTCTCACCAGATGCTCGGGAGTGCCGTCATCGCTCCGGTTTTGGCAGATGACGTGATGTTAGGTGATTCTATCCCATCGTATTCACTCTCTGACGCCATGACTGACATCGGCGCCCTATTTCTTCTTGCAGATTGAGTTCAATGCGTTCATTGAGGAATCTCCGGTAAGCAGATCATGAAGATTGACCTTTGTGTTACTTCTCCTTTCTATTGAATTGGATTGCGAGCAACCTTTAATACATGGCTCGTCCAGCATTTGCGTACTACGACAAAGACAGGGCTAATCTTCACTCTTCTGTCTTGTCCAGCAACGGCAGGAAGCAAGTGGCCCCACTTTTAGGGTCGGAATACCCATGGTTATGTCACAAGTTTCCAGTCGTAGAAGGACGAATCAAGCTTTTGAGACCTTTGGAAATGCCATCATTGTAGAGTAGTCTTCCAAGTTGGTAGCAGAGCCGCTTCTTACAGAGCAGTTGATGAGTATCACACACTAGCTAGTCACGGTTCCCGCCCGTGTCATGAGCAAGAAGGAATCTTCGAGCCCACAATCTCAGGCCAAAATCCCCTGAAATATAGCATACGATTCGTATCGATGCAGATGTTGGGTAAACTGAGAGAAGTGGACAAAATGTGCCGAAATGTAAGCTCCAGGGGGGTCGTTGCCCAGCCGTTGACGCCCCCCCCCGAGGCCCTCGTATCGTGGGAGACAATAGCGACAAAGGCACGCGAAAAGGAGCATCTCAAGAGCATCTTGGCAGAAGTGAGAGTCCAAGAATCTAGGAAAAATCAGGACTTGACGATCAATAAGTGGAGCCTTCTCACTTTTTGCGTCCTTGATACAGCTGACAATGGAAGCGGTCCGAGTGATGTCAGGCCTACGTACACTGCAGACAGGCGACCTCAAGAACTCGTTCGCTGCAACGATCACATGTGTGCGCTTTGACGCTCCATCTTCAAAAGTCCTATGTGTCCAGATATTTAGGAAGCTCTGAGTAGTTCCTTTGTGCGGCAGTTACGGCGACGAGAATATCGGGAAAAGTCGTGGTCCCTTGGAGATTGTAAAACCAGACGAAGGAGCTTCTTGCGACCCATAGAAACCTATTGGTTGAACCTATTAGCACCGCGTGTCTTTCACCCGTTACGGGTAGGAACCATGACGACCAGGAGGAGGAAATGAACAAGAGACATTACGGACAGAATGGAACGGAAACGGAGCGGAAATAATAGGAAGGGTTCTTGTTGCAGGCACTAAAGGAGAATCGAGCGCTGTCCGCCCAGTTGGAGCAGAAGAAAGCGGAGGCCGCCGAGCTGGCCGACGGAATTGCTACCATTGGTGGGAAATACAAGGAGGTAACTACGCCCGCTTGTTGCTCGACTTCGCTCAGAGTGTCAGGCTTTGGGGGTCTTCAGCCGACTGATGAAACGGATCTCATCTGGCGACAGTCAATGTCTATCTATACGCCGAGGTCACGTTTCTTTCTTTCGACAAAGAGAAAGTGCATGCCCAGAGAAAGATTCTGGTCCAGGCAGACTGACGTGGACTTCAACAACCTAAGCCTTTGCCAGACGCTCTTGTTGAAAGCTGCGGCTTTGGTGCAGGTGCAAGAGAGGGATGCCAGGTGGCAGTCGAGAAAAGTGCTTACCACTTAGCCAAGCCTTAGCTTTCATAATCGATGAGAGTCACACCTTCTGGACAGTCCGCCAAGATTGCTGTAATTAATACATTTACTGAACATTTCGACCTAGACATTTGCACCATACGACTGCACCGAGCAGAATGATTGTACATTAGAAGGTGCAGACCGTCGGATGCATGTACTTTTGAACATCATCCGGTGCTTCACAAACGGTGCATGGCGGTTTACGCTGCGTACCTTTGCTGATTCAACAATACATTGTGCTAGTCTACATTTCAAGCTATCCATGCTCTGCTGTGGCGACATACGCTCCAGCTCGAGCATGCTAACTTATCAAGAGACACGGCCTTGAATCGCCGAAAAAGACTGAGACAGCAGATCGACATAGCTAGAATTATCTCGACTGCTTACAGCGCGTATACGCCGATCCTGACGCCGGTGACAGGTACGTGCGCGGGTATTCCGGCAAACGCGGTTGCCCGCGGCACAATCTAGGATGCATGCAGAAAGATGTCGTTTCAATGCTCTGTGCCAGGGCTGCTCATGTACATTATAAGTTAGTTAGCTGCTGTAATCTAGTCGAGGCAGCTGTGTTTGAAAACCGCAGAGTTGGCAAGCGTGCCAGAGTCTACGCAACTGCAATTATCTGGCGCACATGCAAGGCATGCGTTGCATTACCCTCTGAGCCCAATCCCACGCCGATGTCGACTCTCCCGAGCGTCGCCTGCCTAAGTAGGCCCCTACGCAAGTCAACCCAACTTACTAGCTACTGCTTCTATGTACACATACGCTTTTCAGATTGCTTGTAAAAGAACTCCACAGCTACTTGGAATTACAGACCCTATATATACAACGCTCCCCCTTGCGGACGAATTGCTGCTTTCCTGTGCTAAGACACAGCCTTGCCTACCAAGGCATGGTACCCTACAATAGTTACTGCACATTTGGGAAGACCGCTCATCTTGCGGTACTTCTCGATCTAACGAACAGTATAAGCACGGGATTCCCCCATACCCCGGATTAAAGGCTCAGGCTCTCCACACGCGTAACAACCCTAACACCCTTGAAAACCCCACCCGTCCCCGTTACCTTTCACTGAAAAAGTGTTCGTTGAATCGATCGGGATCACTTTGCATCCTCCAAACCCTCTTCCACCGTCACCAGCGGTCGATACCCGAGCTCGCGCCGAATCTTGGAGTCGTCAACGATGACGTCATGGCCCAGCAGCGCGAGCGCTTGCCTGCTCGCGAGCGGTTTCCGCGTGACGCCGTAACCCAAAAAGGGAAGACTTTCGAGCGCGGTTTCGAGCCCCCAGAGCAGCCAAAGCGGTACCGTACCGGTCGGTTTCTTGGCGCCCGGTTGGGAGCAGACGTAGTCGGCGAGGAAGGCGTTGATGTCCCGGGCGGGGCCGTCGGTTGCGAAGTAGGCCTGGCCCCCTGGAGCGAATGGAAAGAAGAATTAGCACTTGGTTTTTTTCTCAGATCTTGGGGTGAGGTTCTGAGTCTCTTCGACAGACCATACTTGTGGGCAGGTTAGAAGGAAATATGTACGGACCCTATGAATGAGTGTTACTTGGACTTAGTTAGGTGGCGAGACTAAGAGCAAGGACAAAGAAGGCGGGATATGGGGGGGAAGGAGGAGAGCAAGCAGACTCCTAAGAGCGCCGAATATTGACGCTTGCTCAACTGCTACCATACGGAGAAGCACTTTCCTCATCCACATTAAGGACCAGTCGATCCGTCACCACACCCCTCGCACACATCAAAGCAACGAGCATTGTTCGCAACCGCAGGTGCAATTGTGCGTAGTCAAAGAGAGCGGGGTCAAGGAGAATCAGTAATTTTCAGACCGGGACCGGGGACGCTGTTGGAAGGGCTGACGTGGCGAGGTTTAGGGTTTTGACTGGGTATTCTTGATCTATGATTGGCCGGAATGAGCGCATCCCAGGGTTTCGCCCTTAAACCCTGCCACGTCACCACTTCCAACAGCGTCCCCGGTCCCGGTCTGAAAATTACTGATTCTCCTTGACCCCGCTCAAAGAGTCAACTTTTCAGTTCTCGTCTCATTAACCTCTTCCACCTAAACTCGCAACTCCCGGTCTTCAGCGCACGGGCAGCAACTCCGGCTGACCAGCCATCACTCACAACCATCAGAGGAAGTGAGAAAACAACGAAAAGAAGCAACTTCAAGAAAACACTAATCACCTTTTCCTTTGGAAGCGGCGGCTAACCGCAGCGCGTGGCAGCAGTTGATGACGTGGCAGGTCGACGACTTGGGGGGTGGGGTGAACCATTTGAAGCTGCCGCTGCCCATGGCTTCCGCGAGCATGGGCTTCAGGACGGTGTCGCCCCTACCCCAGATGAACCGGGGCCGGACGCTGATACCTGCGTTTATAAGCGGGCGACGCAATGATGTCATGCTTGCGTCATGGTCGAGAACGTACTTGTCGAGGGAGCCCTCTCCGGGAAATCCTGCATGATGTTTCTCAGGCCGTGAGTTTACGTATCCGTTCTTGTCAAAGTGGTGATGTTGCGATTGCACCACCTTGACACTTTAAAATACGATAACTTCAAATAAGGTGCCGCCCCTACCCCAGATGCACCTGGGCCGGACGCTGGTACCTGCATTTATAAGTGGGCGACGCGTTTATGTTCGTTTACGTCACAGTGCAGATTTCGCATGACGTCAAGGTGTCGCCCCCACCCCAGACGAAGCGGGGCCGGACGCTGATACCTGGATTCAAAAGCGGGAAGGCAGTGATGTGTTTCACGTCATGGTCCAAAATTCCCAAAGGCAGGTTTCGCATGACGTTAAGGTGTTGCCCCTAGATGAACCGGGTCCGGAAGCTGCTACCTGGGAAAATGAACCGGCGATGCATCAGTATTTGTTTGCGTCTTGCTCGGAAACTTCGGCGTGTAAGGTGTGCTTCACTTGACGGCTCCTCCTTCCATCTGAAGCGACAACTATATTCGTGGTTGGTCCAACCGACCGTCGAGACCTTTGCGCAGAGAAAGTCGCATCCGCAATTCGTAGTCGGAACGGTTTTTTTGTAAATGCCGTCGGGTTCATCGAATACAACACAATATGTGCCTAATGGGAGCTGAGTTGCGTGGACAGGAAAGGCTCACTTTCGAAGTGCGGTGGATCATGGGCCTCCAGAACGATCTTCTCTGCGGCGGCTTTGCTCCGCGAGTACGGAGCCCAGGGCGGGGGATCGACGGCAGCCGTTTCGTCCACGTGTCCAATCGGTCCTGCTGCCTGTGACAGCGGAATAGCTTAGAGTCACTGGTAGGATCACTTTTGAGAAGAATCCTCGTCTCTAGTTGGAGCTTTTGGATTCGAACAGCCAAAGTGGCATCCCGTTTTGCTTCCCAGTCAACGACAGGCTAAGGTCTCAATCCTTCAACCTGATTTCAGAAGAAGTGGCAGATTGAGGAGGAGATCACAAGTGACGTTCAGGCCAACACCTAACGGCCGACTTTTCTGCTGATGCAAACACGAAAAAGTAGATAAGATAATGAGACTACATGCCAGGGAACACGTTTGAGGCGTCGAGCATGTGGCTGCCAACATGGACAGTGACTCTGGGCGAAAGAAACTTCAACACTTTCCTCATCAAGACGGCGTGATCATGTGACAGCTAGTAAAGGAAGGGCTGCGAAACTGATACGACGACCGTGTCAGGCTTTGGACAACCATGTGCAGTTGCAGTAGAGGCGCCATCTGACTCAGCTACCAACTTTCACCACAGAACGAACAGGAGAACAGTCCATCGACAGCCCATCTAGACAGCCCATCTAGACAAGGACTAGCTTCTGACGGACTAAGAACGCCTACTTCTGAAAAGAAGGAAAGGACTAAAGGGAGAAGGGAGACGGAGTGAGGTGGAGGCTTCGTTTCTTCCTTCATGACAGTTGAGGTGAACATCAAGGGGAGAAGGACGGACTGGAACAACGGTTGAAGAAATGAATTTGACTGTAAAAAAGAGACAAGAGTAAAGAAGGCAAGAGAAATAGAAAAGACAGTATGAAACTTGTTGAGTAGAGCACAGCGAGCTTGAGGAAGAATGGAGAAGGAACAAAATTCTTCAAGTGAAGAACACTCCACCACAATCGACTTTCAGTGCCTAGATGCACCAACTTGGCCCCTTTCCTGAGCGGAAAAGTTCCAAAACAACAAGATGGAACAAGAAGGGAGGAGAGCAAGGGGGAAGAGGAGGGAAGGGGAAGCCTTTTCCTAGAAATGGGACACACGAAGAGACAATCCCCAAAATGAATGACATGAAAACAAGGAACTAAAAAGAGATAGAGCCGCGCACCTTCACGAGCACCGCCTCGGTGCCCACATGCACAAACTTGGGGACGCCCGCGGCTTTGGCGGCCTCCACGACGTTGCGCGTCCCGTCGACCGTGTCTCGTTGGAACAGCGAGTATGGTCCCCACATCTCAACCCGTGCCGCCGCATGAACAACGACGTCGCAGCCTCTCATGCCTGGAGGGCAAATGAGCGCATCAAACTAGGCTAACTAATATTGATGTAACTTGACTACGCTATACTCAGCTTGACAAGTGTTGAACTCTATTACCCATCTGAGTACTGAGTTTATCTTGTTGACTTCTTTCTTAAATCCATGTCTTCCTCATAGCTGACGTACGGCCCCACATCCGTCTCCTCGTTTTAACCCCGCATCTCCTGGGGGCAAGACGCTTGCAAGATTTGACCAAGCAAGCAACACCTGTCAAGAGCAACAAATGGACAGACACGCCAGACTTGGAAATAAGTTTGTTGTACATGATCCTAGGGCTGACATGCCTCGCTTCCTCTCACCTCTGGTCAAGGGCTAAGTATAAATCTGACGTCAAAGCACCTTCACACGTAGCAAGAAGACAACTTCTCTTTCCTACCTTGTTACTTTCTGACAAAGACAATGCTGTGATCCAAGCAACCACGTGCAGAGTGCCACATTGAAAATGTAGAACAACCCACCTTCAATCAGGGCTTCTTTGCTACTCAGATCACCCCGCACGATCTCCACACGCCCCTGCGATGGCTTCGCGCCACCTGGCGGCCAGCCCTTGGTCGGAACTTCTTCGCCCGCCTTCTTGATCTTTTCATCAGAGGCTGGGCTTCGAGACAACGCCACCACTGAGTCGCCATGAATGTGGGTCAAGAATGAGGTCAACTGCGTCCCCACGAAACCGGAGGCCCCCGTGATGAAGACCTTCATGGTGCAGGTGCGGGACACCTGTGCCTTGACCGGCCTGTGTTGATTGGTGTGGGCTGCCCCTGGAGAAGTCGCTGGCAAAGTGGAATGCAAACTGGAATTGAATGCCAGTTTGAATGGAGCACAGAATGGAGCTGTGCAACAAATGCTGCTCATCTGCTCAACATCATAGCTACGTAGCTGAGAGATCATCAATCTTGATTCTGTCTTCAAATGCTTTGAGTTGGGACTAGGAGTGCTGTACCGTCACGTGATCCCTCAGCAGCAGCTGCGGTGAGAACTCGCCCTCGATGCCGTGTAATGCCGACCCAGCCTCCGGTTCTCGGGCTTCCGGGGGTTGGGCAGACACAGACCGATTGACACGATGAATGGCTCGCTGCATGCGGAACCGGCAGCGGCCTCGTGCAGGTGAGGGCATTCACACCAAGATTGCCCTTCCTCAGCCAGGCTTCAATCTACTAGTACTCTGAGCAAAGAGCTGAAGTCGCACAACTGGTCGCCCATAGGTTGCAGCTCACAATGGCAGCATCTTCTGTTCATACAGCCCTCACCAACCAATCAGTCCTGAAAGCAGGCGGTGCGTGCTTGCATCAGAAACACCAAGACCCCCGTTCCGCCGGGCCAGTCATAGGTTGCTCGACGTTGGCGGACCTGGGGCTGAGACGACAAGACAAACGAAAGGCAATCAGCTTACACAGTACTGGGTCAAAGTCTTTGACGTCTTACCCCGGAAAGAAGAGTGTGAGGCCTAGGAAACCTTTGATGCACAGCACCAGCAGGGGAGTGGCAAGGAAGGGCGTCACTGCATGCGCAGTCAAAGGCAAGTCTCTGCCAGCTCCGTCTGTATCTCATCTATAGTAGGCGCGCACTGATGCGCAGATCTTACTTCTGGATTCTTTGAGCTGGCCACCTTTCTTACACTCAGATACATTGCAGCTGACGTTCTGTGAGTCTGAAAAGCTGGTGACCTATCTGATGCTGGTTTTCACCATGAGTCAGCTGAAATGCCCGTAAGTGCTGACTTTTGAGAGTCTTATGTGCGCCTTAGAAGTGCAAGTCTGATCAAGGGTCAGATCACACACAATACTGTTTACTCGGGCTTGAGTTTGACTTCCTAATACTTGGTGAAGAAACAGCTAAAGTCAGGTCTGCGCCCAACTTTTTGAAAGTTGCCACATCGTGCGCCCCTCTTTATATGCACCTGCGAGAGCTCATACCAGTGTACCGCACCCATACCCCCTCCCCATCCAGAAAGGAGCCAAAGTTCTGACATTCTCACTCGCCCTGACTCCGACCAGATTATCCGAATGGCCGCAGACCCAGGGCGGTCTGTCTACCTGCTGATTGGTCACTTCAGATCAATCTGTCCACAATCACAGGTGTTTTTACAACCGGTTTCAGTATCTAACTTTTCTGCAGAGGCACCGTCCGACCTCCAACTTAGCAGAGCGTTTGATTCTATCGAACTCATTGGCTTAGACGGCAACAGGCGGCAAGTCACAGACCTGTGGAAGGACCGCAAAGTCGTGGTCGCATGGGCACGGCATTTTGGGTTAGTGGGCCTAACCCTCTCTGCTGGACTTTCTAACACGAGAGGACGTAACTCTTCAGAACTCTCTTCGAGTTGGCCAGCTGACCCCTCCTCTTAGATTTGGGCTCAGTGAGCTTCACTTCTTTCGTATCGTCTTTTGAACGTCCACTTGGAAACTCGTTTAACGGGCTTACCTCTGCTTGGATTATGTGAATCTGTGAGCGTCTCCACCTGTAGATCCCCCACTTAAACCGGCTGGCTGTAATCACAGTCTTCTAGTTGTTGTGAGATGGCTGCAGCAACAGATTTGACTCTTTCAGCCTCAGAGTTTCCCTTGACACTGCCTTACGTGTACTCATTCAGCCATGTCTCTCTCAAAGGACCTGAGTATTCTCAAAAGCAATTGAAACTTGTGGGCTGTCTATGGAGGCACAATGTGGACACATCTCGACTTTGTTCGCAGGTGCGTGCTGTGTCGAAAATATGCGGCTCTACTGGCGGAGAGGAAGGTAAGTCCTGCAAAAAGTGCCGACCTTCTGTAACTCGACATTGCCGAAACCTGAGGCTTCAATCGTCGCAGATATATCAAGATCAGTGTGATTGTGGGACATTGGCACTGTGCAGTCTTGATGCAAATTCTTAATCGGAAATGAGCACACGGATGCACGTTATGGCATGGTTGATAGGATCGATGCAGCTCGAATTCGCGTTTTAAATTGGTCCTCATGACGTCAGAATCAGAACATCAGGCCGCTCCTTTCTACTCTGACGACGTCTCAAAGACCTTGAACCGTCTGCACTTCAACAAAAAGATAGCCCAATGGGACGGAGCTCCCAAGTTTGAGCGTCACGTCCGTCTGGGTCTACCTCTTTTTACGAAAGGCCCTCAGAATGTGCAGTACCGAAGTACACAATCTGCTTTAAAGTCGGAACCAATTTGGTGTCGCAGGCCGACTTTGACGCCGCCGGTGTTCCGCTTATTATCATCGGGCCCGGCACAGAAAAGCAGGCCAGCACGTTCAAGGAGGAGACGGGGTTTCCGGGAGGTAAGGCGCTGGAAAATTGTCAAAAACCATTGGGCGACTCCTCAATTGACAGGAACCCATTCTGAATTCTCGTTCAATGCCTCCTGATAGCGTATTGCCTCTGCTGTTTTCTATACAAGTTGAGCAGGAGTTGCTTCCGCCCCCCGCACCTCGCATCTGCAGTTTCTTCCTCATTCTCAAACAAAATCGAAACTCCGGGTTTGTGCAGAGGTTTACGCGGACCCCACCCACGACTCCTTCCGGGCGCTCGGGTTTGCATCCGGGCTTGGGTCAACGCTAAATCCGCAGGCGGGTTTGAACGTGATCAATGCGCTCCGGGAGGGTTTTAAACAGAACTGGGCCATCTCCTTCGAGAAGGACACGGTGTTGAAAGGCGGATGGTGAGATTGACTTCTCTGAATTGTCCGCAGAATTGCTGGCAGTCTCGTCAACGGAACCTAATGACTGTCCTTCTGATCTGGTTTCTGGGCCCGGTTTATCAGAAGCGGCTTGGCTCGAACCCGCATCGAGCGGATGAACGATAGCCCCGTCTCTGCTTCTAAGAGTTCGCAGAAACGGTTGCTCTTTGACCGTCTATCGTTTGCGCGCTGTTTGGGTACCTTGGAATCGAATGCCACAGATTGCAATTTTGTGTTCTCCTTGTTGTTCTGAGGCAATTTCGAAAACTTCTTGTGCAACTAGGACCACGTTCCGAGACGAGGTTCGTTCAGATTCGGTCCAGAAAATGTTCCGATGCTGCCAACATTCGGAGCAAACTGGCACCTTCTTGTGGACCAGGCTCATCTAATTTTCCGGAGTATTGCAGGCAGCAAGGGGGGACTCTAATCGTCGGGCCAGGCAGCGATAATGTTCACTATCTTCATAAGGTGGGGATTCGCAACTAGACCGGGTAGAATAACCGATGCAAGGTCTTGCGATACTGGCTGCTATGTGTGGATTCGCAACCAGACCGGGTAGAATAACCGATGCGAGAACTTGCATAATAGTCCTCAGCGCGGTCATCGATTTCTGCCGTGCTCTGCAACGGCTTGGCCTGGACTCTGATGTCTTTGTTGTTGGCAACGAAACTCGTCGATTCCAATTTCTTATTTTTGTAATGGTAATGCCCTGCTAACGCTGAAGGAAGTCGGTCTTAAGACGAACGTCTCGCGGACAGATCCCGCCCTTTAGAGGCTGCAGTAAAAAGTGTGGCTCTTTTGCAACAGCGCACACTTGCTGTCTTAACGAAAGGGAATGTTGTTGGGACAGAACTGCGTTCAACAGTCTTTCCATTCATGTGTAGGATCAACGAGCGGGGGATCATCCGGAAGTGGAGGAGCTACTTCGGGTTTTTCGAGAGTGACGTTACGGAATTGCCAGCTTTGTGTACAATATACCCAAATAAAATATTGCCCACTGACTCGTGGAAGGAAACGAGACGGGTTTCGTGCTCGTTGTATGCACCCGTAATTTGCGTGCTTCCAAAGCTGAGGGTCCGGCGGTCGGATCGCATCAGCTTTTGGAACGAGGTTTGTCACCGAGATTTGAACTATAGTTTTGTTGGGCAACCGGAAAAATACATCTCGTGAATCATACGAAAGTCGTTATGTCATCCAACTTCAATGGGACATAGCCGTTTCGGCCGGTTGATGAAGCAAGACGGTATGTCCAACAGACACATGATCGGCTCAAAGTCTGTGCAATCCAATGCCGCTCACAATTGGGATTGTGAAGTAGCTTCAACTCATACTGGCAATTACGTCATGTGTCATTTTGGGCCTGCCCTCGTGTATCGTCAACTCACCAAACCCGGCTGGCGCCAGCCGCAAACGAAGTGCGATGAGGTTAGGGATTTTTGGTGACGCAATGATGCCAGTGTGCCTGTTTCACGAAGTCCATATAGCAGACATGCTGGAAAAATGCAAATCAATTCATTCTCATGTGACCCATGCACGTGTAATCTGGGGTGGTGATGCGCAAAACTTGGCAGTCCTTCAATATATCAGTCAGGATATCCCTATGAATCATGCATGGTATGTACCGTAGCATGCAGTGGGTTCAATGGTAGTCGTGTACCTAATATCAGTTCGCAGCATGGGCATTGCCGCTGCCGTCGATCGCACGCGCGGTTCGACCGTCTTTGCTTTTCAAGCGCGCGCACGGCAAATTTGCAGAAACCGACATGGCCCTATCATTTTGCTGATCTTTTGAGCAGGTTCATATACCGTACTGCCATTGTGCTTTCGCATAGAAAATAATTATTTTGCCCCCCGTCGAAATATTCTGGAAATTATTTTCACCTGGTGCGAAAAGTTGAAATGGTGAAAAAGGGACTTCTGGGGCAAAAACAGCCTCTTCTGGGGCAAAAACAGCCTGTTTAGCAAGTAAATTGGCAAAAACGAAATCAAAAATAAATGTTTTTGGTGGGTGCGAAAATGCAAAAACATTGAAAATAATTATTCGCGGCCTTGGGGTACGAAAGGCTTTGGCAGTACGGGTAGCACTTCTGTAGTGTACTGTGTACCTGTACTCCTTGTACTGTACCGGTACTTGCGGACGCTTGCTTCCATGTTGAGTGCATGACTCCTGAGTACGGGTACGTACTCATTGTAGGAAACGGATTCGCAGCATCATGCATACCTATGCATGTTCTAGCACAGGTCTACACCACTTAATAGTTGCTTGGAGTCCGGCTGAGTTGTCATTGTCAGAGGCGGACGCGTCCGAGCCGGAACCAAGAACTCTGAACGGATCCAACAGATCCCGATATGCGCTGGGGAAAGCAAATCTGTGTAGACAGTTGAACAGAAGCAACTTCTCCGACAGTTGTCAGAAACAGTTTGGGCACCAGATTGGCAGCACAGGGCCGACTCTAGCTCCATGAGCTCTGGGCAGCTTGACAATGCAGTCACTGTAGAGTCCAGCCTCCAAAGTGCCAAACTCGTCAAGACCTCATTGGCCTCTTTCAATCAAAGGGGCAGGCATTTCGATCTGGTGCTCCGAATCCTACCCTGCATGGTACCTATAAGGTTCAAACACGTCCGGAAGTGGAGCCTTCAGACTTGCCCCAAAGACCCACTCAAGATCTGATTGAGCTAGGTACCTGAAGGCTCTGCTTTTATACGGCTGTCTGAAGTAGCTGGCTGCCATTATATTACCAAACAAGATGACTTTTAAGTACAAACTGAGGTGCACATTGCCTACGTCAGCCCATCCAATAATGCGTCCCCTTCATGCACACTGAGCTGGTTTGAAGATCTCGAGAGCCTGCACTTTTGTCAGTGACAAAATGCTGCTGCAACTCCTCTTCCAAACTTCAAAGATCTGTCTGGATATCATCCGTTACGAAGCGATTCCCTTCTCGTGCTGGCTCTTGAGTCTTGACGGGCAATCCCAGCAGTAGGCCGTGACATCCGCTAAGCTTCCGTCCGTTTCCTGACCAGCTCCATATGCCGTATCTGATTCGATGGCGCCATTGACAATCCAAACCAGCACGTCAGGATCGCTTCTGACGAACTTATGCCGCGCCCCTTATGTCCGCGCGTGATGAACACAGCTCTGCATGGCGGGCATGTCAGAGCGTTGCATAGCGCAAGTTTGTGAGAGCAGCATCAGAGTCAAGGAGAAAAAGCGCAGACTACTGTAAGAGTTTTTTCCTAGTAGGTAGCTCTGGCTTCAAGTTTCCTCAGAAGTTGAGCAGAAGGAGCAGCACCCGTAAGCAAGGATAGAGGAGCAGCTTCTGACAGCTCTAGGTTTTTCGAGTTTCCATGTATTGAGCAAATGGAGAGTACCTCCCTTTTCTGATATCAGCTTCATCTCCAAACAATAGCTCCAAGCTTACAAATTCACAACAGCTGGCTCAACTGCCCCAACGCCCTGCAAGCATAGGAGCCCCCACCAAATAGGACACACCGCTCCGCTTCCAAAGTGCAGTTCCACGACGTGAACACAAAACCTTGAAACCAAGGTCTTGCTGGGTGCTTTTTGGCCGCCCCTCCCCAGCTGACAAGTGTTCAATACGACGCACGTGGCATTTTTATTGAACCCTGCAGTGGGTCCATTCGAGGGTTTTCTGAGCAAAGTGCCGACCGCGGGCTTTCAAGGCGTACGGGGGTTTTTCAAGCAGACGCGGACGGGCAAAGCCATCCTGAAGCGGCTTGAGACAAAGCAATACAAAGCAGCGTCAAACCAACTCTGTTAACTTCAGAGGACTTGCTCCTCTGTAAACCCAAATTAGGACTTCCTTCGATGATTTTGCGACGGGTCAGCCCCTTGACCCCTTCTCCTTAACCCCCTCCTAACCCGCCATGGTTCCCAGCATGGACGCACCGTACTGCCCGTCCCCGAGCCCCATCAACTCCCCTGGGGGGCCCGACGAGCTCTACCGCCACCCCCCCGCGCCGAGAACCCACTGGCCGGGGTGGACAAACCTCGCCGGGCAGCAACAGGTGTTACAGTGCGCGCGGCTCTCGGAGCTCTACGCCGCGTTGCACCGGCACTACATGCTGAGCTGTCCGTTTGAGCGGCTGGAGAGTGGGACACGTGTCCTCATCAGCTGGAAGTGGGAGCCGACCGCAGAGCAGGGGGTCGTGGACGTCAAGTTCAAGAGCCCCGCTGAGGTGGCCGCTGAGCTGGCGGACCTGAGGCGGGGCAAGGTGGACGACAATAGGTGGGCTTGGCACAGGGGTTCAATGCTGGTTTGGGTATGATTTTGCTTGTTGTTCGGGTGTTGGTGTGGAAATTAGTCCGCTTATGGGTGTCAAGTTGGCATGCGTTTGCTGTGGGTTTGGGTGTGACTTCCCCTTTGCTTCAGGTTGCTGGTGTGGAATGGTTTCTGCTTATGGGTGTCAAGTTGGTTACGGAGATGGTTTGAAAGGAGTTCGTCGGGATGCTGGTTTTTATGGTATGTCTTGGGTGGCCTTTGATGTGGTATCTAGGGCTGCGAGGAAAGCTATAAAAGGACCTTTCCTCCTTTTCATTGAGGAAGCTGAGGAGAGGCACCAAAGTTGGGGTTGATATTTGATCTTGTTCCTTGCATTTTGGACCCTGAATCTTGACTGGCCTTTGGTTGGCTGAAGCATGTGAAGCTTAAAGAAGGGCACTCAGAACAACAGATGGAAAAAACTGGCTCCGCCTCGCTTTGAACCAGCATATGAATGCTTTCCTGCTTCGTTTGTAAAGTAAAGTGTGGGGCTTCCAGTCCGTACATGTGGCAAGCATTCGTTTCTTTGTTGATTGAGCCAGCGTAGCCACTTTCTGACGAATCAGAGACAGTTTCCCCCATTTCAATTCAGAAGTAGGCTTTTGATGCTTCTTATTGCTACTTTTGATCTCTTTTTCTATCCTTTAGTTTGAAAAGCTGGGAAGGGGATCCTGGATACTCAAGAGTCAGAATGAGCCTTGTTCTGGCTTTCATTTGTTTTGTTACTGAGATTGTGTTGAGTTAAAACTTGGATCCATTTGGAGTTTCCCATGGCCTGAGGCTTTTATGTACGCTTTGCTCTCAAAACATTTTTGAAAACGGCGCCTGGATTGCAAACTTTGAGCTTAAAAGTATCTGATCCAGGTTTTTAGCCGCTTCTTCAAGGTGTCTTGAATGGATCGTTGCCACAAAGCGCTTTCCCAGAACGAAGTGCTAACTCTGAATGACTTCAAGTTAGACTAGGATCTGGATGTTGCTTCGTTTGAGCGATGCCCTCCCTTACACTTAAAGACAATCGCATCAAGGCTGATTCTCTTTGTTAAAGCCTGACAGCTTCTTTTCCAGATGGTAAGTGCAAGCTGTCACTCGTCGTTCAAAAGGTTTCTGCTTCTAAGCCTCCCGTCTGATCACAGTGTTAGCTTCTTCCGCAAAAGAACAGCAGAATTTGAATCTTATTAACGACACAGATTTCTACCCCCTCCATCGTGCGCAACATCGACCCGCTGCTTGTCTTCTCCCTTCTCCACGAAATCCACCCTCTCTCCCTCGGATCTTTGATCGTTTCTTGACGGCTCTAAAGCGTTTACAGAACCCTCTTGAGATTTTTTGTAACCTTTCGAACTCTGCAGTGGTTAGAACTAGACCCTCGGCTTTGAACCGTCATTGGCAACAAACTTGCTGATCAAGTCCTCCCTAACCGCTTGCAGGAGCAACGAAGGTGGCATTCTTCACTTGGTGGGAAGCACAGACGTTTTCTGGAGCAGCATCATTTATTGGCACATGCACGGCACGTGCATGCCCATAAGCTATGCTGAGCTGGGGTTCAAGGTGCCGCGGCCGCCAACCAAAAAGCCGCCCCCCGAAGACGACCGCTTCGCTGGCCCTCGGATGCGGAGGTACGTACCGCTCATAATCGGCCATTTGCTAAGACAGTTATCATCTGAAGGATACGTTTTGCATCTTCGAACACGATTAATCGCTTATCTGGTAGCTGGCCTTGTCTTCGAACGAGTACGGGAAGTTATTTGCAAGGATTCCTCATTCTGGTGATACAAGGTGTCGCACAGCTTGGATGTTGCACCTTAAAATCGGCTTTGCAGTTGGTTCAGAGTACCCTAAACTCGTGCTATAGCGTTGTCGAGCTTATCTGGAGTCTCACTTTCGATCGAGGATAAATCTTCGAATGGTAAATAAACTTTTATCGCGAGAGGCTATATGGGACAGAAGTCTTTGAGATGGCTCCCGCCAAGAACCACTTGTGCGGTACTCAATCCGCTTCCATTGCTTAACTCTCGGAGTCTTGCTGGACTCGACTTAGCTCTGAAAGCTTTTCTGCTCAAATGGCTTGCAGATGCGGTTCCTTTTTTTCTCGATTCCGTTTACTCTTTCTACGATCTTACAAAGGAGACAACGCCGGTTTGTATTACCGCCGTCCCTTCTGCGCTCGAAGGCCCCGGATTTGCGGCTTCGTCGTTATCCCCCGCTTCTTCTCCCTTCCAGAATTGCAGGACTCTGGAATCGATTGCGCGGCCAGACGTTAAGATGAATTGCAGAATAGGTCAAGCCGATCGGAGTCCGAAGCTTACACTTTGTAATAGCTCTTCTGAGGCGAATGCTACTGACCCGTTAGAGGACATTTTCGCGCCTTCTTACTCTCGTCCCCGCTTTCTGCTGGATACGCGATACTAAACCTGGTTGAGCGAGTGACACAAGCCGCTCTAAATTTGCAATTCCTCAATCTGCAATCCGGAACATGCACAAAACCCAAGCGCAAAGGGATGCACTGAAGAAGAGCTTTTTTCGCTCTACTCAGCTCCCCTTAGGGGCGTGCCTCTTCATTCCACACCTCCGCAAAATGTGGCTCCGCGCTCAAATCCTTTAACCCGATTCATGCACAAACCCAAGAGCCTGCTTTGCCAGATACCCTAACGGCCCTCCTCCGAGTGCAGGCTCAACGAGCGCCTCTCGCGCTCGTCCGACAAGTCTCCGGTCTCGGACGACGAGTCCGCTCTGCGCCCCCAGCGGAATCCGTTCCCGGACCTTCCGCCCGGGTGGCAGGACGCCCGGCGCGCGTGGGACAAAGCGCTCGAGCGGACCGCGCGGGTGGGCTACATTGTGCACTGCATGTTCTTTTGCAGCGAGGCAGGGTGCGCCGCGGGCGAGCACTGCGCGTTGCGGCACGACGAGAAGCGGTGAGTGACTTTAAGTGTCCTGGTGATTCTTCAGATAAAAGCCGTTGAATTCGATTCAGATTGCCTCGCGCAAAATGAACTCTGAAATGATAGCGGTAGGTGTATTGCATGTTCTTCTGCACCGACGCGGGGTGCGCCGCGGGAGAGCACTGCGCGCTGCGGCATGACGAGAAGCGGTGAGTGGGGTCTTATCATCATTTTGAAATTTGGAGATTTCGTATGAGTATGCGAAAGAATTGCGCACGCGGAAGCGGAGAGCATTTTGCCGCCAACTAAACATTGCGCGCTGCGGCACAGGAGAAGCGGCGAGAGGGCTTCCAACCGGCTTGATCGGGAGCGTTTACAGTCGCATGACTGAGTACGAACAGGGTTTTGAGAGCATGTAAAACCTGGGAAGAGAGGGACCGTGTACGGCCGACAAGCACTGCGCGCTACGGCACGACGAGAAGCGGAACCATTTTTAGCAGAAGTCTTGGAAATGCGGTGGGTTCCCAAAATGGCAAAAAAGGGAAGTATCGCGAAGACCAAAGCATCAATCAAAAGAACGGGAACGATTCGCCCCGCAGGAAAGGTCGGCAAAACGGCCCGCTTGTAACGGAGAACGATTTTTTCCTTCGTCACCAGAAGGGAACCGCGGGCGAAGTCACAGTACTTCGATTAAAGTAGCATCTTTGCTTGGGCATTTTTCCTGGCGGACGACCGATCTTTCCAATCTGTCTTTCCGACACAAACCTTGGTGAAAGGTGTCAGGAAAAGGAACACATGATCGGTCAACGGAGTGCGCAGTTTGCGTCGCAGACGATCCTTCTCGTACATGGTAAGAAGCCCAAAAGATTCTGGTCGTCGAGGGAACATATTGCCGTCAGTCCGCTCACCTGATTCCGGTCCCTGCAGGCGAGAGTGGTGCGCGGAAAACGCAGTGCTGGAGCGGAGCCGCAGCGCCCCCCCGCCGCGCCCGGCCGCCGACGATTACGAATCCCCCCCCTGGGAGGAGCCTGCACCGGCACCCCCCCGGATCGCTCCGCACCATTTGCGGAGGAGCTGGCCCGGCCGACCGGCGGTGGGGGCGAGTTCACAGCAGACTACGTACGTGTTGAGCCAGCGGGTGTGAATGGGCGCCCCGCTGAAGAGTGTAGACTAGTGTTGCGGTGTGAATTCGCACCAGAAAAAACAGGATCAGCGAACGGTTGACGAACGTTGTAGCCGACTGACGTAAGCAAAACGGAGAGGGATTCGCTTGTCGCAGGACTGCGGTCTCGCAGTGCGAAGAGGGACGTGTTGAGTGGCGTTGACGGAAGATCCGCTGAGTGCTGCTAGCGGAACAAGAAAAGACCAGAGCGGACGCCGGACCCAGAGAAGGCTTAGCCTTCAGTGTATCCGGTTCAGTATCGGGGTCGATAGATTCTGTACCACTTCGTGACGGTCGCAATCGAAGACTGCTCCAACGTCGGACCCAACAGTTGCAAAAAATTCCCGAGACTCCGCCAACGCGAACAAAACCAAGCAGATCTGCTGTTTGAAGCTAGGCAGTTGACAGTAGGCCCTAGAATTTCAAATAGCTGTTTGGTTCAGATCAATTTCGAGTGATGGTGCCGGCCTCACGCCGTTCGCACTGTATTGCTCCACGGTAGAGTGTTTGCTCAGGAGTAGACGACAGGTACGTAAAGTAAGTAGAGAGTTTTGCCCATGTTCCATTGGGGCTGCTCCAGCTCAGTCTAGGAGGCTTGTTAGCCGTAGCCCATGGGGGTAAGCCAGATTAGGCTAGACTAGGCATGTTGAACTGAAGCTCGCGGTCAAAGCTCAGTTGTTTCGATCAGCCGAAGTTGAGAAGTTGTTGAGATCACGGTAGAATCTTCTCAAGTACAAATGGCTGCTCTATAGCGCGCCTCGACTTTCCTGTCGACGTCCATTTTGTCAGGAGCTTTCCGTCAACTTCCAGTGACAATATTGAGTGTTGCTCTGAAGTTCCAAACTGCGGCCTATATGCCATTGCTCGATCGCGGAGCTTATATGCTGTACTGTACATGATCGCTTATAGTAAGCGTGAGGCAAGATGTCATGATGATCATGTCAATGATTCAAATTGCAAATTCTTGCATGTGGCTCAGATTGTTGAACAGGTTAAAGCTCTCTAGACATATCATGATAGGACGGTAATGATCATAGTTCCTATCATTGCTATAGAGTTATATATACCCATGCCATGCAGGGAACGCACTCTGCCCTAGGCATGACCGAATCAAACGGGACATGCAGGCTGTATGTGCACCACTGGCAAGTGTATGTGCAGATACCGAGTTTGAAAAACGTGTTCAATCAAAAATCGGATTACTGCAACAGTCAGATGCTTGGATGGTGGCGACCGTACACTGAGTGACATGTTATCTTTGAAACCGTGCGGGTATACATGGAACCGATATCTATTTCAATTGTCGCGCAGCACTGTTCGTTTTCGTGCTACCAGTATCTGAAAAGGAGAACTCTAGCCTCATGCGCTGATGAAACTTGAAGCAATACACGCCGTGCTCGTGCAGAACCAAGTAAGGATAGATGTGGCTGATCGGAAAGTTCCTCTCATCTCAGGCGAACGACATGCTCAAAGGAAAGGGCAGCGAGCTTGGTTATGAAAGTCCTAACATGGCTCGAACCTTTGCCCGGACACTCTCAGGCACGTCAATGTGGCTATCCGCACCACTCTTTGCTTCTCGCTGCAAAACGGATTCCGTCTCATCCAATCTCCCCTCTACTTCTCGGTTCACAATCAAACCCGTCGCCGCCTCCTCTCCTCTTCCCCGTAATCCAAGCTTGTCCGGCCGGTTCCCCGGTGCTCTTTTTCCCGCCACAACGTCCGCCTGAGACACCTCAGCCGAGCCAGTCCCCGTCCCCCACGTGTCACGCTCTTTCTCGCCGCGCCTCTCCCCTGCATCCCTGCCTGCTTTCCCAGCTTCCCTTGGCCTTTCACTTCCACTCAAAGCCCTATCCTGTTCATCGATGCGTTCTCGTGACAACCCACCCCTCTCCTCTTCCCCCCGTCGACTCCTATACCGATCCGTGCCTCCATCACGCGGCTCCTCTCCACGAATCTCGCCCTCTTCCGGAGTCTCTTCCCGCTCCCGCCGTCCCTCCCGATCCCGATGCCGCTTCCGTCGCCGTCGCTCCTCTCCCTCTACGTCCTTTCCGCTTCCGCCGACTTCCAATTCCTCGCCCCCGACCGATCCGTTCCGGCCAGCCTCTCCCCTTGCTTTCCGCTCTCTCCTCTCTTTCCGCCTCCGCCTCCTCTCCTCTCCATCCTCTTCCTTCCAAGACCCGGTATAATCATCGCCTCTATGCCTGCAATCCCGTTTCTGCCGGCGCTCCGTTTGCTCTCCTTCGCCCCTATCTTCCCCAGCAACACGTTTCCTTAGTTCTCCTTCTCCTACCACCTCGCCTTCCTCTCGAGGGCTCTCCAGGCTCCCTTTTTCGCTACCCCTCAAACCTACCTCTTTCTGTTTGGCCGCCTCACCCGTTTCTCCCGCCGCCTCGGCCTCAGCAGCCTCTTCCGCCGCACCGCCGGGTCCGACGTCACGGCTGACGTCAGCGCTCCCGTCCCGCGCGATTGCTCCAATCACACCGCTGCCCGAAAGCCCCAAACGCTCCCCTGCACCGCTACCCCCGAGGCTCGAGCTCTCTGCCCCAACCCGCCCCCCGAGCATGGCCGCAAACATCTTGGCCCGCTTCAGCCGCTCGGCACGCTTCTTCTCGGCCGCCGTCAGACGCGCGTCGGACGAGTCCGCCTCCCCCGCGGCTGCCGCGGCCGCCGTGCGGGCCGCTTCGACGGCCGCTTTCTCGCTCAGTGTCTCGTGGTTTAGGGAGCCGGTTAGGCTCGCTCTTCTTTGTCCGACCAATGCCAAACCACCCGATGTTGAAGCATCCAGTCTACCCGGGGAAAGCCCGCCCTCTTTTGCACCTAAAGGGGGCATTGGAGACACCTCTGCTCCGACCGCTGTTTCGGCCCGCTCTTGCAAGCCGTCCTGATCCTCGAACGCCTTGCCCCAGGTAGCTTTCATAACCGCCGCCCTAACCGCATCAATGCCTAAACCACTGGGCTTAACCTCTGGCGGCCCGTTAGCCACTCGGTTAGCGCTAACCGACGGAGAGGGGGTCCGGGTCGCTTGCAAGACTGCCGCTCTAACAGCATCGATCCCTAGCCCGGCAGGTTTGCTCCTTTTAGCACCTTTCGTTTCCTGCCCGTCGCTGGCGATTGGCGAGGCGCCCCGTTTTCTAACCCGGTTTTCTAACCCCTTCAGCTCGGTGTGGCTGCCGAAGGAGGCGGTACGGGTCGCTGCCAAAACTGCGGCTCTAACCGCATCCGCCCCTAACCCAGCTGGCCGACCGGACTGTGCATAAACATCTTCTTCTTTCGTTTCTCCGAAGAAGAGGAGCTCTGTCTGCTTGTGTTCACCACTGCCCCCCTGGGTGCTTTCTGAGGGGTCAATTTCAGACTTGGAAGAGGCCCCCCGGTTGTGATTTGGGGGTTCAGCGGTGGCCAGGGGAGGAAGGGTTTCGGCGGCTGAGTCGGGGAGCGATGCACCGGCGCCTGGTTGCTGTTCGACCGTTGGTTCCACTGTCTCCAAGCCCTGAAAAGAAAGAACAAAACTGTTTTTGTGACTGGCAAACAAGCCTTCTTTCCAAGCAGGTTCAAGCTGCACACCGGCTCAGAGTCATAACAAAAAACGAAAGCTTAACAAAACTCACAGCTGACCAAAGAGGGGCTACATTGCAGAGTGGTTTGAAGTTGAGAAATAGAGTGCGCGCCGGTAATGGACCTATCCAGAAACACCACGCTGCCTGCGAAGGAGGGTGCGGGATTGGAAGCAGCACAACACTCGTGAATGCCGTTTGGGGAACTCCTAGAGATCCTACACACAGAAAGCCAAGGAAACGGGGCAAGCTTAGAGTTTCTGCCCAAGGAAAGTGCACGCAGTTCCTCACCTTCTTTCTAAGAACCTCGTCTAGCAGGCTCGCATAGTAGCCATGGTAAGAGTCGCCCGGCGCCAGAAACGGGAACCGACCCTCCCCTTCGTCCTTCTTCCGCACCACCTCCTCAAACTGCCTCCCGTTGCGGGCAATGAATTCGACCATCTTCTCAATGACCCGCTTCGTCTGCAGCGGGGGCTCGTTCACACCCACCGCAAGGGGCTCGTTCACAGCAGCAGGCAGGGGCTCGGTCACACCGCTCGGCGGCAGCCCGTTTACACCTGCTGCCAGGGGCTCGTTCACACCCGCAGCTTGGGGCTCCTTCACACCAGAGGCCAAAGACGGCTTGCCCTCTTCTTTTGAGGGCTGGTCTACAACCGAGTCGTCCAGAAGCTCAGAACCTTTTCTTCCCGCCCCAGAACTGGCTTCAGAACCTTTTTCGACACCGCTCACAGGCGCCTCCGACTTGATTTTCCGAACGGCAGCTAGCGGTGGGTTCTTGGCGATTGCGAACCTGACCGCAGGAGCAGAGGGGCCTGCGGCAGCCTTTCCTTTCTCCCCCGCCTCCGATAGAACCTGCTCTGCAGGACGGTCCGGAGTCTCGACTTGAACGTCCGTATTTTCAAGGGCCTCAGAAGAATGAGAAGTCGTTTCCCGAGCCCCACACGACGACTGCACCGGAGTTCCTCCCTCCGAGGGTCCTTCCTTTAACCCGTCTCCCGCGCTTGCATCACAGTCCTGCGTTCTAACAGACCGCTCCTCCAGACTCCCTCGCTCCTGGCCGTCCTCAAACAGACCCTGACCTTTTGTAGCTTCGTCACCCCCTTCTGTTCCGTTCCCATCCTCCCTTTCGTGTTCCCGCCCCTCACCAGAGGGTTGTATTGCCCCCCAACCCTCCCCAGAAGTTTGAACCGCTTCCTCCACCTCTTCAGAAGGCTTGGGCCCTCCTTCCCCCTCTTCAGAAGGCTGTGCCCCTTCCTCTCCCTCGCTCTCGTCCTTGTCGTCTTCTCCATAAGCTGCCGCCACGAGCGACACCGCATCCCTCTCCTTGGTTTCCGAAGTCTCCCCCTGGGGTTTACTCTGCATCGCCTGAGCCAGCCGCTCGTAGTTCTCCACCATGAAATGGAAGAAGGGGTGCAGCGGGTCTTCGGGCATGAGGAAGCTGAAGGTCGGGTTGCTGCCCTGTTTGACGCGCAGGATGATCTCGGTCTGGCCGCCGTGGGTGCGGACGAACTTGGCGGTGTGGAGCATGACTTGGTGGTGCTTCTGGCTGGCAGGCTGCAAAGGAGAAGGAAAAAGAAGGGGTACTCTGATCAGTCCAAGAGAGAAGACAGGGTTCGAAAGTTCTGGAACATACTGTGCTCGACATAGTTGAGGATTTATAGGATCGAAGAGCAGGTTTAAGAAACTAATCAAATTTCTACCAAGACTCACTGAGTCGAACGGAGCTGTCCAACATCAAAAATCGCACCACCAAGACATTCTAATGGGACGCTTATGAATTACCCCTTCCCTTCCTTTCCTCGAAGGTGTTGGTATTCAGCTCCCCCTTTGTCCACAAATCTTGTGAATCTACAAACTCTAAAGCCCTGCATATCACCGAAACAACCCTACCTATGTCCGGCCTAAAACAAAGGCTTTGTCTTCCTGAAGATGCATAGAAATTGGCATATATTTTTCTAGATCAGGAGAGCAGGGTTGTTCGAACGCTTCCCTAGTGACTGATATTGAAAGAAGAAGATACATCACCTGGCTTTCGGCGACCACCGTGCGGATGCCTGCGAGAGGACACTCATTGCAAGACTCGTCAGCACGCTTGAACGATATCCCAGGTCGACTGGGAGTGGCAGATCCACTCGACCTTACAATAGCATCCGGGCTTGTTCTGACACTGACAAGGAGAAACGCATATTGTAAATACTGCATTGTGACACCAGAAACCTTTGGATAAAACCCTGCAGGTTAAGAGAGTGACAAGAAAACAATAGAATGACCATGTCTCCCAAGTATCAGTTGATTGCAATCCTGAGCTCACACATCAAGCTGCACAAATAAGTCCTGCTCGCAGTGCAGCGGCCTCTTTCAAAACTTTTCTCAAACAGCAACCAGAGTGGCCAAAGAAAATGAGGTCCTAGAAGAGACCAATCGTTCAGACCAGTACTTACCATTCTTTCAAGTAATTCAGTTGGCACAGGGTAAGATGGTTGGAAGCTTTCTGTAGCGTCCGCTTCAGTTGACAGTGGTTCTGGAGCAGCGGCGCTGGCTGCCTCGTCCCGTGCAGGCTCCGGAGTTTCTCCATATGAGAAGCCAACACTCTTGTAAGCAGCACCGTCTACTTTCTGCCGCTTCCGGTCTTCCTCTGCAAGATACATCAAAACGATCTTGTGAGTCATCAGACTAAGCTTTTGAAAAACTCGTCTCTGGTTCGTTCAGGTGGTTGCTGAGTCAAATGGTAGTAAACTAGGACAAAAGAAAAGACTGCACACGAACCTGCGTTTCTAAAAGTACCGTTTGTCCTGGGTGGCAAGAAGTTGACAACTTGATTGCTCTTAACAAGAAAGTTGACAAGACAGTTGCCTTCTTAAATGGTTGACTCATGCAACATTCATGCAATACGCTTCACACCCAGCATTCACGCACTCTTTTGTTTGGGAGATACTGACACAAAACCAAAGCAGGAAATTGGCGACGACATTGTGATGCGACTGAATCGTACCTTCAAGCTCCTCTAAGTACTCCGCAGTCCCTGGGGCATTCTCCAGATCAAAGTACCTCTCCCTGTCCAACGCTTCTTCGTCTTCATCCTCTTTCCCAAAGTGACGGACCTCTGCCTGTCCTTTTCTTAGACTGCTAACATCCGTCAGCAGATGCCTCGCATCATACCTGTCGATGCGAAGCTCCGGGTCGCCTATCCAGGGAAGAAGGGACTCCTCAGAATCCAAGTACGCTGCGAGAACCTCGTCAGAGAAGAGTGTGCAGCTGTAACCAATAGCCTCCAGCAGATTGCTTTCCTGATTGAGTTGGTTCGAAGATCGTCCCTTCTGCCCCTTCTGACGGCGCCTCTTCCTTCTCTCATCGACAAAGAGGTCCACATGCCCTGCCATTGGATGTCGTTCTCAGCCTCTGGCGGCACGCCAAGCACCGCCAGGAAGACGCCCCAAATACGCCCTTCTCTCACGCTCAGGCTGCTTTTGTTTTGTGTTTCTCGAAAGCCAGCATAAGAAAGATAAGTTCTATACGATATCCGTCCGCTTATATGCTCATGAAGCTAGAGGGCGGGCGCGGGCTTTGCATTAGGCCCACGCCCGATATGTTTTCAGTTGGTGCTCCAGGCGCTGGAGCGCCCTATGGTCTGCATCCCGTCGACCTTCTTCATTGCAAGGCCTTCAGATTTCTTATAACCAGACAGTAACCAAGTATATTAGGTGAACAAGTCGGAAGCTCCGGATATATCATAGACGTGCAAATTGATTACATATGAGACTTGAAAACATTCCTGAATCCTCCACCATTTTGCACTTCTCCCACATGAGAATGTGGTGGTGCAACTCAGTTTCTCGAGGAAGAAAGGAGGGGCGCACCAAGAAAGAAGAGGGAGGCAGCTGGCATATTTGAGAATTGTCCACTCTGGAGAGACAAGCGTCAATTACTTTTTGCCCAAGATGGCAATTCTGGAAGAAGCGCTGGACGAGCCTCAGGACAAGCCTGGGCTGGTCGAAGGTCCCTTGAATGACCTTCTGAAGACAGCGGTGGACTCAGAGCAAGCTAGCGCCAGCCAGAGGCGCAAAGGCTTTGATGCAGCACCAGACTTCATGAGACGGACGCTGATCTTTGCGTCCGAACCAGACATCCAAGCCGTGCGCAAGACGTCCTTTGAAAGAGCGTTCAAGCTGTCGTTGAGCTACAAGGAGAAGGGGAACGCATTGTACAAGGAAGGAAAGGACAAGGAAGCGCTCGATGAGTATTCCAGAGCTATCAGCATCTTCAGGCACTTTAGGAGGGACGGAGAGGACTTTGTCTTGGTGCTGCAGGATGAAGGCAGCTTGACATCGGAGGAGAAGCAGAATATGCATGACGTGTTGCTGGGGTGCTTTCTCAACGCGGCCGCATGTTTACTCCGGAAGTGAGACTTGCCCCATCCTGTTCTTTTTTCCAGTCCTAGTGGTGCATCACCGCTTTGAAACAGGGGGTAGATAACACTTTTGAGGTTCCTGGCTCGCACTGGTGACCTGTTGCAGATAGGTCAGATTGAGTTGACTTGAAGCCAGGTTTTTCTGCTTGGCTTGACTTTGATCAGACCAATCAAGGACAAACCCGTTTCAGTAAGATTTCAGCTCCAAACCTTTCCGCTCGTATAAAGCACGCTCAACCTTTCAGGTTGAAGCTGATTGTAATAGAAAGTTTCTAAGGATCAGATTTTCTGATCAACAGAGCTAGAGAACGTTTTATCTTTTTGTCACTGTGCGTAGCCAAGACTCTCCTCTGCTTTCAAGTATAGAGAAAAGTTTCCGCCAGGGGCAGAGAACTGCAGTTTTCCCTTTTCTCCCATATCGTCTTGGGAGAGCAATCAATCTATTTCTTGAATAATCATATGTTGGAATGACTATGTCCTTGTCTCTGATCTTTGGACTTCCTTCCTTGTTGCTATCGTCTGATCGCTTTTCATGGATATTTCCAGCATGTTTGTATATTTTAAACAACCGTTCATTCTTGCATTCATGACTTCTGGGACTCTCAGTCTTTCTCTCTTTTCTTTGCAGCAAGCGAGCCCCAGAAGCGATCTTCGCATGCCAAGAAGCCCTCCGCATCGACAGCCAGAGTGTCAAAGCCCTGTTCCGACGAGCGATGGCGTTCATTCAAATGGATTCAGACGCCTCGATAGACGCAGCAGAAAATGACCTGGCCCTGGCCGTTAGGCTGGCCCCTGCAAGCGCCGAGATCAAAGCAGCTCTGAAACAGTGCCGGGAGTTGAAGACTGAGCGGGACAAGAAAGCCAAAGAGACGTACTCAGGGATGTTTGACAAGGGGAGGCTGTATGATGACAAAGAGGTTGCGAAAGGGGGGTTGCCGAAAGTTCCTGGATTGCCGGGAGAGTTGTCGGAGAGGGGGGAGACGGAGCGAATCGAGATCGATGCGGAGACGTTTCTCAAGGAGGGTTCGGCAGCCGGGGTAGATATGAATGCCCCCTGGGCCAAGAAGCGGCTGAAAGAGTTGCAAGAGAAGGCAAAAACTGGCAAGCGAGGAAAGGAGAGCACCGCGACAGGGGGAAAGTGGTCAAAAGCAATAGCGATTGCCAGGCGGGCGGCGGACAAGCGGTACTGGGTCTCAATACCGACGCTTCTCTATGCCATCATCTTTGTCAACATTGCCGTGCGCTTGTTTGAGTTCTTGCAGCTCATGTATTACTGGATGAGAGATAGTCAGTGACCTAACGCTGACGTTGTATATCTGAGTGCGTTTGTACTGTACTGATAGGACTGGTGACTGCAAGCTGCTGAGACCCTTCGACTGAGTAGGTACATTGATTCGCGATAGAGGTATACTGCAGCTTGTTTACTGCTCAAGAACAGTGTTACAAGCAGCGCCACTAGTGGCGGGCAAAGTCAATCGTTGCAAGCACTGCTAAGAAGTACATGAACTCGGAAAAGAAAAGGATGCCACTGACACTGTGCGTGGAATTTGGCTATAGCCATGCATGATGATTACCGACATTCAATCGCAATTAAGCTCCTTGCAGTCATGGATTCAAGCTATAGCGATTGTTATCATGCTGAAGATTTGGTCACATGCAACCTGATCGAGCACCCTTTTTCAACTTTGATGACCGAATAAGTTGAATGTAATGTTCAATAAGGTTGAATATTAAGGTAAATGGGAAGTTTAGATTTAACAATCGACTATTGTGGCCGGCAGCACGTATATATTTACAGCTAGGTCCGGTTGTATTATCCGATTATGTTGATCAAATCAATCTGGTGCGGAGCACCTCAGGCTCTCTCACGATTGGGGACCCAGTAGCTCATGATTGAATTCAGCGATATGCACACAAACTTCAATGCAGACGTACAACTGACACGATCATCCAATCGACCGCAACAGTGGTTTTAGACGGAACATGAGGTCCAAGTCGTAGATGTAGAGCTCGCTCAGCTTATGTTGCAACCGTTGAACGTACTCGACGCTCCAGGTTGTCATTGTCCCCATGAACCCATCCGATTGCATGACCCATCATTTGACTGCACGTAGCTCATGCAGGCGGCCCTCCGTGAGTCATCTTGAATCATGTCCGGCTCAAGCTAGGGTGTTCGTCCATAACGTATTGAGAAGAATGCGATCCCCGGAAGGCTACATGTCGTGGCATCCTGGCTAGTATACGAGAATCTCTACCGTATCTCTTTGCTGCGCAAACCTAAGGCTAGATATGTAACGACTCTACTCTGATCACGTTGCATTCGATTCTCTTTTCCATAATCCGTTCGACGCTTATAATTTAGCCTCAACTTAAGGCTGAGGAATGTCCGGCGACCTTCAATCTGAGGATATCTCCACCTGTCGTTTCCGAAAGCCTTCGCTTGCTACTGATTCTATACTCTTTCGAGCTTAGCTATGGATGCAATTTGGAGTTTACGTACCGGAGCTCTAGCTGTCTGATCTGGTGGCCGTCGCGCAGGCGATTGATGTCAATCTTGCGTTATGTTTGTTGAAGCCGCTCTGGCTGCGTTGTCTACCGGGCATGAATCTCGTCACCGACTTTTATGCTACAAAGAATGTGTTTGTGCTTCACTACAGGTTATTAGATAACTTATGATTGCAACGGGACCTGTCGCGACTTGAAAGCAGCCCTCTCTAGTTCGTTTGTCGCCCCAGCCCCCACCTCCGCTCTTTATTTTCAACCCCGACAGCAAACCCGATTCGGAATGTGGGCTCGAAAGCCGGGTTAGAGTCCTCGGTTTCTATTACCGGTCACCACCTTCCCCACGAGGCACTATGCACTTTACTCCGCTCCTTCGGTTCCAACCCCGACAGCAAATCCGATTCGATATATGGGCTCAAAAGCCCGGTTAAAGTCCTCGGTTTCTTTCACCACCTTCCCCACGAGGCGCTATGCACTTTACTCTTCCCCTTCGCAACGGTCACTGGCACCGGGGTTAACGGGAGTGCCGGCTCGGTCTTTTCCAGGACAGGTGTTAACGCCTCGAGCTGTTTTATCTCCGTCCGGCAGAAGGGGCACGCGGGCGGGGGCGCGTGCGGGCTCGCGGCGCTCGGCTTGCAGTGGCAGCACAGCGCGAGCGTGCACATCGCGCACAGCCGGTGGCCGCACTCGCGCACCTTGAGGAGCGAAAAGCAGACGGTGAGTTGATAGTCAAATCAAGGAAAGCCACGGACGCGACAACAATTCGAAGAGAAGAAACGAACGGAAGGTTTGACTTCTAGAAAGATATAAATCGTTGTTTTCCAAGCTGTTGCTAGGCAAAGAAGAGAACCAAAACGTAAGGATTTAAGCGCTTGACATTTAGGAACGTTCCTGAGAATCCCTTTACACAATCATTGTCGACGATGTCCTAGAAAATCTGAGGCGATCTACAATTGCGAAGCGACTCGCCGTTTCGTAAAGGTTGCTTTTAGAAGAAGATAGAGCGTGGCCAAACGGCTACGGAACTCACGCGCGAAGGAACGGACCGCGGAATCGGAACCCTACATCACACCGGAAGCAAGTAGATGAACTGGGATTCGCAATTACCCTAGAACCGTGGAACCCTGAAACATTGACAGAAATTAATTTAGCCGCTGCCCACCTCGATGTTGCACAGCCGCTCGAAGCAGATGCTGCACACGTCCGCGTCGTCCTTGTCGGACGACGTCTGCGCGTCCGCATCGTCCGCCACGTGGCAAATCTCGCCGTCCTTCCCGAGCGCCTCCTTCTCGGTCAGCGTCTTCACCTGCCCCGACTGCGTCAGCTGCGCCTCCGTCAGCGCCTGCTCCAGCAGCGCGCGCGCCTGCAACGGACGACGTCAGGATGACGTCAGCGGTGTCCCTTCCATTCCAATACCGTTTTTCTGCCTCGTTTCCAACGTGTCAACAATTCAGACGGTCGCTACTTCCTGTCCGAGCATCCCGAGTAAGGTCAGATTCTCTGTTTCTCATTCTCTGTGAAAGATACGTCAGACCTCAAGTGAAAGGGCGCACTTTGCACTACGGCATCGGATAGATTCTTCAGGCTGATTTTGCGGCTAAGCTTGATCCTGCTTCTTGGCACATGACGTCACCGTTCTTTTCCACGTCATCTCTTGGGGGCCTCACCGAAGCATTCAGTTTGGCGACGAACTTCCAGGGGCTCGGCCAAACCAGAGGCTCGGCGGTTTGAGGGTTTAACAGCGCGGCCACGGCGTCGTGGCCCGACTTCAGGGCGACCACGTAAGGCGTGCACCTGAGGGAAGGTCGCCAGAGCTTCAGTTTTACGTCGTCTGGCTGGAGCGAAAATGATCTCGTGATATTAACGTTGACAAAAGGAATGATTGTGAAAAGCCTGTTTGTATCAAAGATGCTAGATCAAAAAGAAAGGTCTGATTTCGGCTATCTTCGGCTTCGATATGCCAACGACAGTCGTTTTGATGTCTTATACTTCAAGCGGATAAGGGCTGAATCCTCAGAACGAAGACCGACGGTATCTTTTCCGTTCAACAGCATCCGCTCCTAGCACCGAGATTGGACACGCAGGTACTGAATCCCCAGAACTTCCCAAAGTCAAGATTCTGTACTCACCCGTTGGCGTCTCTGACGTCTCGACTCGCCCCCCAAGCGATCAACTCCCGTACGCACTCTATGCTTCCGCCCCTCGCCGCCCAATGAAGCGCCGTCGAAGCCCTGTCGAACAAGAAAGAGCTCTCCATCAGCTGGTCGAGTTCGACGAGAAAATTATCAGAAAGCCGCAGTGCGACAGTAGAAAGAGGAGAAATTAATCTGGCAACTTTGATATGTCAGCTGTGCTGAATGATTGAGATTCAGCCTTTGTCACGTATCATATTCTCGTGACAAAGGCTGAATCTCATATCTGCACCATTCGCTTCATGTTGCGGAGAATACTGATTGAAAAGAGAGAAACTGTCTTCGATCACGCTTCCAAGGGGAATAAGCCTCCAATCGAGGGATTGATGGAATACAATTGCGCACGCGTTCGTTTCGGACAATTCTTCATGTAAGCTACTTTTCGTTTGGTAGGGGCTCGGCCACCGGCGCATAAGCGGAAGGCGCACTTACTTGATAAAACAGGAAGAAAGTTTGGAGCGGCAACGGAGCCTTGGACGGTCCGAGAGCTTACCCGTTGGCTGCGGACGTGACTCCGGACACGAGCGCACCCTGCTCGAGCAGCGCCTGCATGGTGCGCGCGTGCCCCGCGCGCGCAGCTTGGTGGAGCGGCGTCGCGCCGTTGGCGTCGCGGACGTTCACGAAGCGCGCGAATCCCCTGGACACGGAAAAGATTGGTAGGGCTAAGTCAGATTCAACGGGTGCTTTTTGTGTTTACGAAGCGTGCGAGTCGCTGCAAAGAAATAGAATGTATTCACAATTTTGAATGTCAGCATCCAGGGTTGTTGATCCCACAACAGTCACACGATCATCAGTGCACTTGTATTCTGGTGATGCTCTTTGGAACATTAGTATGAAGAGCGCTTGTCTTATCAGGGCCTAGCAAACGCATACCCCTAGACCTGAGCAGCTCCGCTCTAGCGTATTAGGCTCCTCTTACATTGTAACAGGGAGAGAGATAGCAATTACGTAAGAGAAAGCCGCTACGGAAAAGGCTCTGTAGCCGGGCTTAAGGCTCAGGCTAGTTTATCATGACCCACTGAGCAAGCCGTTCTGGCCTGTCTCGAGAAACAAGAATTGTGGTCGGACATCCTTCAACTTGACTCCGCTAAGAAACTGAGCCCGGCTGCCGCCATAAAACAAGGGTTAAAACCTCGCCCAACCAGCTCACGTCCATCCGGGATCCCGCTACAACCATGACCCGGGGTTTGGAGTGGCGTTAAGCAAACCCGGTGGTGGGTTATGCTCACCAAGAAGCCGCGATCGTGCCGCCCTGCGCCGCCGCCAGGATCCGCCGCACGCACTCGGTGTGCCCCCCCCGCGCGGCGAAGTGTAAACACGTCCTCCGGTGCTTGAAGTCGAAGCACAGCATGTTAGCCCCGGCCTCGAGAAGTGCCCCGGCGCAATCCCACCGGCCGCTCTTGCACGCGAGCATGAGGGGGGTCTGGCCTGAGTAGTTGGCGCAGTCGAGGCGGGCCCCCCGGGCGAGGAGCAGTTTCAGGACCTGCGGAAGATCGAGGAGAAACGGGTCACACGCCGGCAAGAGAGAAGTGCGGGAGAACAGTTCGTTTCCAACTTTCGTCGAAGGACGAAAGTTGGATCGGAGGACGACAAAGCAAGCTGACATCAGCTGGTTCTGCCAGGGTGGGTCTGGAAGGTTTGTAGGGCAAGTACACCCGGGTCAACAAGTTTTGTAACCAAACCCGGATGACGTGGCAACTCCGACGGGTTATGGTTACGAAATTAAATGGTTATTCATGAGACCTAACCCACGGCTGTGCCAACTCTATATTAGTCAAAATAAACCCTC